GTCGCGTGCTGCATTGGAGCTATCGTTGCAAGTTGGTTCCAGCGGTTTTCTCGAAGTCAAGGTTTGGGTTAACACTTCCGTATATATAAACATATCTTCATTCTCAATAATCAAGGGAAAATGCGTGAAATCATCACTGCCGCCAGTGCTGCAGGAGTGGCAGTTGCTTTTGGGTCACCAATCGGCGGTGTTCTGTTTTCTATTGAGGTACAGATCCCCATATTTACCGCGTTTTCTGATTTCAAACCCGCATTTACAACAGGAGATGAGCCAGATGTTTCGCATCAAAACGATGTGGAGAAGTTTCGTGTGTGCGTTGGTGGCGACATTTACGTTATCCGTCAGTGGATTCCCTCGCCTCGTCTCCTATCTTGACTGGCTCATTTCAGGTGATGAATCCGTTCAGAACGGGAAAGCTTGTGCTGTTTCAAGTGACATATAACCGTGACTGGCATTTTTTTGAGATCATCTTCTTTATCATACTCGGAATATTCGGCGTAAGGGTTTTACATCCTTCCGATTTTGCCCTTTGTTGACAACGTCGCTCGTCATTCTAGGGACTCTACGGCGCGTTTGTAGTCAAATTCAATATGCAAGTAGCTGCATTCCGTCGAAAACATCTCGCAAACCATGGTGTCGCAGAAGCTGTTATTCTTGCGACCCTTACTGCAGCTATTGGTTACTTCAATCGTTTCATGCGCATAGACATGACAGAGATGATGTCGATTCTATTTCGTGAGTGCGAAGGTGGCGGAGATCACGACAATCTATGCCAGTAAGTACTGCACCAATCTGTCAATCGGCCTACACTTTCTCATCTTTTCTTGCAAGAATGGCTGTTCAGTGGCCCATGGCAAACTCTCTCCTTCTCGCCACATTCATACGCATGGGATTGGTCGTAATTTCTTACGGGGCGAAGGTCCCCGCAGGTATCTTCGTACCTTCAATGGCTGTTGGGGCAACTTTTGGGCGGATGGTCGGCATCATGGTGAAGGCAATGTATCGGTAGGTGGATATCACTAGCTCTCATCACAGAATCACGAGAACTCTCTGTAGTGCTTATCCTCACTCAGGGATCTTTTCAATTTGCGATCCGAATGTACCATGTATTACACCAGGCACTTACGCCTTTCTTGGCGCCGCGGCAGCCCTTAGCGGAGTTATGAGGATAACGGTGACCGTTGTCGTTATCATGTTCGAGCTCACCGGAGCATTGACGTATATCTTACCGACTATGGTGAGCATGATAGTCTAGTGTTACGATTAAGAAAGTTTGCCTCTCGGAATTTAAGTCCTTGATACTGATTCTCTCTAGATTGTCATACTGGTAACAAAAGCTGTCGGCGACTTCCTCGGGACTCGTGGCATTGCAGATGAGGCGATTCGATTCAATGGTTATCCGATCCTCGAAAACGAGGATCACGGCTTCAATGTCTCAGGTCAGTATTCCAATTGCTACTTGCATTCATGCCATTCTCATGTCCACGAAGTTTCGGAGGTCATGAAGAAGGATCTTGATATTCTGTTTGCGTCTGGGATGATTGTCTCCGATATTGGTACGTTTGGACAGATCACCATTGGCTAGGAAACACTATTGACCAGTGCTTTGCAGAGGAATTGTTGGCATCTACCAATGTGAAAGGCTTTCCGATAGTTACTTCCGAATCATCTCAAACGCTTGTTGGGTACATGGGCAGAACTGAATTGCGCTACGTGCTAGGTATGTGTCCGTTAGCGTTTGACTCTCGTGTGACATAACATAGCCTAGACAAGGCCCAAAACGTGGGGGACATATCCCCAAGTACGCCCTGTGCGTTTACTAGAGGAGCCTCCGACCAAGAGGACTTTGTTTTATCGGATATGACCTCGGGATCAGCTCTTGGTGTAGAGGAAGACGTGGCAACGGAACTTATAGAAACGAGCGCAACTATCGACGTTCTTAAACTCTGGCCTTGGGTGAACCAGGTACTGTACTTTACGCGAGCTCTTTGACAATCTTTGACCTGTCTTAAAGACACCTCTTACTGTGTCTCCGCAGCTACCACTGGAGATAGTAACACAATTGTTCAAGAGAATGGGGTACGTCCTACTTGACCTACACAGACAATGCCCTGCCCTTACCTCTTATTGACACAGTCCCCGGGTGATACTTGTCGAGGAACACGGATCGTTGAAAGGTCTGGTAACCGTTAAAGATGTGTTGCGGTTCAACGCGGTAGAGCAACCTGTTGGGGATCTACATTGGAATACAGGTGAACTGGAAGCTATTCTCGATGTTATGTGGAATTGGGCAGTAGGAATTGCGGATACTTCCATAAATTGGTATAGACGCTTAATACGTCGGTGAGGCTACCGTGTCTACTTGCTGTCCTAATAGATTGTCTATGTACTGACTCATACTTCCCTAACTCTTGTTTGCATCGATCAATATGATAACTTGGGCGGTGTATGCTAACATCTTTCAAATGCATCGTGTGCAGGAGTATTCACATCCTGGGTCATCGTCAAGCGAGTAGTTGGGACGGACTCAAGAACATACTGGTGATCCTAAAAGGAAGGCACATCTTCATTATATCACCTAGGCGTTCTCGTAGAAACCCCTCAAGAGCGGTTTGGGCATGAATTTTCTACCCAAAATACCGTCTTGAACGTCTTGAACCTGTGCAGAACATTACAGGTGAGGACTTGCGGGTGGGCGACAGCACCACTCTGACGTCGAGTGAAGTCTTGAATAATAATTGACATCTGGTTGGTTCTATTCCAGTGACAGCAGAAATTTACTGCTGAACATGAAGTCGAGTGGTCATGGACCTTACAAGCAATGCCACGTGCAAAGCACGAAAGATGAGGTAGGGAGCCAAGTCACCGCGCAGACCGAATCTAGAAAAGTCGAGTTGGTCGACACAAGTCATCGAAACCCTATTCTGAACCACATTGGGTGTAACTGGACAGTATTCGTAAACACTCGTAAGACTTGGTTTACATTTTAGGACGGATAACTCTGTTCCACCAATCGCCTTGCTCCATCACCAACGCCGTAAGCTCACGGTGAGCATCAAGCTTCTTTCTGACAAGCGAAAATTATGAGGCCCGTACCTCGAATTTACGTGGGACGTGTATGACCGATCAATGAACGCTTACTGATTTGCTAATGGACCTTGCGATTTTTGGCGACGCTGCTGTATCATCTACGTACTGTAGGGCCACATGTGATTATGGAAATTCCGTGAATAACTGTAGAGCCTTGGAGTTTTCTTTGTGTTCGGATTGCCTTCATAGCAGTAAAGATTCATCGCCAGTGTAGCTGTACATGATACGGGCGGTACAGAATGCTGTTGATATCACTGGATTTGGCTCACCTCGGGGAAATTAGGAAAGTCTCAATGACTAGCCTGAGATTTAGGACCTGTGGTTATGACTGATAAGTACTTTGTTGTTTCCAGCCAATGAAACTACGTCCATCTGTAGCGACGCAATGTCATGCATGACATGGAACTCACGTTCGCAATATCCCCCGGGCCCCAAACGATATCCTCAGCGAATGTTCGTCTAAACCCAACCAACATCAAAGACACCCGAGCCATCGCTCGACTCCCAAACGTTGGTAAGATGTCCTATTGGAAAGGTACAGGCCTTACCAGATGAAACGGCCAGTACGCACGATCCTTTTTTCGGTGATCAAGGATACCCCGCCGATACAATTGGTCGAGACAAACTTGTTAAAGAATTTTTTTGAATGCTCCCCATCAGTGTCCATATCCGTGGGCAGGGGCCCTACAGTAGACGTGCTGACTTTTTAAAACATAACAAGAATCGAGATCTTTATCCTGTAACCTTACTGCAACCCTGCAGGATCGTTGTTCGTTTGCTGTGAGTCAGTGACCCTATTGAAGTATCTTATTTTTCAAGTATTATCCTGAACACGCAATCAATTTAACCGAAAGTGCATACGATTTACCAAAGATATACAAACCTGGTTTCGTTAGGAACGTTGGTGGCAGATCATGATGCTGAGATCGTGAAGCCTACAATACGCACGCCCTCCTATTGGATTGATGAGAGAGCGGAGTACTCGTGTATCACGAGTGACCATAAAGCAATCGAGTTACTTTTACTGTTATCCGAGACATTTGAAATCGGCTGCAGCGGGACGACAAATGCAGCACGACTCTTCGTCGGTTCGCCCACTTCCAGCGTAATCGCAAAATCTGGGGTGAGATCTAAAGGGGAGGCAGAAGAGAATTGGCGGTCTTCATGGTTGCGGCTCCTGGAGTTCCGGGCACTCGCAGCACATAGGGCTTCCGAAATTCCCGCGTCGGGGAATATGTAAGTTCTAGTAGGTAATGGCTGAATAGGGGATTGACATCGTGAATTGACGTACTTAGACTTAAAGACACCGGTCATTGGGAAATGTCCGCTAGGCTAACGTACACGCCCTCGTGAGTGCACGGCCTATTCTGGTAAACAACAATTAACTAAGAAAAAATCTGTTCATGTTCCGATCAAGTCATCAGAAGAACGTGCTACGTACAAAATTAAGTCTATGCTTGCGATGAACAATCAAGCTATCACGGCAAACGCCGTCGAACTACATACGGGTTTTCACGGGTCGAGTAAAAAACTAAGGGTCCGGGGGAAAAGGGCTCGCGGAACACAGAACGCGAAAACAGGAGTGTACTGAAGTCTATGAGACAGCCAAAATGCAACAAGCTCAAAGAAAGCGAAGATGGAAATCTGCGCTCGCGGAAAGACATCGTGCCATGCAAATAAAATAAAGTCCGCGCTACTAGTGGACCGTGGGTAGTCCTGAGGAGAGAAGTTAATACAAAAGGCCATAGCCACTTGGATATAATTTCAACTCACTCAATACCCACGAGTACGCACAGCGCCTGTCTGACACAGGTACCCGTCTCGGACTGAGACTTTGAATGAATGCTAAAATTACTGCGGCCCACTAATCATAAAATCGTGGACGTGAACGACATCGTTGCGCGTTCCCCTTACTTGGGTTTTTTAAGCGCTGGTAGTTCCATTGCAGGTTCCGGCTCTAGCTGGGATATGCGCACGGGAACAAATACAGGTGCGGGGGAACTGTGCTTGGACGTTTGAAGGCGACCAGATGCAAATGGTTTGATAGTGGGATCTGATGTGAAATTGCGAATTTGTTGACATGATAGTGGTGGGGGGCCATGGTCAAGTAGCGAGGTCATATCATGCGCTGGCATATAGCTGCGTCGAGGATGCGACAAGGTGTCAAGTTCGACACTAAGCGCGGTAGGAGTGTTTGGATAATCCATCTCTGAGGTGCGAGATTGCAGACGAGGCTTGAGTAAATTTTCAAGCTCGAGTTCCTCATCTCTTGCGCTGATGCGAGAGCTGAGGGAATCTATGGAGATGCGCGTAGGGAAAGCAGACAAAACAGTATCTCTTGCTGCGAGAAGTGTTGACGAGAGCGATGAAGTAGATTCAAATGGTGATGAGGAGATAATGTCAGTCTTCTGAATACTAGAAGTGGCTTGCGAAACGGCTCTTCGCTTGGTATGACGCACACGATGTCGAGGTATGATGAGTTGGGTGCGGAGGTCGATTGGATCTGATGGCCATAGCTGATTTGCATGCCGCAGTGCTGAAAGAGACACGCCATATCGTAGAGCGATTGCAACAAGTGAGTCGCCGGGTGAAACCTACGAGCGAAATTTTGTAACATATTCATGTTTAAGGGCGGGAGAAGGACGGACTGTGTGTAGGATGTCATCGATGTCATGGTGGTTGGCGGTATCTAGATTATCTGTGGTATCGTCCGACGGCTCGATAGAAGAAGGGCAGTCAGGAACATCATCCGACAACGTCATTTGTATTTCACCGACATCTTTCACAGTGCATGATACTGAAGACCTGCGCAGCGGGTGAGAGTTCAACACTTCTGAACAGCCAGCATCGTCCACATGAACGTGGTCGCTTGTGGAATCATTTCTATGAAGTCCGCCAGGGTGCAACGAAGTAGCGAAGCCGTTGGTGAGGAGCTCATCCCGCTCGTCAAGCTCAAGCATGCGGGTTGAGCGCTGAGCAGAGGAGGCCCGGGTGAGATAGGCTAGCCAGCCCACAATTATTAATTTACACAAATAAATAAATATCGCATTTTTTCAATATATTATGAACTTTATTTTGTTCATAAAGTTTCAGTACTAAGTTCAAGTTGTGGGCCCCTACGTACAGTAAGTTGAAACTACATAGCCTTCCAGCACTTGTTGGTATGCATTTTTGACCTGTTCCTTCCACATCTTGTATCTTATGCCCGTACCCTAGCTTCTCAACTTTGTGCCGCGCGCTCGCATCTCATCACGTTTTCAACTTACTAGATATACTATGACATCCGCTCCTGCTTGAAGTTCCTGCATCTGTTTGATGTGACACCCATGTCGTGTCTTCGATGGTAGTAAGTGCTGCTATGAATTCAACCGCGTCTGTGGTAATTGCAGGCTGTTACCTATATGCTTACAATGGGACATTGGCTTCGGGTCGTGACTCTCGGCGACTCAGAGAAGTTCAGCGCGTATTGGAAGATCGGTTCCGTTGTGAGATAAAAGTACTAATACGAAGGAACGGTTATTCGGTTGGTCTGGCTAATGGTAAAAGGGGAAATCTCACGAACAAGACCTGCAATCGCCTAGCAGGTTTGGCGAATTCCGGGACTCAAAAAGTGAACTGGCCAGCAGGGAAGCAGGCTCCAAAGGGGGTGCTGACTTCACGATTACATCCTCATTCCATGCCCGATCGCCGGCCCAATTATTGCTTTGTATATAGATGGGTATGTTTTGCACTCCTGTCCACTGACATATTTCCAAGTCTGAGTCCATCGTGATGCACTCCGCTGTGTTACGGCATCCAGATTGGGTTTACTTGGTATATCTTGTCCGAGACCTTAGCTCTGATGAGGTATATAAAGTAAACTTCACCGATGCAGTCTCCCTCACATCACGCATTCGAGGAGAGGAGAGTCTTTCGGATTCAGGTCTGTCACAAAAAATTTATACAGCCCGTATAGATGGGAAATGTATTCAATGTTCGTCATCTCACTATTGTCATAAGCGTGCAAAATGCCTTCTGGACTGCTCTGACCGAGATTGTTTAACTCATCTTGTGGCTCCTCGTGCTTACTTGCATCATGATCGTGGATCAAACTAATTGTGCACTTGTCGAGGTCCTATCACGAGAGATATTCCATCGATTGAGGGTCCAGGGGGACTGTCAAAATGTTGTCCAGAGTTTTTAGGAACCATACTTTATACCATCTCCTAAACGGTGTAGTGGCTGTAAAGTTTTTTGCGGAGTAGCTGAATTGTTCGTTAGGAATTCATCTCGCCCCTCAAGCTTCTGACATAGCAGTTTAGAACGCACTGGGAACGACTCTTAACCCTAACCTCACGATGACCTGAACGGGACACCTGGTCTGGTGGGTGCGTTCGATTTTTCTCATGACAGGTTGATTCAGACTGAAGACAAGATCTAGACAAAGTATCCAGCTTTATTGCGGTATCGTCGTCTGGTTTATTAGCTTTTTTTGCAGATGCCGCATGCCGATACGTCTTTGGTTCCAGACTCCATTAAGACTAAGTCTGAATTCTGGACTCATGTGCACGATCAACTAGAAATTTTGATGGGAGGCCAACGACATTGGGTGGGCTTCGATACCATAATATTTAATTCAACCCCAAAACTAAATCACTTAATTTACATACAGGTCTCAAATTTGTCCAATGCCGCTTCGCTTATTTACAATTCCTTGCAAGCTTTTCCCAGCAATTTCGGGGATGGAGAGCGTTCGGTCAACTGGTGTGGTGAGTCCCTCCACTTTCCACCGCTGGTATCGACAACCCAGTCAACAAAGGATGATCGCCCAGCCCCTTCTCTTTCAAGTGTTGAGATGTCTTGCTGACTGTTGACTTCAATTCTCACAGGTTTCTATCTCATCTCTTCCCTTTTCCCTCAGCCACGATTCACTGATGCCTCGATGGACCCCGAATCTCAAACGCGTGCTTCCACTAATATGCTTTTGGGACCCTTTTCCGGCAGGCCTGCCTGTCAATGGATCGAGGTCTCCCCTCGACCTCGAGGCGTGTGTGGAGATGCATTTGTTAAGCGCAGTACCGTCCTTGTTCTAGACGTCTTGACCTACCCTGGGCATATTGCCTGTGACGGCGATACGAAAAGCGAGATCGTGTGTCCCCTCATTCTTCGGAAAGGGGGTGAAGATATCGTGGTGGGTGTTCTAGATCTTGATTGCCTTGCGATTGGGGGGTTCGATGCAGACGATCAGGTCGGACTAGAAAGAATTGCGGCACTCATCATCAGATCTTGTGACTGGTAGTAATACATCAAATGAAACGATGAATGATTACGGTGACTATGAGGACCCTGCAACAGATTCCTGCTCTTTCTTCCACGCAAGAAATTCCTCATGCAATTTCTTTTGTGCATCCCACTCCTTCCGTGCCCTCTTTTGTTGGTTTTTACTAAGCTCTTCCCCACTTCCAGTGGCAGTAGGGAAGCCGCATTCATCCCATCGGATATACGCCCCCTCGGGTACGTTGGGAGGCCGGAACATCTCTTCGGGAGGAACTCGCCCTTTCTCCATCTTCGCAAGACGCTTCTGTCGTACCTCCTCAGCTGCAGCCGCCTTTTTCGCTGCTTGAGCATCTAATTTCAGCCGCTTTTCTTCCCGTGCCTTGATGAGCTCCGCCGGGGACACGAGCTTGACAAGAGCCTTGCCATCTATGGGAAACAGAGTCAGTTTGAAAAGAAAACGAGGCATTTCTGCTCTAGATCACCTTCTTGATCATCGAGCGCGACGCCCAAAGATACAAGATCGTCATCGCGCAGTTTATCACAGAGCTTGAGTATTTCCTTCAAAGCATCATCGTTTTTAGCAATAGCCAGTTGACGAACGCCGTCTCTGAATGAAGACAGGATGCGAAGGTATGGCATCAGCGTTTCTTCTCGCTAAGCTGTATGATCAATATCAAATAGCATAGAAAATATACAACAAATATCTCACGTTCACGCCACCGGCGCCCTCATCTTCTTGCCCCCAGCCGATCTCGGACGCCTGCCCTTCGCCTAGCCCAAACATGCGGAGCATGTCACCAATCCATGTCGCGGATTGCTCCACCACACTGACATTGGCCTTCCTTCCTGAGCTGTTAATGTAGATGTTGATACGCGAAACTAGGTCACGTATGACTTTGAGTGCTTCAGGTGTATTAAATGAGTCGCAAAGAGCCACACGGAAGGCCGTCTTGCTGTCGTGCAAGCTAGCAGGGCGTTAGGGTATGGCACTCGAGAGATATTGCCTGTTTGACCTTTTCATGAGTTCTTGCTCAGCATCATTATAGTGATGCTCTCCATCCGACTGGTCCTCATGTGCCCGTGCTTGACTTATGATCGCTCGGACATTGGTGAAAAAATTCTGTAAGATATTTTAAAATATAGCGGATATTAAAATACGGAGGACTTGCGTTGAATGTAACCTCGAGGGACTTGACTTCGCCCGTCATCATCGATTCAGAAAAATCGATCTTTGCATTCCATAGCTGCGTTAGGAATGCGAGCCGCAACTGTCGGGCTGTGAACCTTTGAAGTATCTCCTGTGTGACCGGCCGCATGAGTGATGCGGAGAATAGATCAAACACCCAAAGTACCCACGTCAATCGTGATGAAATTTTTCAGCGATTTGCTCATTTTGAGGCCTTCGATGTGAAGGTGACCGGTATGGATAAAGTAGTTAACCCATGCACCGCATTCATGGTAAGCCTATCACCACCTTTATTTAGAAACATCTCTGGAAGGTACTGCGGTGAACTAACCTCTGATTGAGCCATTTCATTGTCGTGGTGTGGGAATGCAAGGTCTATACCGCCAGAATGGATGTCTAATCGATCTCCCAGAATGGCACTTGCCATCACAGAGCACTCAATATGCCAGCCTGGGCGACCTGGACCCCAAGGTGAGGGCCACGAAGGTTCTCCAGGCTTCGACGCCTTCCAAAGCGCGAAATCAGAGGCAGATCGTCGTCCTGAGGTGGACGAAAGTACGCCTGATGTCCAAAATGGCTAACGTCACTGATGGAACGCCCACGACAGAATCAACACACCTTCGCCTTCAGCCAGTAATTCTCTATTCCCTTTACTCCAGGGCTCCAACTTGGCATAATCGTGCCGATCAGATGAATCGAATGCACCTGTATCAAAGTAGACACTGCTTTCGAACTCATAGCCATAACCATTCTTGATGATGCCCTGAACGAATTCAACCACTTCAGGAACGTATTCGGTGACGCGTGTAACAGTATCTGGGTAACGGACACGAAGCCGCTCCATGTCTTTGAAAAATAGACCTTCCCAGTGTGCTGCAAGAGAGCGGAATACAGACTGGTCTGTGACAGTATCTTGGAGCTATGCACATGAATAACTAAACGGCCAGGAAGAAAGCATAACAAGAGAAACTAACTTTCTTGTCAAGGGCGGAGGCGAGAATATCACGAGACTCATCAATAAGTCTGAGCGCTGTGTCACCACTACTCTGATTGGCAGATAGTGCATGCCTTGCAGCTTCAATAGCGGCAAGGGTACGATCCTACATTGGCAAATATTGATTATACGCCAGGAAAGGCACAAGAGATCACCTACAGCGGCTGTAAAATGCATGTCGAACTTCTCGTCTCTCTTTAGGCATTCGAGTTTGCGGCTCTGATCCCGCGCAAGCCCAGTAATTTGTGGCCATCGTACCTCTTCATCCCCTCTTGAGGGTTTCTCTTCATCAGGCAGGCCCTTGGAAACGTTCTCCCTAACATAGCTTCCCCATGCTTCATTGACTTGTGACAGTAGATCGGCTGAAAGCGCAGTTGCGGAGTTTCTAAATTGTGAAAAGAGGTGATTTTGACGCGCTCTAACGATGATCTTCAGGACGTGTAAGACGTCGTTTCGATCATACAGCTAGGTGATCACGCACCTTATCGTCTATGTCGGTAACATTCATAACAAAGTGCACGTCATAGCCAAAGTAGTCTGACATTATTCTTCGCAAAATGTCTTGCGTGACATAATTTCTGAAACCATGTCAAAATTGCAGTATATTCACCAGGGAGTAAACCCTGACCTCGCGTGACCCATGTGAGAGGCATCGTAGACTGTGGGACCGCAGTTATACCATTTGACATGGGAACCATCGATAGGTATAAATTCCGTCTATCAGCAGTCAGCAGATCGATCTAACGCCCAGTTCAGACACGCACTTTGGTCTTGGTTAACGAATTGAAGATCTTAAGAACAGGTTGGTCAATTTGGCGAGGAGGTGGGTGCCATGCCGGTTGCCGAAGAGCCATCACTGCGTCCTTTAATGTATTCACTGACCTCCTGTGGGGCGCAGATGCTCGATAGCCAGAACGAGCAATAATATTGACCGGAGTTCTGATCATGCCATGAAGCCAGAGCTAGCTAGCTGGAGTCACAAGTGTGCTTATGTAATAAGCGCTGCGGCTAGTCCAAAGGTTGACGCGGGTCCCGAAGTGCCAGCCTACTACTATGTAGGTTTCGGTACTTTCTCGTACATATCCAAAGACGTCCAGCTTCATGCCAGCATCTCAACCTTTCACCGCGCTAACAGCGAGACTGAACGCTTGGTGCTTCAAAGAGCGCTTGTCCCGCTCTCTTTCGCTAGCGTAGGTTGTGGCCGCCGATCGGAGGTACTTCATGTGACGTTGAGTATTAATCTCTTTTCATCCGCATTGTCAAGTGATTCGGAACTTCGTCCACTGAAAGGAAACTTTGAGACCCTCTGAATCTTACGAGGGAAAAGAGCTAGCTCTCACGCAGCGGCGATCCCTATAAACAACGTTCTGACTCCTAAACTCGGTTGCATGATGACAGGTCCCCCTTCGTATTCGTCTACCGGTGCAATCCGGCCTTGTTCTCACAGAATCCTTAGATTTCACATGAAACTCCACACGCTCTGTCGATGTGGAGATGCAGTGGTCCTATCTGATAGGCTCTCAGTCACAGTCTAGCTGCTCAGGGCATATTCAGCCTTGATCTGGATACAATCGAAGCTGAACTTTCGGCATTGTACTAGCGGATCGAAGCAACGAAGGTCGCGCAAGTTCGCTGAGCGGTAAATACATTCTGAATGGGTAGATTTTTTTTCAAATTTAATGAAGCCCACTTAACTTTAGTCTTTTAGTGATAATCTTTCGCGCTGTCGGAAATTATAGTCTCGTACGTTTCGCTCCCCGTTACTCGGAGTCTGATCATGCCAAATACAAATTCGCGTTCCATCTCTCAGCTCAAGGTTTGCTAGACACATGTCGTTCGCGCTGTCGTAAATGACAGTTTCGTGCTACTCCCCATTCCTCGGAATATCTTAGGTCCGATCGAGTGAAGATGCAATGGTCCAATTGTTTCAAGCTCAAGGTTTGCTAGACAGGTGAATGCTTTCGCTATGCATCGAAGCTACCGAACGATCGTGGACCATGAGTTCTTGACCTAACCACAACTAGTTTGTGATTGTCCATTCTTGATGAACAATTCAAGTTCTCACTACTTTGCCAAAGAAGGGTCGGTCGCAATCTATATGCCTTTCTAGGGTTTAGTCTGAGAGTGTCTCCGATGAACGAGGGTTGCCCTTAGACTTTTGGTCTAACACAGCAAGATCATCATGATATCAGACCGGTCACCAATGGTGCATGCGAAGGTGAAATGCTGCGATGACCTTGATGCATCTTTTTCAGTGTAAAGCGATGCAAGTATGACACCTATCTCGCAGACAATAAACAATTGGCGGCCGGTGCCACGGGGAATTACCTAGTACGTGAGAATCTCGAATTTTGCGGCAGGTACTCTGATTGCACTTAGAATCTTTCCCCACCCTGTCGCCGCTAACGTACCTTGCAATTTGAATGAGCACTTCAGAGAATTGCACTTGTGCCTTCTTTCCACATACCGCCGATAATATCCAGCGACACCCAAGCACATGATACTCAGAATAAATACTTAGAATATTTGATTGGCCGCGAAGCCCTGCGCGTTTCGGCTGTCGAAGAATAGTAGTGGTTCCTATTTTTTGTTCGTATCCATACAGTGCCCCGCCGGAGATGGAATAAGATTCTAAAACTCTATCTTGCTGCATACCCACTCCCTTAAATTTGTCCATGAAAAGGCCATGACCGTCTAACCGGTTTCCCATCGGGCTGCAGAGCGCTCAACCACCCGTGCCGCCGTCAGCCTATCAGCTGCCGTCTTACATCAGAACGAAAGTTAAGGTTAGTATATCATGATGTTAAATTCTCGTCAGACTCCCTTGTCCCTCGTTATTTAAGGAGCTTTCCCATTCCATTAATTATTTAGTCTGCGCCCATTCCAACTAAGCAAGATCTTTGATCACATCAGCTGCTGTGCAAAGTCCACCATTTATCATCCCCAGTCGAAGTCATCACTAGCTGTGCGACATTGCCACCGCCCACCTATTTCCTCTCAGATTTCTTCTCCCTCCTTCATCATCCTCAACATGCAACAGCAGCCCACCTGCACTAGCCTACGTGTGAGGTGAGTCATTTATCCCGTTTCCTGTGGCGCTGTGACTCATGACTCGTAAGATCTCCGCAAGATGCTCAGATCATCTTTCACGCCGTAGCACTTGGAGTCTTGCCCATGGTCACACGTCGTCTCGACACAGAGGAACGACGTTCGATAACCTCGGGTTGTGTTTTCGTTTGGGAGGAGCGAGGGCCCAGCCCGGAGGCTACCGGGGTGAGACTTTGTTGATGGCCGCCTTCCATATCACGCGCTAATCCATCCACAGCTGGGTATCGAACGATGGACCGATGGCAAGAGGTGTGATTTATGATTGATACCGTTTGATTGAATGAAACGACTAACATTGATATGAAGGTGGGGTCCAAGCCGGGTCCGCGACGTAAGTTCATACCTACCTTACGTCCATTTGTCATGACTAAACGCTTTTCAGGAATTTCTTTTCTATCAAGAGAGAGACCCTGAGCCCGTTGATATCGAGCCAAACTCAGACTCCGACACTACGTCTGTCCGCTTTTCCCTTGTTTCCATCCGTCTGACATCTCAGCGACAGGATCGGATCAAGTCCCCTAGCGCAACCTGGCGTGAACCATGAATACGTTCGCGCCAGTCTGGTCAAACAGACGTATTCCGTCTTCGTTGAAACCCCAATGGGACGGAAGAAATGGCACCTTAGTACGCGGCGCTGTTCTAGTCATTGAAGTAGCCGAAACCTAACTTTTACATTTGCTCAGTTGCCTATTTCACACATGACAGCCTTGATTATCTCCGAACTGTGTCTGACCTTCCCGACCTTGCTCGTATCGTTGTGCCTCCCGGGAACTATAGAAGCGCTCGACACAACACGAGCAAGCACGGCCGTGCTCAGCGAGAAGAGCGACCACACCCTTTCACCCCTCAGTATGCTCCGTATCCCTCTTCTCGGGTACCAGTGATCCAGCCTCCCAATGACTGCCTACAATCGTTTGACTACTCAGGGCGTGCACAGCCTCGAGACGGTCAATCACTAGCGCCTCTTACGTACCTTCAAAACCTAGCTCCACCGCGAAGACACCCGTTGGATGAGGAGGCTCTAATGGCTTTTTACCCTCGTTTGTGCTGAACTTCGTATTGTGTTTTCTTCGCACTGTTTTCTATGGACTGTAGAATTAATGATCTCTAAACCTATAAATGCTGTGATGTTGTCGTGTTCACCATACGCCATTCTCTTGGTTTGCAATCTGCAGTAGCCTATCATACTTATCTCGTGTTGTGTGTACTTATACTTTTGCCTGCGTTACCTACATTTGACTACGTTGGGATTTGACGACATAATTTAGCTGCTACGTCCTATCAATCCCATGAATTGATCCCTAGTCCCTAGTTGAGCTTGACAACCACACGAATTGGGCGACTGTACTTTGTGTGACGCAGCACGACTTGAATCGCACAGCTTCGGACGGGACAAAGCAGTGCGCAGTTAATACTTGCCTGAATCGTGCTGCTCTTACGAAGGTGCCGTGTGCGTATACCCTGAGTATCCCTGCTTGCTGATGAACGTGTCAGGACAAGGATGTAAAGACCGCAATCGGTATTATGATACTGCTCCAGAACACCACTGTCCCCGCATTATTATCTTATATATAGTATGATATGGCATCCCTGCATTCGGTTGCATTAATCAAGGCCCCGGTACATTCTAGAACGTAGGAAGTAAGTGCTTTAGGCTATGAAGCGGCTAGACTTGGTGCTTTGAACTCAATGGCCGGTGGAGCAGTGATACCGTTCGCCAGGGAAAGTCAACTCTAGTACTGGCAAATCATGCGCTGCATGTGGCATCAGGGAACCATTTCACAAACAACGCCCATCTCATCGATTCGCCCTTGCCGGTTCCGACCGGTTCTCATCATCGTTCTGTCCTATCCCCAAAACGGATTTCAATCGATCCAGGCAACTCTGACGTGGCCATCATATGGAATATGTTGAATAGTTTCAGCAAGAATGGGATACAAAGATAACGACCAAACGTGCATGGTGAAAGAAGGACAAAAGCGACTGACGGTATTGGGTAAGACGGGGTTCTTGGTGGGCATGATGTTGTGCGATAGATCGGAATATCATGAGAACATGGCCTATTACAAGTCTCGGTCCAAGAATGCATCCGTAAATTGGCGATGAACGGGACGAACCTTGAAAGATGCTCCAGGGCATAGGCTATTGAATGTGGTTCTTGATGTATGACACCCGTATTACATATGAAAGACCATAGGTTCTGGCAGGTTGCAATCAAGCGGAAGAAGATCTGGTCTGACCGCGCCGTGTGAGCGCATCTTGAGGATCTGTATGATGGTATATGTAAAAGTGGGCGCGATAAAAACTGCAGGAGTGAATATCAGAAGGATTAAGATTTAGTATGATTAGACGTTTTGCCAGACCGGCATCTTGTTGAACAAAGCTTGTGGTTCAACGGTCACTTTGACCTGATTTGATTCGAACACGTGTTGATCCCCTCGAAGCTTGAAAGCTTGACGTCTTGTTCAACGAGTTGAGGAGCTGGAGCGGAGCGTGCGGATGGGCGGTTTCATAGATTGAAGCAACCCTGGAATATCTGATAATTATGTAAGGTAAAAATTATCCGAAATTATGAGGTTTTTGAATATTTCAATCTGAGCCAGACTGCCGCGGGGAACTGTTTTATTTATGAGATATCAATTCAAAGAAGTTCCGGGATTTACCGAAACCCAAGAAAAACAGGGAGGGGGGTGCGTTTTGATCGCAGTTAGAAATATGGGGGACTTGAAAGAAATTGAGTTGTAAAGTGATAGAGTTTCGCGCTGTAATCGAGATTGGCGACAAGCCTTTTGGGTCGTCGCCACCAATAAGATTCATCAGTTAGTTTCCCGAATTGGCCCAAATTAGAGCAACTGACTATGAACGGAAGTCAGCGGATACCCCTGGTACAGAAAATAGTTTAATTAATTACCAAACCATCTTCTGCTCCCCAGATCTAGTAGCCAATATATACCATACCCATTCTATTTGCCTTCTCCGTCTGTTTCCTTGTCCCCGTTTCACATCACCACACATGCAGCAACGACCCACCTGCACTAATGTTCGCATACGTTCCACTCGTGATGCTCATAAAATATTCTATGCAGTCCAGCTGCGTATGCTCCCAATGATAACAAGGCGCCTTGACGCCGACGAACGTCTCGCCCTATGTTCAGGTTGCATCTATGCATGGGAAGAAAGAGGTCCACACACTGAAATCACAGGTTTAGGAATAGAGCGTTTTACCGAGGGACGTAGATGGAGTCCCTCGCGTGTCAGAGACGTTGGTACTTCCAAATAATGACCTTGTGACTCTGCTAATCTCCCTTCAAGGAATTCCTTTTCTACTATGAGAAGTATACCCCTCCAGCAGACGCCGGTCATTCTGGGTATGTTCCCGCCCTAAAAAAATTGTTCCTAAATTTACTATTTTACTAGGTCTTCTGAAAAGCAGCCCCCTCGAGATTGGGATCCGCTTGTCAAGCAAACTTATTCAGTTTGGGTTGAAACGGATAAAGGTCGCCGCAAGTGGCACTTGAGTAAGGACATGTGACATTCCAAAATATGGACTTCACTAAAGCTATTTGTAGCCGCATACTTCACGCAGGCCACAGTCGATGAGCTAGGCACCATAGATAACATACCAGGTGTCGCTGACCTCGTGGTGCCAGAAGGAACTTTCCAAAGCACCCGAGTTGGCAAAACCCGCAAGGGGGAAGATAGTCGCTCAAGGTCTGATGTTCTGAAGTCAACGAATTCCACCGTAACTCGGACGTACGCTCCATTCCCTGCATACTCTAGCCAGCCTTCCCACTACCCTAATTCGCCACAATCACCGTATGCTCAGCCGGATGACCCATACCGCCCAAGTCTGGGTCAGTCTTCGCAGCAGCTTCGTGCGCTGACATCTGAAATCCCTCAGTATTCGGTACCCCCACCCCCTCCACCACCTTCTCTACCTCCTCTTCGTCCTTCATATGAAGATGACTACAAATTTCGTCGTCCCTCACTCCCAACCATACCCCCGCCAGAGCATAGCTCATCGTATTACGGCCGCCGAAGCTCTGCCGATTACTCCGTGTCTGGAAGTATTGCTCCCTTGTCCAGGCCTCGTACAGACACATCATTGAAGCCCTTTGTTGAGTATCATACCTCCAATGATCATGGGTCTCCTCCCGCGTTTGGAGCCAGTATCAATCACTCTCCTGCTTCGAGTAGCACAAGTGGTACACACCGTGCGTCTGAGGACCTTTACTCTTCCCGGCCTTTCTCGTGTTCATTCAACGTCCGTCCATCACGTTCTCCGCCGCCCTCTCCTTCATGTCGCATGCGACCACCATCTACTATTGGCAACTTCCAGCCTGTCTCTCGAGTGCCAGATGATGATGGCAGAGAACCAAGCCAGAGCGCATTTTCGCTTGATAACTCGGCCAGCTTCCCTTCCCCTCATAATTCACCACCCATCTCGCTTCCCCCTCCCGCGCAGCTCTTCAGGTCAGAGCCTCCCCCACAGTATGAAGTGCCGTCCTCTGCGGATTCAAGTAGCATTGGACCTCAGCGTGTTGGCCTAGCGCCTTTGCATTCCTTGCAACGCAGTCACCCCTACAAACGAGACCCTGTGGACGATAGAGCCCTTCGGCTGCTAGGACCACGTTCCGGGTGACTATTCGCTGGTTGCCTGTCATCAGGTGATAAGTGACATGTCATCGCATCACTGTCCGCTTGCGTCCATCATTCTTGCGTAAAGACGCACATCACTGACCCGCGGGAAGAGATGTGTGTGTACCTGTGATTAGGCGTGCTTGGCTTTTTACCGAGCAAGCGTCGTTTTCTATGCGGTCCCTAGTAGTAGCAATCAAACGTTCCTCTTCTTCGCTTATGGTACGTTATATATCCATAACCATTCCTCGGTACATACTTGGTCTCGCGCTGAAATCGCGCTGTCAATACGATACGATACGTGCACAACATGTATACATACACATATATTGTACTTTTGGCTATTTGAGAATGCCGTCGCGGATGTTTGTCTCGATCTTCATCACGATCTTGGTGACCTTGTTCAGTTATATTAATATCCTAGCGTGTGTATAAAGCCAACGTCAAGCCGTAATACCTTATGATAAAAGTACAAAATGGGTGCCATTATAGCGTATGTAGGGGTCTGGGGCGAACCTGCAACTAATATGCGAAACGAATATAAATATATATATATATAGAATGGCTTGAGAATGGCGGCCTTGAACTTAGGTATTCGTCAATAAACTATAGATAAGGCTCGGTGAAAATAAACTCTTTCGTCCGTAAACGAGATAGAGACGATGAACAATACTGACGGGGTTATACATCGGATAATCCGTTCGGTTCAACGGCAAATTTTATTCCGTGTTCACGGGGTTTTGTCAGAGAAGTATACTAGAACGATTCAAGCTGAGCCGAGACAATGGAAGGTTTTCTACGGCTTGGCGGGACCCCTTGGCATGAACTTTGTATTGTTCCGCCTTGTTGGTCTTTCGAACTTGCCGGCAAGTTCCCATGGCACCGATCGCTCAGGTTCAGACTGCTTGCTTTGGTTAAAATGATAAAATTTACGATGCCTGGTAGAATACACTGGAATTAAATGACATGAGGACGAAGCTTATGTCCAAGATAGCTGCTGAGGAGAGCAATGACGGAGATTTGACAGGTGCCTAGTAGTAAAGCTAGCGTCGTGACTACCACTCGAATTCGCTGCGCGGTGTCAGTGCCAACTCATCAATCAAATCAGGACCACGCACCCCGTGCATTTGGCAAATAGATAGTCCTTCCCATTGATATGGATCATACCGTCCTTGAGGAGGCATTTCCATTTGTTTTTGACACGGCCGACCTGAGAAACATGAGCTCAGAGATCTGGATCAATGGATGCCAGATTTGCCTACCTTATCGTATGTGCAGAACACAATATCAGTCTCGCCTTGTCCACCCTCTTCAGCATCTTCTTCGCCCTCGGTGTCTGAGTCGTCGAGGTCGCTGTTGATGGCCTCGGCATCCTCTGTGTGCGTCGTCGATGATACCTGCGATGGTTGGGGAAGCGAAGGGTGAGATGCACGAGGCGCAAATGGCTGACTAGGCGGAGGAGAAGGTGAGTCTGATTCAGACGATGAAGGTCCATCAACCTGAGGGATCCTCTGCCCTGGTGCTCTTGCTTGAGGTGCAGGAGGACTGGCGGCGGCGGGAGCGCTTGGCGGTTGAGGGGAATGTTGAGGAGCTTTAGAAGGTGGCTGCGGAACTGGGGGCGCGTATGGCCTAGACATGGTAGGTGGACGTTGTAAATGCCCTGGGTGAGGAGGGAACGACAGTACGCCTTGCTGTCCTCCAGGAAAGCCCGGTGTTTTGAGACCGTTCAATTGAGGCCCAGGGAGCGGCGGTAGAGCGTATGGCATGCCCGGAGGAGGAGCACTTAGGACGTATCGATTATCCACTGGTTCCGTCTTAACTTGTGGACCTTGGGGTTGCGCAACAGGAGGTGGCGGTGGAGCATATGCGTGCGGAGGAGGGTAGTGCGGGTGATGGGGAACCATCATAGGATGCGGAGGGTACATATGGTGGTGCTGTGGAGGCGGAGGCGGCTGTGGCTCAAACTCTGCAACATGCGATGCAATGACTTTGCTTTCCCATTTCTGCAAGAGCATTCGCATCACCGAAATTCTTACACTATGATATGAACGGGAATGATAAGAAGTATATGCTCACATGTTGCAACTCTGCAAGAACTTCTTCGCTGACGCCGTACTCGTCGAATTCGGGCTTAATGGCGGAAATGACTTCGTCTATGACCGCGCGGTAGATGCCAGGCTCAAAAAATGTCTCTGTTACCGGACTGAACTACTACAGACAAGTTCGGGTGAGCAGCTCACCACTATCTTATTCGACATTGTGAATGTCGCCAGCGACGATTGACACAGCGAGCTTAGGATAGGGTCGTGGTGGGGGAATGAGGGAGTCCTTTTATACTTCAATGGCCTGTGAGACAGGCAGGTAGATTCAAACTCAGCTAGACATCATATGCAGCGTTCCCACGCACGGGCCAACAGTTACAAGTCCAGGTGACGGTAGTACTGGCATTGACTAGCGCATAACATACAGTTATAAATCACAGGTACTTATAAGACGGAATACGAACTTCTTCCTGTAGCCTAAGGCGACGGACGTGTGGACGACGACCAAAGGCGCTGATTAAGGTGGTATAGCGTAAGCACCGTAAATGGAAAGTTAGAAACTTGACAGTACACCATTCCGCGCAACTTGATTAAATCCTTTGTGAACATGGGTCGTCGACTTTGCAGCGCTCTGTCTTGTCTGCTGTTAGTCGGTTTATCGCAAGCAGCCGACGTATATCTCAGCCCATCTCAGGAATTTCCATCCCGGCTCTCCCTTCAGCATGCTGATTTTGCCTTGTCGCAACATCTGGGTCTCGAGCCAATCGAGAATTTCCAGGATTATGGCGAACTGCTAAGAGAGCACGAGTTTGTCGCACAAGGGGCTTCAAACGCATTATTTTTACTAGTAGACGATGCTAGTTTACAAGGTTTGGTTGTCCCACTCCAGGAGCAAGTGCAGTGACAATTAACAAGTCGCACCTTCAGACATCATTCCTTCTTTCATGAGCCGCTCGTTCTCGATCGCAGGGGCACCCACTAGTTCCCTTACTTCCTTTGTGCCCTCGTATCTGAAACGCGCCACTCATTCATACTCCCTCGTCTACTCTGATCTCGCTATTCCCCCAGAAGGCATCCCTCGGACTCTTGACATATTTTCTGCCCCAACACCCGCAAACGAAGCTTTCCTTGCAGAAATATCAACACTTACCAAATTCATCGAGACAACCGCAGATATCTATGATGACAAGTTCGCGTCCTTGGAGTTAACAGGACTGTCCCAGCTCGCAGCTACATATGGTCGTTCAAGCGACCAGTACCAGCTTGCAGCAAGAACAATCCGAGCCGTTCTTGAAGCCAGTACTGCTGATGCAAAGACCCGCGTCGCCGTCTTGTCCTACACCCCCTCTCTTATGCTGGACAAACGACAACCGCAGCCACCGCAGCAGTCACCCCTTCCAGCACTCCGCCCACCCGTGGGACCACCGATTCGTCATTTTGCCTCTTGCCTCACGAGCTCTGAGGCCTGCTCCAACGCGACCAATGCTTGTTCTGGTCATGGGCAGTGCGTGAGCACCCTCAGTGCTGAACAGGAATGTTTCGTTTGCGCTTGCTCTGACACCAAGTCTAATTCTGGGAAGACGGAAAGCTGGGTGGGCGATATGTGTCAGCGCAAGGACATCAGTAGGTAAGTAGTTGGTTGCATCGTTTCTCTTGGTTTTGTTCGTTGACTGGTCTGTACCAGCACCTTCGTGTTGATCGCAGGGACAGTGATCACACTTATCATCTTGATGGGAGGCTCTATTTCGTTGCTTTACTCCATCGGTGGCGACGAGCTTCCTAGCATCCTCACAGGTGGTGTGGCAAGTGGATTGAGGAAAGAGTGAGAAGACGCCAATATCTGTTGCATAGTAGGCTGGCTCGTAGATCTTGTCGCCAATTGCAGGTCTTCATGATGCATGATACTTTGATGCCACTCGACTTGGTGGCGTACTGTTCTTCCAGACTGATATTTGACAATTTTCACAAGTCTGAGGTTGTTGGGTATGAAGACTTCTTGCGACATACTGGGCAAGCGTAACTTGGCATGTTGTACAATTACTCAAATATTATAATCTCAAGCTACAAATTTATGATTCGTCTCGCAGCTCGACCTCGAGAGCCGCACTGCTCACCCAAATATGAATCGCACTACTCATCCCATCGTCCATCCTCTGCGTGCACCAGATATTCAATTCTCCCGTGCGCTTATACAACGGCATACAGTGCGTCAATCTGATTGACTCGGATCTGTTCATCAACATGCTGTTCGAAATATCCATACGTCCCAAGTGACTCCTGTCCGCCCATGTTTCGTGTGACTGTGCTTAACATACTAGACGTTATAAGGGTGATGGTATAAAGGTCTGGAATTCGTTTCCTATTCTTGTCGTGGTAATCGCCAAAGCAAGCCCGGCACGGTTGTAACAATATTTGTTGGGGATGTCCCCGACGAAACCAGGATGGCAGACGAGGCTCCGCCTGTCCTATACAGATTGCTGAAGGACGAACACAAAGAGACACTCCTCTACTTTGCTGTGCAGCAGAACAAGGAATCCAAGCTTCTATCAAAAGTCAGTCGTGCATTACTCCTTCCCTGCGGGACCCTCTCATGTTGCGTTATGGGCATCGCAGGCTGCGTGCCGTCCCAACACCCATCTTGACATTCGTGTTCCTTATCTTCATCTTCGTCCTCACTCTTCGCTTGATGAGCTTCAGCGCCGTGCCTTCTTCACGTCTGGTACCCACACAATTAGCTTCCACATCCACGACACCAGACCTGTCATGGAGGAAGGAATGCAGACAGACCTATTATCAACACACCAAGCCATCCGCTCACCCACCGGGCCACAGCACGCATATCTCACCTTGATAGTCAATAATCCCCATGATTAGGTGTACACATGAGCCTTGAGAAGCTCAGCATGCCCCCGCGCACGAATTGACCAAAGCAAGCCCGGCACGGGTGTAACAATATTTGTCGAGGGTATGGTGTGCCAAACGAAACCAGGATGGCCGCCGAGGCTCCGCTTGTCCTATACAGATCGCTGAAACACGAGCACGAGGAGACGTTCCTCTACTTTGCCGTGCAACGGAACAAGGAATCGAAGGTTCTATCAAACATCAGTCGACCATTACTCCTTCCCTACTCGGTCAAGACTGATACTTCCCTGGATGACCCTGTTACGGGCCTCACAGGCCATGTGTCGTCCCAACACGCCCGTGAATGCGGAAAAGAAATGAACAACGTCCATAAATTCTATCGCATGGTATCATGATCGTTCCTCCCCGTCCTGATATTCGTGTTCCTCATCTTCATCTTTGTCCTCACTCTTCAGGAACGCACTTGATGAGCTTTAACGCCGTGTTCTTCGGGCCTGATACCCACACGCTTAGCTTCCACGTCCACGACACCAGATCCTGCCATGGAGGGAGGAATGCAGACACAATCTAAAACCATTATTAACACACCAAGCCATCCGCTCACCCACTGGGTCACATACGCATACTCACCTTCGATAGTTAATAATCCTCATGATTAGGTATATGCATGAGCCTTCAGGGGCTCAGCATCCCCCCGCGCACGAATCAAAGACCCGGAGCTGGGCAGGCTCGAAGTGTTGTGTGAAGAAGAGACTTTTGAGTGCTGCAGGCTTGGGCTTTGCGTCAAGGTTCTCTAGCGTATGGGTGAGATCGCTGTACGGTCTTACGATAGTTGGGGAGAGGAATCCTGCAGCGCGGGCTGTGTTGAGGATAGCGAATGGGTGAGTGATAGGCACGGGAATTGGAGGACGTTTGGAAGCAGGCTGTTCTGTGTGGCACACGATTGGCTTAACGTGAGATGCAAATAAAAGGGCAAGTTTCATGGCCAGTGTTCTCATTGAAGTTAGGTATCTCTTCATCTGATTTCCGCAGGGCTTGCTCAAGTATTGATGTCCTCCGGGGGATGTCGGCGACGATGCGTGGTACGTCATCAGAGCTGTCGAAGATGCAGGTTGTGGAAGCAAGGGAAGTGCCTTGGGCAGCCTGAACCGACTTTGACCTATTGAGGCTGGCGTGTGAGACATCACTAGGCTTGTGCTCTGGCAAGCGATACAGCCTGTCAGAAGCCGAACTGGATGCAGTGGAACTATGAGATCAGGATTGATGAGCAGTGAATGGATAAGTGCACTCTTTGCGGTCTCCTTGAGAGCAAAAGCCCAACTCCTTTATACGACACAGTATGATCACTGCGAACCCCAACAGAATTGATAAAGCCAAACGGCCGTACAAGTTCGTAAGCTAGCCGAAGCGCACTGGTATTACCAACAACCTTCGAGTGATGATTTAAGGAAAGGTCTACATCAAGTTGCATGGAATTCGATTGAATTTGAAGGGTTTGTTTTTCTGCGGTAGGATTAGACAGTGTTATGAAATGAACGTGTTAAATGGACAGGCCTGTTTCAGTAATAGCACTGTGCTTCTACTATTATCGTGAACACGCAACTCACTGCAATGCTCTTCTTCAGTAAAGCTGGGCCAATTAGAATCAGATTATCTATGCCGAACTGAATGCAGCATTGCACACACCTGAGGATCAAGACCAGATTGTTCGATATGACTCATCTTCAAGTAATGAAATACATGGCAGCTCATCAGTGTGCACTTGGTGTGTAGCTTCAGATTCACAAATTTCAATATGTAACTGAGTTACTGGCCTGAAACGAGTTCCTAGACAAGGGGAGGTTTGTATGAAAAGTGCATAGAACGACATGGCAGAGCACTTACCCACAAATAGTAACCTCCTCCACAACCGAGAGCAACGACCCAATATCATTAGCATCAACTCTGCTGAGCATTGCGTCCGTCTGAAAGGTTACCACCGGTACGTGGAAAGATGCCACCCTTGACGCTGCCAAAAGACAATCTTGTTTGGTAGTCCTAGTGTGGTCCTGTCAAAGTCAACTTCCTTAACACGAGAAGATGAAGTCGGCTAAATGTCCCAATAAACTCTTGCAGACAGTCAAGCTTTCAAGATCTGACAACGAGATGCAGAGGTAAAAGTCATCGATTCAAGGTCAGCATGCGTCGCCGAATCACTTGCAACAACAGTACAGATTTCATTCACCACGAAGATCTCCAGACAAGTAAAATGTTAAATGAATCGTATGTCTCGCAGGAGAGCAGACTGGAGGTGGAGAGGACGTATGTTGAGATGTTTGACATATTTCTGTGATGTGGACGTGTTCATAGCAATAGCAAGTATTGATGCGTAGGCGAGAAAGCTTCCGCGATTTAGTAGATGTGCGGAAGTCTGTCCAACGACACTTCAATGTGGATTGTGGTGTGTCGAAGTTATGATTCCAGTCATTGACATAACCACCGATTCCCAATATCTCCTCTTAAAAAGGAGGATCAAGGCCCTCGACGGTCGAACTCGTAACAGGATCTAAGTGGGGGAGGGGTGACAACATTGACTGAAATGATACTATCTCCACATGAGAAGATCCTGGGACAATCTGGCACGTCGTCAACGATGAGCAAGAGTACTTTTGAGGGTCTGCTGGCAGCCGATAAATGAGAGGTTGGCGAAAAGGACATGTGGACGGGGGATGAACAATGCATGGATCTTGCGTAAGAGCACTTCTGATAGGCTCCAGTCTGGGAGTGTGCCAGGCTGCCATCAGCCCTTGTCAACGTTTACCACGACGACCACACACTTTTGACAACCAGAACGATTTGATCTTTGGCGAAAACTACAACAGCGACCGGTTAACATGGGTGTTGGCATTCCATTTTCTAAGAAAATGACATGGCGGGCGGGAAGGCGGGCGGCGGAGGTGATTAATTCATTCTAGAGATGCGGGGTCAGTACTAGTGCTTCAAAGCTTCAGCTGCCACCTCCCGATTGGTAATCAAACTTATTGCTCAGGCGGCTGGCACACACAGACAAAAACCCCAGTCTATAAGTTTTACTTTCACTCAACTTCGCAACTATCAATGCAATTGACCAGTAAATATGTTCGTACACTTTCAATATTCAAAATCATAACCTATGAAATTTCACCACCCAAGTCTCAGGTGGCTTCCCACCACCCGGAAAGAGTCTGCTCCTTGCAAATGCTTCATCTTTCATAAGCCCCGCGAACGCAACACGAGATCCAAGCCAATCGACACGGAGCAGTAACCTCTCCCGCTGCATGGAGATATGATTTGGTACTAATGCGCTGGGTGCAAATCTCACTGTTGGCCTGGTGCGTGCCGCAGAATTCGAGCCCCCCTGCAATGCAGGTTGTATCATTGGGCGACGATCACGTGCTCTGATAAGACTCGCGCGCCTATCATGTCCAGCGGTGCCCCACTCAGTGTCCGTGAGTGGGTGCTGCAATGCAGCATGCAGGGTAGCGAGAACATCAAGACACGTCACGCCCTCTTCTCCAGCACCGGGGTCAGGACAGATGTCAAATGTCCAGGGAAAGTCTGGGCTGATGAGCCGTATCTGTCTAGGCCGTTCTGGGGTGAGTGGGACGAAGAGTAGCTCGTACCCGCAGCCTGCATATAAAGATGACAACGGAAAGGCGAGGGATGTATGCGGGAAGCGTAGGTCGTATCTTATTGGCACGAATGACATCGAGAGAAATGGGTGGGGATAGGCTAATGAGAGAGAAGTATGAGGAACGATGGGGATCATAAATTGTATCTGAGGCATACCATTTTGGGTTTCGTTAACGTTCGATGACACTGTTCGTGGAACAGAATGGTCATCTAGAAGAGATATTTGAACACCTTGCAAGTTAGTAAAATCAAGATGCGTACATATTAGCCGTGAATTGGGGATGTTGCAGTCGACAGGACTTATTTTATTTGCAGATGCTAGCCGAACAAATTAAGCTTGAATTCAAGGTGCGACTATGGAAAAGGCGAGTACCTTGTACCCCCAAATTCATGTGCGAGTGACGTTCATATTGGAGATGAGCGGGATAACTTGAAGATTCTAACAACAGCTGAACTGAGAGCTGAGAGCCGTAGAAAATAATCACAGCTCACGGGTATGGGCAGCGTTTATCTGCGGACGATGCGAGGGTATATTGTTTGCTACAGTAATATGCCGTGCCGTTGATAGAGGTGAAGTGACATGGGGAAGCTGCACTGTGGGATGGGGAAACTGCTCGGGGGGATGGGGAAACTGGCCTGGGGGATGGGGAAGCTGCACTGGGGGATGGGGCCACCCTGCGTAGCGAGCATTGTGAAAAGCATGAGGCAAGATAGTGGGATTACGGGTAACCCATTGGGAGTGCCAAGGGGGATGTGTTGTAGAAGACATCAGGGAGATAACGATGATGTATCAAGAGTGAGGCCTTGAGGCTTGAGGCATTGCGGGGAGGGCCCATTATATAGTTTTCAGGTTTGTCTGAGTGTTCGTTTCCTATGTGAGTAGTCTCGGGAGATGCCGAAAGATCGGCATCTGCGGTCATCAATGCATCAGGCGTCAACCTTGCAGACCGGGTAAAGCAGAGTCTGGGACACTCGACACCCTGCTGTAAAGCTCCTACGCTTCCAATTTTCTGTTAGCGAAGCACGTAGTACCTGCGAGCTCCTATGTCTGTACGTAGATCAAAGAGACCTAGATGATACCTGATCGATTGATAAGAGACAGCGACATACGTTCCTCGAGCTTGAGTATTAGAAAACCACATTAACTAGCACCCCATACTGTGCATTTTCTCATGTTCCCTCGTATGACCGGCCAAACAGAATCCTTAATGTAGCACTTACCCTTATCCTGGTATCCAAACGCCCCCATCAATAGTATTTTGGGGGTATTCCTGTGTCAAATGTTTTGAGCGCGTGGACACCTCCACAGAAGATGTTTGATCCTTACCGGGTCACATTTTTACCCGCTCGAACACAAATGTCCTCGCAAATAGTCTTTGGCTCCCACGGCGATCTCAATCCATTTGTAAGGACGAACGAGTGCGACGTCAACGTTTCGACGTGCATCAACTGCGTTATGAATCTGAAAAGCACGCGCGCGCAGCGGATCAACGTTAACAGCGAATACTTACATATTACATAATATAGCTTTGGCTCGCAAAAATACAATAGGTTCCTGATTCTACGCTATCCATATTTCAGTATGCGGATGTGGCTCAGCAGGCGTTCTCGTCCGAATCGAGTACTACACTGCATCTTGCGATCCCTGCACTCGAGACTCTCCATAGAGCTTGGTCTTCACGTGCAGGACGGCCAAAATATGCACGTTTTGCACCTGCATTGCACGCCGCTGCACAAAAGCTCGATGAATATTATGAGAAGACCACTGGCTCCCCGGCCTATGTCATGACCATGTGTATGTGCTGACTGTTTCATGTTCCATGCGTCTTCGATGTTAATGTTGCATGCAGTGCTTGATCCGACAGGTAAAATGTTGTATTTCAAGAAGAACTGGCCGGAACATTTGCAAGATGATGTTCTTGCTTGCGCCGAACGAGTGGTATGTCTGACCGAATTATTCACCAGCTCACATTCACTTACAAACCATGTAGTTCGAGGCTCGCTATCGTGAATTGGGCCAAGCAGCATCCACGTCGCAACCATCACTGGCCAAGAAAGGGAAGGCTAGCGGGCTTAAGAAGTTTATTCGCGAGACACAAAGCTCCGAAGAAGATGACGACGACGAGACTGTTGTCACTCATACAGATCCATCTAGACCATGGTATGCGAGTTTCAAAAACTATATTGATGCTGTAGAGACAAAACCTCCACCGGGAATGAGTGCAATCCAATGGTGGGGAGTAAGTACACAACTGAGTCCATATCTTCTCGCTACTGACTGGTTCTTTGTTGTAGATCAACGGACACAGATATGGGGCAGTATGGACCTCAATTGCTCGTGACTACCTGTCAATTATGGCATCGTCAGTTTCAAGTGAGCGCGCGTTCTCACAGGGCGGTATCACTATCAGCAAGCGCCGAAACCGTCTCAAGGGTGACATCGTTGAGGCACTTCAATGCGTCAAATGCGCCCTCCGCCACGACGTACTCTTCCATGAGCCTGGACCATCATCATCAACTGAGGAAGCTCTCGAGGACTTGGATATTGAGTCAGACACTAGCGACTCCGAGAAGCTGAGTGATGCCGAGGATGAAGGTTGGGACGCTCTTCTGGAGGGAGATGAGGATCTCGTAGAATCAGACAGCGACTTCGTGTAAATAGTATGTCATCCTTGTCTGAACCATTTTTCTGTTTTCAGTGCTCGGGCCGCGGCTCAGGCCGAGCCAGGCCAAAGCCAAGCCGTCATTGACGGCTTTGGCCTGGCCCGCAGTTTTTCAAAGCCAAAGCCGTCTGAAGCCAGGCCGAAGCCGCGGCTTTCAGGCCAAGCCGGGCCGTGCACATCACTACTATCCACACGCACACCCATCAGCATCACACCCACTCAAACTCCTGCACCATCACTTGGCAGACACTACTTATATTAGAAGTGTAAAATTGACGCCCTAATACGCTATCGTAACTTGGAATGCACCTGTCGAGCATAGGCCTAGCCTCAAATTTCTATATGGAACTTTCCACCGTACGTAGATACCATGCTACTACTATGCATGTTGTCTACTTACAACCTCAATTGTATCAGCCGATTCGGGGTACCGAAATAATAACACAGTCTGTCGTTCCCGGGCCCAGTGAGGTCATTCACTCAGGCACCCATCAACACTGCGCAGCAAACACAGCCACCTGTTCATGGCAGGGTGATACTTAACCATGTCTAACTATACACAGTACATTTTGTAAGTTTGTCTCGGAGTCACCAACATGAAGCTTCATGAAGCTTAACAGGCACGATGCCTCACTGGTTCTAAAGATCGGGATCTCTCTTGTGATCTCGATGCTACTGGAAATGTTTTTCTCAGGCTTCCAAGAATAGCGCTACCACCGGAAAAATTACCAAATTGGGATATTCCAATAATCTCACTATTCCCACATACCTCCCTGGCTCTACTGCTGCACCAGAGCTTTCCCCTTGCTCACTCATGTATATAAGTAGTAGAATGGCATGTACATACATAAAATGATACAATAGACCGCTTTTTTCATTGTCTGAGAGCTTGTACAGCAGTCTACAGTACTGACTACAATATGTGCATCCCAGGACTAAAACATATTCGCTTTTTTGCCCCTTTAGCAGGGAAGCAATTCTGACTGTATATATCATATATTAGAGTGTTAATGAATATATTACACCGCTTGTTTGAGCCTCTGTAGTGTCCTACATCAGTAGATATGTTAAATTCATGAATACCTCTCAAAAAACATAAACCAGTTCGCATTTTTTAGTGTTTAGGTATATAGACTGGTGAATATTATTTCTAACATCTCTTTACTAGTATATACATCATATCAAGAGTATATGTCAGCAGGATCAGTCCCTAGGGTCATATGTATTGTCATCTTCCTGGTGGTTCACTCCCTGAGAAAATTTTTCCTGCAGCTCCGGCCCTCTAGGATGGTAGGTAGTCTTTTACTATGAACATATGGAATATATTTATCACATAGGTATACCAGAACAATACCAGGATCCTTGTCTACAATCCAAAGTCACTTTTTGCCTACAATGTACCATATTTTCGCATTTTTGAGGTTTTTCACTACATTCTCACTACATAGACTATACCAGCTGTTCATATATCACTTATAGTACATATATGAAGCCTTCCCAAGGCCATGATCAGGCAGAAATATGTCAGAGTAATGATATCAAGCACATATCTCCTATTCTCACTGATAAGAATTCCCAGACATGAATATAGTAAAATATTATGATCAGACTATCTTGGAGTACACTATATATACCAAGTAATACAGTCCTCGACTACCAGAAGGATCCATGAATAATTGACAGCAGGGGAATCCAATAGATAAGAAATAGGTCGTGGGAAAGTCAAAAAGTCCAAACATCGAAAAAGTACTATGCACCAACAGTCTATGCAAGGGTGGTCTGACCATAATAATGCAACAAATTGAGACCACAACACTTCCACATCACCTTTACCTTCACAACATATATTAGTATAGTATATTTAAGTAGTTTACAATGTATTCTATACATTTTTAATGAAATCTTCGCCCTAGACAGGGTTGAAATATAACATTTGCATGATTGTGGGATTTGCCCCTATATCATTGATATCATTACTATGTCATATTTCTGCCTGATCATGGCCTTGGGAAGGCTTCATATATGTACTATAAGTGATATATGAACAGCTGGTATAGTCTATGTAGTGAGAATGTAGTGAAAAACCTCAAAAATGCGAAAATATGGTACATTGTAGGCAAAAAGTGACTTTGGATTGTAGACAAGGATCCTGGTATTGTTCTGGTATACCTATGTGATAAATATATTCCATATGTTCATAGTAAAAGACTACCTACCATCCTAGAGGGCCGGAGCTGCAGGAAAAATTTTCTCAGGGAGTGAACCACCAGGAAGATGACAATACATATGACCCTAGGGACTGATCCTGCTGACATATACTCTTGATATGATGTATATACTAGTAAAGAGATGTTAGAAATAATATTCACCAGTCTATATACCTAAACACTAAAAAATGCGAACTGGTTTATGTTTTTTGAGAGGTATTCATGAATTTAACATATCTACTGATGTAGGACACTACAGAGGCTCAAACAAGCGGTGTAATATATTCATTAACACTCTAATATATGATATATACAGTCAGAATTGCTTCCCTGCTAAAGGGGCAAAAAAGCGAATATGTTTTAGTCCTGGGATGCACATATTGTAGTCAGTACTGTAGACTGCTGTACAAGCTCTCAGACAATGAAAAAAGCGGTCTATTGTATCATTTTATGTATGTACATGCCATTCTACTACTTATATACATGAGTGAGCAAGGGGAAAGCTCTGGTGCAGCAGTAGAGCCAGGGAGGTATGTGGGAATAGTGAGATTATTGGAATATCCCAATTTGGTAATTTTTCCGGTGGTAGCGCTATTCTTGGAAGCCTGAGAATCACCAAAGGAATCAGAAGCCGTTAAGCTTAATTGTAGGGGATTGATAGTTTACAAACAAACTTACAAAACCATACCGTTTCTAGTCAGTGAGTATTATGCTTAATTTTAACAGTATAGCCTGACACAGCTGAGTGCTAGACTGGCGTGGCTGGCAATCTGCCTGCCTCTCGCAGACGGTTAGTCTCAACCTGATTATCAACGCTAATTACCTGTGGTCTACTCCTACTGACTAGTAAGCTATGCAAATGGGTCTCCCCTAGTCAGATCATATACTAGAAGGAAAACAGCCGTTCCTTCTCGATTGTGACCTGCACTACCACCCCCCGCAGGCCTCACTCAGCGGTGCCAGTGTGTACCTGACAAGTACTCAAGTCGCTAGGTCCTGTCGGTATATCTGCTCTGTTGTACAATGAGTATTGGGTCGATGTCGGTCAAACATCTCCTGAAAACGACGCGACTTTCAATTCTCCAGTGCCCGTCCTACTTATTTCCGTGTCGGCGTTAGCTCAGCGACCTTCATTGACAGCCCGGGACTTTTCAGAGATCCAATGGACCATATTTGATGGCCCGAGGACTTTAAGCGATCTAAGGGATCACATGTGGTGACCAGGTGGTGGCCCGGGAGATCTAATGCACCATATGGATATATGTCATAGGCTGACCCATCGCGAAGATCGTGCTATATCAGGACATCCAAAGTCATTCTCTGGGACTTTGTTTCACCGCCCGGAATGAGTTTGTTAATTAGAGACGTTGCAGTGTCAAAAGGACTCGTTACACCTGCGGATGCCGATAGAATACGACAAATTTGAGGATTTGAACTTAGACGTAGAACCAAATAATAGCTGACTACTTTGCGCCCAAAAATTTGAGCGAGGACGAGCTTCATACTGAGGGTGAACAGGACAAGGTTCTAGTAGCAGCCGAACAAAGAGCTGTAGAACACGAATTAGAGCTCACGGGCATGGCCAGTGTTAGCCTCATGCAGACAATGTGTTGAAACATCAATTGCAAAGACAACGCGTTCTGTAGTAAATGGAGATGAAGGAACACGATGAAGCGAGGAAGCCATAGTGAGGAGTTGAAGCACCCTTCATAGCGAGCATTGCGCAAGACTGAATGCTTTAGAATGGTGTGATCAGAGGTAGGCCAATGACATTGCCAGTGATGAGTTAGAGAAAACATGGGGAAGTGACATGGATGAATGAAGAGGGCTCGGAATACTCAAGATAGCCAGATATCGCGGTGAGCAAGGATCGGGGTGAAGACATATGCGAAGGGAATTGTATAGTAGTACGCGACATGGCCTGTCGAAGTAAGTCTGTCCGCAGGAAAATGAGATCCTGGACCCAACTTCGCGTATGAAAGCCCTGAACGCTCTGCCAGGACTCGGAAAGGACGTCTAAGCGTGAAATTGGATGTAATAAGTCCTAGTCCTAATGGGCACGAGGTTGTGGATATGTGAGATGTTCATTTGTTAGTACTATGTACCATGCCATTGATCTGGCGCTGAATTTACTTACTTAGAAATCGTCGACCATGCAATGTCAGCAGGACCTTACACGAAGGGCAGCGAACAAGGAACGACAACGGGAACCCAGGAAAGTGCGTCTACAACCCAACAAAGACGGGAAAGTAGTTTGACATAAGCTCCACTTCTGGATTCTCACACAATTCGCATTGGAAGTGCCCCGCAGCTTCCTAGACAATAATCACAATCATGGTCCGGATCGTGGGACGAGCTTTTTACCAGAGTCTAGACTCACTGACATGCAATAGGCCGACTACTGGCAGTGGGGTCATAATCAGCCCATATCCGGTAGAGCGCCCACCGCAGCATTTATGGCGTCACAAAGGGACACGGTCCAATCACAGAGTGATGAAGGAGGGAGCATGTGTTTGGATTCAGAAGGTAGCTATATTGTGTGCAATGCGTCAAGGTGACGTGGACTTCCCTCAGGAAATAAACATGTTGGATGTTGGCTGCCAGTGATAGTAAAATCAAGTTAGACCAAAGTTAGACAGACATGATTGCTCGAGCCGGGACCAACATTTTTCAATCTGGAGTTGACTCGCAAAATGCCGCCTGTGTCAGTAGAAACCTTGTTGTAGCGGACGCTGCGGACCACGGCATGATCTAGATACTAGAAGAAGCGAGGGAACGGAGTCGGTGTCGCGCCAATCCTAATCCCAATTAATTGAGACGGCAATTGAGATCCGAGTACGAATAGAGGACGTGAGAGGATCAGGAACGACATGCAGGTGGGGCTGAGGCAAACTCACACGGTTCTGATTGACTAGTTGGTGTCGATGAGCCAGCGCTCGAGCGCTCAATATTATATTTTGATACGACGGCTGATGCTCACAGGTCGACCGGTCAATATTCAATATTCAATATTCACGTGTTCCGCATTGCCATCATTACATTTTATGGTGCCCGCACAATGTCCACAGAAAGATCCTTCTCGTCATCAGGAGCTGTTGCACGACTTAGATTTCAACGCAGGCAGTTCGCAACGGTCACAAAATCTCGATAAAAATAGCCAATAGTAAGACGTTTGTACATTTTCTCTGGACCTTCAGAGTCATAATATTTGGAACTTCACCATCCACGTCTCAGGGTGCTCCCTACCACCCGGAACGAATCTCTTCTTCGCAAAAGCCTCATCCTTGACTAAGCCTATGAATGCAACGCTGGATCCAAGCCAGTCAACACGGAGTAGCAGCGGCTCCTGCTGCCACGGCACAGCTCTCTCAAAGCTTACTGTGGGTCTAGTGGGTGCCACAGGATTTGAGCTCCCGTGCAATGCAGGTTGTATCCTTAGACGACGGTCGCGTGCTCTGATAAGACTCGCACGTTTATCATCTCCAGCAGCGCCCCACTCGGTGTCTGTGAGTGGGCGCTGCAATGCAGCGTGCAGAGTAGAGAGAATGTCGAGACACGTCACAACCTCTTCTCCGGCACTTGGGCCGATGTCAAACGCCCAGGGAAAGTATGGGCTGATGAGCCGTATTTGCTTGGGCCTCTCTAGCGTAAGTGGGACGCGGAGGAATTCGTACCCGCAGTCCGCAAATGGAGATGATGGTGGAAAACGGAGAGAGGTGGGCGGATGGCGCAGATCATATAATAATGGTACAGATGGTGGTGCAAGAAATGGATGTGGGAAGGCTGGTGGGATATATAAGAATCAATCCATAAACACAAGGGCGTCTAAGCCGTACCCTTCTGTGTGTTAAGGTTTGATGGCATCATTTGTCGTGTGAAATGGCAGTCTAGAAAAACATACAATTGAACATCTTGTGAGTTAGTAAAATGAAGGAGAACACGTACGTATGAGCCCTGCGTTCTCTGTATCATGTTGAGCTGTGGTACGCGTCTCAGGAACACCTTGGAGAGACGGAATATAAGCACCGCCTTATCACCCAGATTAGGTCGTACAATGATCTAAACAAATGACGACAGAGAACCCACCATTCCATGACCATGAATGAGAAATGTTGCGGTGTTGAGAGTCAACATAATCCATTGTATCAGCGGATGCTAACAAAGCAACTTAAGCTTGAAAATAGAACCATAGAAAAGGAAATCACCTTGCGTTCTGGAATTTGTGCAGGGGTGAGTTGCGTATGGATGAGATTCTAGTGACAAGTAAGCATAGAGTCCGAATAGATTGAGAATTTGAACTACGGCTATTGGTGGTAGTAACCTCATAGGGATGACGCGAGGAGGCATCAATAGTAAAAGCAACACGGGGAAGTTGTATTGGGGGGCGGACCCATCCTGCATAGCGAGCATTATGCAAGGCTGGAGGCGAGATGGCGGGTCTAGCGGTAATATACTGGTACTGTGAAGGGGGACGAGCTGTAGAAAACATGGGGAAAAGGTGATGGTGTGTGGAGACTTGGGATGCTCAAGGCATCGTAGTGAGGAAGGATTATATACGTTGGGATGACCTGTTACATTCGGCGAAAGGTATATTTGGCATACGTTCTTGGAATCACCATTAGCAATGCAGTCACACTCGGAATGGCGCTTGAGCGTTCACACGGTAAGTACGAGCTTGGCATGAGTTCCAAATCAGTACGGCACATGCACAGGAACGTAGAAAATCACAGTAAGCATTGCCTTACGCTTCATTGACCAAAAAAACGAGATCATTTGTGATTACCATTAGTTTCGGACGCTGCTGAGTGTTAAAAAAATACAAGTATTGTCCAATTACACCGGGGTGCGATAAAGTTGACTGCATACTGTGCTGCAAGATTTATGACCCATGTCAGTACCGATAACATGGATCGCAGAAAGAAACTTGCCTTGGCGAGTGTCATAATATGCGTACGATGCACCTGCCGTTGCTTTAATTGGTGCTGACTTTCCTTACCTCAACCGAGCGCCAATGGAGTTTTGATGAGAGACCCTTCTGGACTAGCTGTACGACATAGCAGAACTGCGGAAACGACGCATTGCAACTTGAAGGGGTCACCGTCTTTCTTTGACAAACACCAGAGGAACCATCCCGAAAAAAGGGTGAGAAACGGAGCTCCTACAACTGATATACAGCCGGCATCCTATATGACAGCCGTACACTCTTTTGAACTGCACGCTCCTAAAGGTTGCATCAGTCAACGACCTGTCAGATTCGCGTGGATGACCGAATACATGCCGCATCGTCGTCGTCGCAGTTATCTAATCTTTCGGATTGCACTCTTCCAAGGCCCTTCATGACATGCAAGTTCCGGAAGTCCAAGTATGCACTTGCTGAAGCATGTTTGTCTTGCGCTCTGCGGGAGCTAGAAAACCAAAGTCTCGAGCTAAAGCGGCAGGCCCTCGTAAACGCGCTCGTAGTATTAGTATACACGTCTCCATTTTGGAGATCCTGATCTGAGTCAAGCAACAAAACCGGCAATTAGCGCACGTCCCACGACGTCCCAGTAGCGCTGGTGAGGCAGGGTGGGGCTGGAACGTTCGAACTCTTCCTTATGGCATCTTCTGCTACCATTTACAGGAGCATCCGGATCTTGATATGTGCAACTAACCATAGGAAAACTTCCGCCGCACCGGCCGCGTGCACAGTGGCCGTCTTGACTCTCCATCTAATTCATCCACAATCTCGACAGGAAATCTTGATCTACATAGAAGTAAGACAATCTTTTCATCACGTACATGTCTGATATGCCATGTGCTGCACCTCTTTCTCGGCCGTCTCTTCCCCTCTCCCATTTTCCAACTTCCCCCGATGCCTCTACTCCCATGGGCTGTTCCTGCTTCAGTGCGAGAAAATAAACAAGGTAGAGTGATTGAAGGAGGAGGCATAGCTTCAAGACGTGGTTGTGGCGAGTACTTGCGGCGTTCGGAAGTGGGTAAAGTAGCACCTAGTACCTGATTTCCTGTTTAAAAAAATTGGAAGGTCATTCGCATTCGAGGGTTGCCTGGACCCGTGACAGTGCTGTAATCCCACAACTGTCATCGTGGGATGCTCTTCTTCAGTACTACTGCGCGCAGTGAAGCTCAAAGTTACGAGCGAACGTGAAAGATTCAAAATTGGACCCACTAACCGAGTCCTCGTTGATCGGAAACCTTGCCATATGAGGAGCAATAGCCCCTGTGACGCGCAGAACCAATTTCAAATTTCATGTCTCACCATCTCGATAACCGATACATAAAAGGTTTGTCCAGACATGATTATTATTATTGGCTCTTAAAATTCACAACCCACGTCTCAGGTGGCTCTCCCGCACCCGGAATGAGTCCTCACAAACGCCTCATCCTTGATGAGCTCCCTAAACGCAACACGAGACCTAAAGAAGTCGACAATCTATCATCGAGTAGTCTAACTCTGAGAGATTCCTACGTTTCTGAGCAATGAGAAGGGTGATGGTTATTTACCAGAGCGGGCAAGCAACCACTTGAGGATATGTCGTCCGGGGGACACGACCTGAATGCGTGACAAAACCCATGGCGTTGAACATGCAAGAACCGGTATGCCGGGGAGGGGTAACAACATTGACCGACTCGGAGATGATAGGCCATCTTGAAATGAGAAGATGCTGGGATGATCTGGCACGTCGTCAACGATGAGCAAGAAGTTCTTTCGTTTCGACGAGAGGGACATTGAACAATGTATAGATCTTGCGCAAGACACCTGTGACTCCCTACCTAAGCCCTATAACCTGTGGAACGTGGTGGGCGCGTGTAGTTAGAGGGTGATCGAATGGATAATTGCTGGTCAATGTTGCTCTGGGGTTGACAGGCTGTGGGTTGGGAATGTCCGCCCCTGTTATTGTATACTATTAATATCAAGACCGTCGGCTGCCAGGTACCAGCATAGGACAGCATCAACATGCCTCTCGGCATTTACCAAGAAGGTAACATGAATTAAGCTTAGCCTAGTCAATTTCGCAAATTATCAATACAATGTTGGTACACTTTCTCCTGGACATTCAAAATCATAACCTCTGAAACTTCGCCACCCAAGTCTCAGGTGGCTCCCCACCACCCGGAATGAGTCTGCTCCTTGCAAATGCCTCATCTTTGATAAGCCCCGCAAACATAACACGAGATCCAAGCCCATCGACACGGAGCAGTAACCTCTCTCGCTGCGCAGGATTTGGTGCTGGTACGCCGGGTGCAGACCTCGCTGTTGACCTGGTGCGTGCTGCGGAAATCATTGGGCGACGATCACGTGCTCTGATAAGACTCGCACGTCTATCACGTCCAGCGGTGCCCCACTCCGTGTCCGTGAGTGGGCGCTGCAATGCAGCGTGGAGGAAAGTGAGAATGTCAAGACACGTCACGCCTTCTTCTCCGGCACTGGGGTCAGGACCGATGTCAAATGTCCAGGGAAAGTCTGGGCTGATGAGCCGTATCTGTCTAGGCCGTTCTGGGGTGAGTGGGACGAAGAGTAGCTCGTACCCATAGCCTGCGTATGGAGACGACGATGGAAACGCGAGAGATGCAGGCGGAAAGCGCAGGTCGTATATCAGTGGTATAGATGACATCGAGAGAAGTGGGTGGAGATAGGCTAATAAGAGGTATGAGTCAGAGGAACGATGGGGATCACAAGTTGTGTCTGAGGCATACCATTTTGGGTTTCGTCAACGTTTGATGACATTATCCGTGGCACAGAACGATCATCTAGAAGAAAAATTGAACACCTTGCAAGTTAGTAAAGCCAAGAAGCGTACATATGAGCCGCGTGTTCTCTGCATCGAGTCGAGTTGTGAGGTGCATATCAACAGCATCTTGGATAAATGGAGCGCGAGCGTTACCTTGATATATCAGGCGAGTCAGGTCATATGGTGATCAGATTCAACGACGAAGAACCCACCATTCCATGGCCGCGAATTAGGTATGTTGCGATCGACAGGACTTATTGTATTTGAGGATGCTAACCGAACAAATTGAGCTTGATTTCAAAGTGTGATCATGGAAAAGGTGAGTACCTTGTACCCCCAAATTCGTGCGTGAGGGAGGTTCATATTGGGAATGAACAGAATAACTTGAACACTCTAACAACAACAGCTGAGCAGAGAACCGAGAGCTATAGAAGATAATCACAGCTCACGGGTATAGGCGGCGTTAACCTGCGGACGATGCGAGGGGATATTGTTTACTACAGCGTCGTCATGCAATGCAGTTGACAGAGGTGAAGTAACATAGGGAAGCTGCACTGGGGGGTGGGGCCACCCTGCGTAGCGAGCATTGTGAAAAGATGGAGGTAAGATAGTAGGATTATGGGTAACCCACTGGGAGTACCAGGGAGGACAGGTTGTAGAAAGCATGAGTGAGATGACGAGGCATTGCGGGGGTGGCCTGTTATATAGTTTCACGTTAAGAGAGTTCAGTGTTAGCTGTGGTTAGATTCGAACCTGACCACGTCGTCGTCGTGGTCACAGGCGAAGATATCGGACAGCCGGACATAGACGGATACCTGGAAAGAGCCGAAATCAAATGCACTTAAAGTTTAAAATATTCCACACTGACAGCACTGAGTGCTCTGTACGTCATTCAATCATGTGCTTTCGAAGACAATATTGTGCGACCCGTGTTATATTTAAATGTCCGATGGTCATTCGGCTTCACTGGCACCGCTTGTTCACCGGTGCACCTGTAATCCATACTGCTGGTGGAACACTCTGAGTCACTTGACGCCAACTCAATCTTCTACCGTAGTGCCACTTCCACCGGTGGCCCCCTCTAAGATATCCCACAGTATCGACGAGATCATACATGAGGCGGGGTGCGTGTACTTCACCAGTTCACTGATCATGTTGCAGCAACGAATGACTAGGAAACTTGAAAAATATGCTCTTCTTCAGTGAGGCTTTGAAAAGCCAGTCAGATTGTCGAACGCGATTCTAATAGATTGAGCGCGAGAGTCGAAATAAATTTCAGAAACCTAGCTACATGCGATAACCCCTGTGACGGGCATGCCAGTCTCACGATCTCAGTAAACAACTTTGTACTTGTCATCCGAACGAAATTATCAGTCTCCGGAACTTTACCGCCCATGTTTCAGGTGGTTGCCCACCGCCCGGAATGAGACTCCTCGGAAACGCATCATCCTTGACAGACTTGACAGACCCCAGGAATACAGTGTGCGATTCAGTTGATACAGACTCGGAGTGGCAGCGGCTCTCGCTACATGGACCCGTGATGCGGTGTCTCGGCGCTAAATGAAAAGTTCACCACATAAATAGATACCTATCTAGTTTGTGTCGCGCACTTTGAGCTCCCCTTTAACGCAGGTTGTTTCCTTAGGCGATTGCATACTCTGATAAGACTAGCACATATATCGTCTCCAATAGTACCCTACTCCGTGTCTGTGCGTGGGAGCTGTGATGTACAAGATTGTACACTTTCTCCGGACGTTATAATTTATGGAACTTCATTACCCATGTCTCAGGGGACTCCCTGCCACCCGGAATGAGTCTCCTGCTCGCAAAAGCCTCATCCTTGACAAGCCCCGTGAATGCAACGCTGGATCCAAGCCAGTCGACACGGAGTAGCAGTGGTTCTCGTTGCACTGTAGGTCTAGTGTGTACCGCAGGATTTGAGCTCCCATGTAACGCAAGCTGTATCCACAGACGACGGTCGCGTGCTCTGATGAGACTTGCACGTTTATCGTCTCCAGCGGTTCCCCACTCGGTGTCTGTAAGCGGGCACTGCAATGCAGCGTGCAGAGTAGAGAGAACGTCGAGACACGTCACAGCCTCTCCGGCACTTGGGCTGATATCAAACGCCCAAGGAAAGTATGGGCTGATGAGCCGTATCTGCCTGGGCCTCTCTGACGTAAGTGGGACGCGGAGGAATTTGTACCCGCAGTCCGCAAATGGAGATGATGGTGGAAAACGGAGAGAGGTGGGCGAATAGCGCAGATCGTATATCAATGGTACAGATGGTGGCGCAAGAAACGGATGCAGGAAGGCTGGTGGGATGTATAAGAATCAATCCATAACCACGAGTGCGTCTAAGCCGTACCCTTTTGGGTGTCAAGGTTTGATGGCATCATTTGTTGTGTAGAATGGCCGTCTAGAAAACACACAATTGAACATCTTGCAAGTTAGTACAACGAAGGAGAACGCATACATATGAGCCCCGTGTTCTCTGTATCATGTTGAGCTGTGGGACGCATCTCAGAAGCGCCTTGGAGAGACAGAGTATAAGCGCCACCTTTATCACCCAAATTAGATTGTATAATAAATCTGAACAGATGGCAACAGATAGCCTACCGTTCCATGTCCATGAATGAGAGACGTTCCGGGGTTGAAGGTCAGCATGACCCATTATATCAGCGGATGCTAACAAAGCAGATTAAGCTTGAAAGTAGAACCATAGAAAAGAAAATCACCTTGCGCTCCGGAATTCGTGTAAGGGTAGATTCTATAGGGATGAGGTCCTAGTAACAAATGAGCATGGAACCGAATAGATTTAGAACTGCAACTACCATTGATGGTAGTAACATCATGCGGATGACGTGAGGAGGTATCAACAGTAAAAGGAACACTGGGAAGTTGTATTGGGGGTTGGACCCATCCTGAATATCGAGCATTGTGCAAGGCTGGGGGCGAGGTGTTGGATCTGAGAGTAACATACTGCGAAGAGGGGAAATCTGTGGAAAACATGGGGAGAAGGTGATAGTGTATGGAGACTTGGGATGCTCAAGGTATTGTGATGAGGAAGGATTATATACGTTGGGATGACCTTACGGGCAAAAGGGAAAGAGTTCCACGAGTCCTATATCAGTACAGCCACACACTCGCCCCCGTTTGGAATGAGCGCTTGATAAAAGAGTTTGGAATGAGTTCCAAATCACAAGGACTTACGGGCATTGCCTTTATAATTTTCGCCAGGTAATGATTGACCAGAAAGGAATCTTTTTGCGATTGCCATTAATTTCGCACACCGCTGTAACATTTGAGTGCAAAAAATGTATGTCCAATTACGATAAAGTTGACCTGCATACTGTGCTGCAAGATCTATAACCCATGTCAGTACCGACAACATAAATTGCGGAAAAAACTTGCCTGCATTAGACCTGGCGAGTGGAGTCATAATAGGCGTGCAATGCATCTGACTTTCCCTACCTCAACCGAACGCCAATGGAGTTTTGATAATGAGAGACCCTTCTGGACTAGCGGTACGACATAGCAGAACTGCGGAAATGACACATTGCAACTTGAAGGGGCACTGCAACTTGAAGGGGCATTGCAATTTGAAGGGGTCGCCTTCTTTCTTTGACAGACACCAGAGGAACCATCCCGAAAAAAAGGGTGAGAAACGGAGCTCCTAGTAGCTGATATATAGCCGGCATCCTATATGACGGCCGTACACTCTTTTGAATCGCACGCTCCTAAAGGTTGCATCAATCAAACGACCTGTCAGATTTGCGTGGCCCATAGTGTGGATGACAGAATACATGCCGCATCGTTGTCACAGTCACCTAAACTTTCGGATTGCACTCCTCCAAGGCCCTTCATGACATGCAGGCTCCGGAAGTCCAAGTATGCACTTGCTTAAGCATGTTTGTCTTGCGCTCTACGGGAGCTAGAAAATCAAAGTCTCGAGCTAAAGCGGCAGGCCCTAGTAAACGCGCTCATAGTATTAGTATACACGTCTCCATTTTGGAGATCCTGATGAGTCCAGCAACAAAACCGGCAATTAGCGCACGTCCCACGACGTCCCAGTAGCGCTGGTGCTGGAACGTTCGAACTCTTCCTTATGGCATCTTCTGCTACCATTTCCAGGAGCATCCGGATCTTGATATATGCAACTAACCATAGGAAAACTTCCGCCGCACCGGCCGCGTGCACAGTGGCCATCTTGACTCTCCATCTAATTCATCCACAATCTCGACAGGAAATCTTGATCTACATAGAAGTAAGACAATCTTTTCATCACGTACATGTCTGAAATGCCATGTGCTGCACATCTTTCTCAGCCGTCTCTTCCCCTCTCCCATTTTCCAACTTCCTCCGATGCCTCTACTCCCATGGGCTGTTCTGCTTCAGTACGAGAAAATAAACAAGGTAGAGTGATTGAAGGAGGAGGTATAGGTTCAAGACGTAGTTGTGACGAGTACTTGCGGCGTTCGGAAGTGGGTGGAGTAGCGCCTAGTATCTGATTTCCGGTTTAAAAAAATAGGAAGGTCACTCGAGGGTTGCCTGGACCTGTGACAGTGCTGTAATCCCGCGATCGTCATCGTGGATGTACGCAGGTCGCTCTTCTTCAGTACTAGTGCGCGCAGTGAAGCTCAAAGTTATGAGCGAACGCCAAAGTTGAACACGAGTTAAAATTGGATGCTGAAGTAACAGTCCTGGTCTCGGTTATCGGAAACCTTGCCATATGAGGAGCAATAGCCCCTATGACGTGCAGAACCAATTTCATATCTCGAAACCTCAAAAACCGACACATAAAAGGTATGTACATTTCGTCCAGAGATGAATATTATTATGATAAGCTCTTAAACCTCACAACCCACGTCTCAGGTGGCTCTCCCGCACCCGGAATGAGTCTCCTCTTTGCAAACGCCTCATCCTTGACGAGCCCCCCAAACGCAACACGAGACCCAAGCCAGTCCACACGGAGTATTAGAGGCTCTCGCCGCGCAGGTTGTGTATCTGCATTCGATACAGATCGTAGCCACAAAGTAGGTTTCATGTTTAGCCGACGATCGCGCGCTCTGATGAGGCTCGCTTGTTTATCCTGCGCAGCGGCTCCCCATTCTGTATCTGAGAGTGGACGTTGCAATGCAGCGTGCAGCGCATTGAGGACATCAAGACACGTCACACCCTGTTCTGCGGCACTGGGTTCAGGGCCGATGTTGAACGCCCAGGGAAAGTCTTGGCTGATCAGTCGTATTCGGTTGTGCCGTGCTCGCGTGAGTGGCACTCGAAGGAACTCAGATCCCCATCCTGCATATGAAGATGATGGTGGAAAGTAGAGAGAGTTGGGTGGGTATCGCAGATCATATACCAGTTGCGCGCATGGTGCTGCGAGGAGGTAGGCTGATGGAAGGCATCAAGATCAATCCAGATTACAAACTGGGTCTGGACCGCACCGATTTGTGTGTCCTTATCGATCAGTGGGATTGAATTCTTTGTTCGTCGTGCAGGGTCATCTAGGAAAGTACGCAATTCAACATCTTGGCAGCCGTAACTAAACGAACGGGGACGTTTACGTTTAATCGCGGCAGTACGCGTCTCAAAAACACCTTGGAGAGATGGATTCTGGTGAGCGCCACCTTTATCATCGAATCAGATTGTATGATAACCGGAATCAACCACAAGAGCCTACCGTTCCACGTGCACGAGTTAGAAACATCATGGTGTTGGTGTTCAACTGGCCACATGATACCTACAGAAAAAATGGGTTTAGGGTCAAACGAAGGAGAGGGAAAATACCTTGCGCCCCAGAATTCGCGCGTGGGTGAGTGTCATATTGAAGATGAACCGAGTAAGGTTCTGATAACGGTTGAGACAGATAACCACATGTAGAACATGAATAGTTGCTTACGGGTATGAATGGCGTTACCGTCAACGGGACGACGATTTGACGGGGTGTTGAGGTCAAATGTGACGTGCCGTTTAGCGGGCTTCTTGAACGAAGGTGGGGCGACATTGGGAAGCTGTATTGGAGGGTTGGGCCACCCCTTGTAGCGAGCATTGTGCAAAGCTGGAGGGAAGGTGTTGGGATCAGGGATATCCCATCGAGGACGAGTTGAAAAATACATGAGGGATGCGGTGTTGGTGTTCTATGACTTTGGAGGCTGGAAGAGGAGGCATCCTGGTGAAGAGGAGATTATATACCATCGGATAACAGTATGGCAAAGCCTTGCCCGCTTTACTTTTGAGTGCAGATATTGGACGCAACATCCAATCGAACCATGTGAAACCAAGCTGACCTGCCGTGCTGTGAAAAGAAGTTACCCTCCATCATTTTTAACAATATAAATGTGGAAACTGCCTGCCTTCATAACCCAGCGAGTGTAGGTGCTACTGCCAGTTGAGCACTGCCACACTGCCACCCAGATAAACGACACTTGCCTTTTATACATTCAGCGCCAAAACACTCCTGCAAGTGACCAAAACGCGATGAACACACCACCAGCGTTTTCATTTCTGGTATGTCTTCGCCTTCTGCTCGCAGTTCTACCTCTTCCAGGTCAAAATCTCCTCAAACATGACCATCAACTTAGCTCGCCATTGACCTCCTACCTTCGTTGTATGTGCCAAAGCACTGCCAGCCGATTCTATTGCTAATGCATATTAATACTAGTGAAAGAAGGTCTCTGGCTTCTCGATAACAATATTGATCCATATACAGGAGGATCATTTCACCATGTATGACATTTCAGTGGACCAAATGTCATGGACTAACCATCTGCACCGTAGTCTCCTCTCCTACTCTCCTTATTTTCAACCATAGTACCTCCACTCCCAATTATATGGGCTATATCTGATGCTGTGGGAGCATGGGCGCTTCTCCGCATATGGCGCGCACGCCAGGGTTTATCATTTCAAAAGGGTACGAGGTCCAATGTAGAAAATCTCATCACAAGCGTGTACGATCTACCACTATATTTCGAGTACGCACCTAACGCACCGCGCAGCTACTTGCTGAATCCCTACCTCCTCCTTCCATCACTTGCCCTATCCACATCCACATTCGAAAATACCCTTACCCTCCTTGCTCTCATGTTTGCATCTCAAGGTACGTCCCAACGCGTCCGTCCAAGTTGGCTCACACGCATTCTTCAATTCCAGGCAAAGTGTCTTCTGCTCTCCTCGCTATCACATTCGCAGTTCACCTTACCCCATCCTCCATCCTTCTACTTCTTCCAATCTTCATGGTCCTCGTCTCCTCTCCTGTGTCGCACCTCGCTTCACCGCGTCCTTTTCATGGCAACCTCAAGCGTATACCGTTCCTCTTTGGTGAGTTCACACTATACTGGCTCGTCCTTGTAGGCGCGGCATGTATTATTACGGGAGGAAGTTGGAGTTGGGTCAGGGCGTCGTGGGGCGCAACGTAAGTCGACTTCCAATCCCTGACAGATGGTTCATAAACACAGCATCCCAGCCTCACGCTACCAGACCTCACGCCTAACCCTGGTCTTTGGTGGTACTTCTTCACTGAGATGTTCGATCATTTCAGACCATTCTTCCTCATGGTCTTTTCTGTGCGTTCTCATCTCTTCGTACATGCATGCCATCTAACTGCATAGTTAGGTCCACCTTGTCATATACATATTACCTATCTGCATAAAGTTTCAGTAAGACATTCTTGATAATATATACGTGCTAGTCTTCATGGGTTCTGATGCACCCCATCTGTAGACACGATCCGCTCTATGCCGCGTTCCTCCTCATAGGCGTCCTGGGGACGTTCAAAGCGTACTTGACTCTCGCAGACCCAGGCTTGTTCCTAAGTATGATATCGATCTTCCCCGAAGTACATGGCTGTAAGTCCCCTTCCCTCCTACAACCCTACCCCGTCTCGTACTCACCTCACTCGCATTCTTCCAGACCTCCGACATCCCATCATCACTACACTCCTCCACCTACACGCTGCGCTCCTCCTCCCGCTTCAACATGTACTCTGGGTGAGCGAAGGCCGTGGGAACGCGAATTTTTACTATGCTGCGAGTCTTGTTATGGGTATGGCGGGTGGTGCAGGGCTTGTGGATGCATGCTGGGCGGGGATGCGGATTGCTGTGGGAGATGCAAAAGAATGGGCTGAGGAAAAGGTAGATGGTGAGAAAGGCGAGGGTGAGGGCAAGGTGGTGTGGTGGGAGGTGGTACAACAGTGAGGAGTGAAGAATTATTCGAGGCTGGTTGCCGTTTTTGCGTACATATTTTGAAAGTACCAGATATGTATACCCAGATCCGAGTCGGCAGTGACTGTTTGCCATAATTTGGGTCACTCTACTACTCGGCTGAACAACTTCTTTTTGTGCACAGTAACGTCACCCAATTACCTACAGGCTAGCGCTCACCGCGAAGGACTTCGCTCAGTCGGCTCGAGGCTTTACTCATGGGAGATCCGTACAGTGTCGCACACGCTTGAGCGCTGAGCAGTGGCCGAGGTGGGAATTTATGTGCTCATGGCCTATGGGATGTTCAGCTTCAGAGGTGAGTGTACTTGTCATTTATAATTAGTCGTTTCCGGAGACACAAGGATGTTTGAGGTTTTTTTGAATTACAGTGCTTCTGATTCAAAATTCCAAAGCGCCCTCGTGTTTCATTCGTGTGCAGTCGTTATTTCTCGGATCAACTGGTTGGCAGGGCTCAACTTAGTCTCCCATGGACAGACCAATAGAAGGCAGACGGTCGTCCATTCTGTAAAGCGCACATCGGAGTCCTGAAGTACTACTCACTACTTGTACAACGTCTCCTTCACATGTTCCACATGAGCGATGCAAGTCGGCTCTCTCCTAATGCGAGGGATTGATGGTCATAGCACGTTTTGTGGTATGACAACGATGAAACAAGACTTCGCTTCGGCCTGTCAGCACCACAGAACTTGATCGTTGAGGGATACTTTCTCTTGATCAAGACAATAAAGGTCACTAGCGATGTCTATGATGCCGGTGTTAATACAAACGCAGAGTGCAGATGCTGATATCTTAACTTTATGGTGAGCGTTCCCGCTGAACAACAACTTGATCAACCATCCGCAAAGCCCTCTCACCCCAGATCCCCGCCCTCTTTAAATTCGGCCGTATTCCCAATCCTCCAGCAAGCAGTACATCTGCGTTTGAAGATCTGAAAGTCTGATCTCCCAGCTGATATTGAAACCTTGGTGTCGAAGATGCCTGAGACCCTCCCACACCCAGCTTTGGCAGTTCCATCTGGGGTCGTGACGCGCGATAGGAATGCTTGCCAGGTGTCGTTCCATTAGGGTTAGCTGATGGGCAGCTACTTTTCCAACGGCGAAGCTTCCGCGCCATGCGTCTGGGTGTGGGTATGGTTGATTGCGTCTGAAATCTATGGTGTAGGTGTCCATGTTTCCTAGGATGTGGTATGTGTTCCCGATACTGGGACCGGTTGGGATATAGATCACCCAGTGAAGTGGGTAGGGCCGTAGGGGCTCTTTCTGCCCTTGCCAGAATTGGACGACTTCGACGTTAAAATACATGACTGGGGCAGGCATATTACAATATGGCTGCGGGATTCGGTAAGTTGCAGTTCGAACGACGCTGGATTGTGCTCACCGAGATTGACTGAGCAAAGACGGAGGAATGTGGGGTTTAAGTTCGCCAATGACCCAGATTTATACCCAAGCCCTGGTAATTTTGTTTGGCGAGTGGCTCTGACGTGTGGGTGCAACATGTCAGAATGTGAATATGGTGTGCGCTATGGGTGAACTACCAATTGCTGCTCCCGGCATACAATCAATAGCCCAATCAAATGAATTGTCGATGTTGCCTCTTTTAAATGATTCCCGTTATCGCACAGCCGGCGGTGTTCTGGGCCTGTAAGATTAAAGAAGCGCACTGAGCTCGGGAGGAACATCTGCAGGTCTTCATAAACATGGCATATTGTCACATTTCTCGTCGATGAATCGATGACGGCCCAGTACAGTCAGGCCCGCCGTTTGGAGTTGAGTTGAAACCATGACCAGCACTTGCTTCAAGTTAGACTACGTCACCAAATTGGGCGTAGCTTGCCGTGTCTGCCGCGTGGCGGGCCCAAAAATGCCCCGTCAATCGGATCTCGTTATAAACCCAGTCCCAGCTCAACATTCTATACTGGGTTCCTGTCGACGTCCCGGCGGTCTTGTTCAGCAAATACATATGACGCAGCACGTTGAGTATATTATTAATTTATCGCTCCCTGGACCTTTATATGCACATCGTGACGTGTGACATCCTGTACAATAACCTCATGTCAGAGAGTGATGAAAGAATTGCCTGGATTTGTAGGTTAGATGGTCCACACTGCACAACGAAACAAGCCGAACAAATGCACTAGCCAGAACAGACTCGGATTACACGGTAAGAAGTTACTAGTGCATTGCAATAAATTTCAGATACAAGACATGGCCATCAGAATAACATCTCAACGGAGCGCAAGACCATGCAAACGACCAGGATGCTGAAATCATTGACGCGGTCGTGATGCGGCATAATTGACTCAGAGGCTTGATGCGGCATCATTGACTCGCAGGCTTGACGCGACATGGACATGGATGGGATTTGTCGGACATGGGCGGACGTGACACCGTGCTCCGAAGCAGCACACTGCTGATCGAGAGCTCTGAGCCAATTTCCGTGGCATCAGACCTTCGATGACTGGCTAAAAAGCAGTTAGACCGCAAGTTGATAACACCTATTTCCGCAGATAATTTATCACAAACCCTATTCAGACAAGTAGAAGGTAAAAGTACAGTCAGATATTTTGGCGTTCCCGATGAAGCCTAGAATGACGGAGCTACCATCCGAAATAAGAAAGTACGAAAGGGATTTAAATCAGGCTGAATGTATGAATCGCTATTTTAGCCAGGAGGATGTATCATCCCTGCATGCAATCTGCAAAGTCTGCATAGGATAATGCAGCGGGATTTCTCGGTCTGTTTCAATTGTCCCAGGAACAACCGAAAGGAATTTTTGAGTATCTTTATTGATTGCGATGCGAATAAACACCATGTAGAAGGCAATTGAGATGATCGGATTGATCTAGTTGACTGAAGCTCAATGATTTTTATTTCGAGTATTGATAGTGGAATTACCAAATCTCCTATGACATACGTGCCATTGTTCGAAAGGGCAAAACATATTATCGCGGAGAAGGTGGTCGCAGAGTATAAAGCAGCAGCATCCACAAGCACGCGCACAATAGGCCTTATACCCCTCCTGGTACGAATTGTAGAGACACTGCGTTCGATCGTCCATATGCGGTATGCCAGCAATCCTACACATGTTTGAGTTCACAAGTGTCTCGATATCGCGCTTATGCAGCAATGTACTTACCTGAACTGACCAAATTGGTTGCAAAAGTAAAGACAATGAACGCCGCGACCCAACGTCCAGACTGGTTAGTGAACACACTTTCGGCATCACTAGCCAGTGAAAGATCGTAGACCATATAACTCCCACACACTTCGAAACAGATTGAACGTCAGAGCACACACTTTCTGAGTATAATGGCAACCAAACCTGCAATTGCACACCACATCATGCACGGTAGGATGGCAACCCAGACAGATTGCCAAACGACGTAACATCGATAGACCTTTTTGTCAGAAAGGGAATTTCTATAAGCTATGAGGGTTTCAAGTTGGCAGGTAAAGTTTTGATCCTACCACTACCCCGTCGGCAAGCAGAGTTTGCATGAGAATCACCGTAGTCTTGACCACATACGTCTCTTGGGTATAGTCTGCGAAGAATGCCGCTGGGCCGCCTGGAAAAGTGTTACGATACTTCACCAATCCATCTTCGACCCGAATAATGTCTATGACCATGTGCTTAGGGGTCTTCAGCAGATGGCATCAGATTCAAGTGACGAAAACCTAACCATAGTACTCAGTAAAAACAGAAAGACAGCAACCGCAGCGATCGGCCGATTGACGTCCCTCATGCGTTTTTTATAGGTGAATGTCCAGATTGTACCTATAAACATGAGAACTGAAAAGCCTGAAAAATGTCAGTTTGGTGAGCATGAAACGGATACACTTATTGCAACACTCGCCATATAAGATCCCTTCCAGAACTGTTGACATGATGGCAGCGGCATCCAGCGGCATGCCAGTGTCTGTTGAAGCCATGGCGAAAATGATACCTTCAAGTTGGGTATGAAGACGGTGCGGATAGCATCGCTAGCCACCTACGTTATATGATGCTACGAAGTGGCTATAGATAACTTTAATATCAGCTTCCTCGGAACCACATAGATGCGCAGTGATGTTGATCGTGAAAAACGGCATGATACGCCCAGTCGTGGAAATCAGAAGTCGCTAGTGTGATTCGTTCTTATCTCCCGCAAGCTCAAACCCCGAGCAAGCGAAAGTCCTTGGAAGATGCAGAATAAAGAATAAGCCGAGGTGGGGTGAGTTGAGGTGTGTTTGGCCACCTGCGTTGGTCAGCGGTTATAGTCCAAGGTTTAAAATACTTCGATGACTTGATCGGGCAGAAAAGGGACCGAATAACAGTATTTACGAACTCGCCGCCTCAGAATGATAGGATTGTGCTGATATCATGGTCATCTTTTTACGGTCTTTGCGATGCTGGAACGACAATACACTGTAGTTCATTCGACAGCATCTAGTCGTGTGTGAGCGCGTCGATGGGAGGTTTCTGTACAGTCACAAGCCTATGATATGGGTCCCACGCACTTCAAAAACAACTTGAACGTCAGAGCACACACTTTCTGAGGATAATGGCAACCAAACCTGCAACTGCACACCACACAGGGCATGGTAGTATTATAACCCCGATAGATTGCCAAAGGATGCAACACCGATGGATCTTTTGGTTGGAAAGGGGACTTCTGTAAGCCACAAGCTGGCAGGTGAAGTTTGGATCCTACCACTACCCCGTCGGCAAGCAGAGTTTGCATGATATTCACCACATTCCTGGCCATGAACGTTTTTTGTTTGACGTCTGCAGATAATACCGCTGGGCCGCCTGTGAAATGTGTCGCGAGACTTCACCAGCCCATCGACACGAATGATTGATTATGTGCTCGGGAGCCTTTAGTAGATGGCATCGGAATCGAGCAGCGAAAATCTAACCGTACATACGAGGGGAAAGCATATGACAAAACATGTCCAACATAGGGCCTACGACCCCAAAGGACTAATTCTGACGCAAAAAAATCCAACCGTATTGCTCAGTAAAGAATCTGCAGCGACTGCCGATTGACGTCCCTCGTGTGTTTTTTGTAGGTGAATGCCCAGATGCGTACCTATAAACATGAGACCTGAAAACCCTGAAAGATGCTAGTTTGGTGGGCATGAAACGGGTACACTCATTGCATCACTTACCGTATAATATGCCTTCCAAAGCTGTTGACATGATGGCAGCGGCATCCAGTGGTATGTCAATGTCTGTTGAACCCATAACAAAAATGGATGCACGAATCTGCAGAAAATTAGTGTCCTAAGTGGTGTCGGACCACGGCCGTTCGAGTCAATATAAACCGCACAAAATTTTACAAAGTACTGCAAGGTGGTTCATCGCTGCACGAGTCCATATATATGTACTTCATCGAGGATAAGATCTAGAAATAAATTTAGAATGTTTTGTTTTGTTAGTGCCGGCCGCGGCAGGCGCGGCACGACCCCGCCTTCTCACACTATTCAGAGGTCGAATCAACACCTGAGTGAATCGTGTGCCTTAAGTATCTTTGACCGTACATCCAACTCTACATAATTTCTATGGTACATACACAAACCATCCCTTCATAGCACAGCTATTACTGTTGACCGCACCAAAAAATCCAGCGGATATATCCTCCATGAAAACGACCTCAAAACGCAGTCGTCGAGTCCACCTCGATCGTAGGCACGATAGAAGCGATGAACTTTAAGAACACCACAAGGTAAAAGTCCACGCGCATGCCCTCCACTTCCTCTTCCTCCACTGGGGTCTTGACGCCCTCCTCCTTTGCGCCCTTGCGCCCGAAACCCCATTTCTTCTTCCCGTCCTTGTCTTGGTGCTTGCCAGAATTCTTCCGTGCAGCTAGCTGCTCTTCTACCACACCTGCATTCATGCGCTCGATGACTTTCTTCATCACACTTGCGTGTTTGCAGGGATGTACGGAAGCTGCTTGGAGCGTTGAGGAGTGTGGGAAGGCTTCGATGGTGACAGTCTTGAGAGCATGGTCTGCTGAGATATCTTGGAAGATCTGCGATGGTGTTAAGGGTGTGCGATTCTGAATCACAAGATATAAGCGGGGAGAACATGTTTACGAAGCGATGGAAACAAACCTCGTCATAGCCGAGCAGCCAAATCCGGGGAGTTTGGTAATACTTGTCGTATGTGATCATCACGTCATATGTTCGTACTTGTAGGAGATTGCCATTTGCGACCCCAATCTGTCTGCGCATCTTGTCTAGGATCGGGCTTGAACAACAATCGAAGAGGAAAACTCACGATGCATCGATGACGCCACTCGCCTTGGGCACAACCGGTGCCACCGTAGCTTCATCTTCGCCGTCCTCCAGCCCCTCTTCTTCCATGTCAGGGATATCATCTAGATCCGGGGTCTCTCCCACCGTAGCGCCCGTCTCCGATACAATCGACACATCTGCCATCGCGCTCGCCAGTCCATCACCATCCAAGTCCGGGATATCATCGATCTCGCCTAGGTTCGCAGCAGAGTCCACTGTGGCCCCTCGGCCTGCATGCGTTTCTACCCACTCATCGGCAGCGCCCGAAGAATCACCGAAGGAGAGAAGTCGCTCGGCGTCTTCATCGGCGTCTGTGTAAGCCAGTGATGTGGCTCGTCGAAGGCAGGGGACGCCACGAGTGACGAGATATTGTTTCTCAACGGGGAGGTAATCGCGGGCTTTGGACGCGTCGCCTTTTTCCCTGAAGTATGGGGGCATGGTTTGAGGGGCTGCATTGAGGTTGAAGAACTGGTTGCACGTACCACGTCCATACTGGGAACTTGTATGATAGAAAGTCTCCTGCTGCGACAAATTCCTCTGAAAGCAAGATTGGGATACTTGTAGTTAATGATTGGTGATGCAATACCTACCGGGGGTTATACGTCCGTGCTCTTTGAACTTGCTTTCTTTGAGGACCTGGGCATTACTTAGACTTAGCGATGGTCAATTGCGATGGCACGCACCGGGCTGAGATAGTCGCGAACGGCCCAATATTGTTGCTAGAAAGGATCTTGAGCCATCTCCAAGCACCATCTTGCTTTAGCACGAACCTGTATAGCATGCATGGTAATTTGTGGTATGCTTCGTCTGGAGAGTACTGGGAGATGAGGGGGAGAGCAAACGACAAACCCTTGCCGCAATCAGTACTACATCGACCGTACCTAATCCGGAAACCAGTGATCACGAGGCACGCGACTGGGGTACTGACTCCTGACACCTTACTGTAACCGCATTTCAGTGTGCCGTGAGCCAGGTATATTGTCAACATCCCTTCTAATGGCTAGCATCGACCCCGCATAAAAGCAGCTCATCACCAAAACACAAACCAAATCTCGTAGATACTCAACAAAGCAGCTAATCATGCTGAAGCCTTGTCGGATTTTTTGGAGCTCCTCTCCTTCTCCTTCTTCTCCTTCTTATCCCTCTTCTTCTCTTTTTTCTCATCGTGAGTCAGTGGAGGAGGATCGACATCCATTGTCGACGCCTTAATATCAGCAACTGGTTCCGTGTCGTGCTTCTTTTTCTTCTTCTTCTTTTCCACGGGTGCAACAGACGGAACGTCTGTAGGTGTTACGTCAACGTCCATGTCGTCCTCCGGGACCTTTTCTGACTTGTCTCTTTTCCGCTTCTTGGTTTTTGTCTCTCCCTCGGTCTCGACTGGCGTAGGAGATGGATCCGAGGCGTCATTCGTCGGTGTTTCTTCGACTTTGTCCTTCTTGCTCTTCTTTTTCTCCTTCTTATCTTTCTTACCTGTGCCTGAATCTACGGGTTCGTCGTCCCTCTTCCGCTTCTGTGATTTCGACTGGCTCTCGTCGCTTTCCTTGTCCTTGGTCTCCTGACTTTCTAAATTCTCGCCCTCGACAACAGCTTTCCGCTTTTCCTTTTTCTTGGATTTCTTTTCCTTGTCTCCTGGAGTCTCGGTCGGTGCTGGGGTATCGTCGATAGTAGACTCTACAGCGTCCTCAGAGGACTTTTTATGTTTCTTGTCCTTTTTCTTCTTGTCCGTTTTTTGAGGTGATGGAGATGAAGGCGCAGATAATGGCTCGACAATAATGTCATTTTCTGATGCCTTGTACGAGTCAAATACCGTACTATAATAACGAATTACACGTACTCACCTTTGTGTCCTTGGCTTTTGAATCAGACTTTGACTTTTTCTGTGATTTTATCTCAGTCATTTCCGGTGCTGGGGCTGATTCTTTTTGGGGCTGAGCCTCTATTGGCTTCGGTGGTATTACTGAAGGCTCTGGTGGTGTTACAGTTATAGGCGACATGCGCTGAGGTGTGCCCAATGGAGTTCCGTTGGCGCCAGTGGCCTGGTAACGCGTTGGTGGTCGCGGCTGGTATCCCCCATTGCCTTGGAACCTACCGTATCCATTCTCTCGAGGTGCTGCCCCCCAGCTCCCGGCCTGCTCACATGAAAAAACTATCAAACACGCAGGGATAGACAACTCACAGATCTAGGACCCTTGTACAAAGTCTTCTGATACTTCTCTGCTTCAGTCACGCACGAGGTGTGTCCCTGGTACTCAGCAGGGGTGTGGAAGGTGGTCGAGCAGTCGATACAGTCGAAAGCTGCATGGCAGAAACTGTGGTGTTGGTTGAGTTTTGGTTTTTTTACGACGTCACTGCAGCCTGGGTAGTTATAGGTGTAAATATTAGAGTTAGTGTAACTCGAGAAATGAACGATGGCAGATACTAACTGTGACATCTGTGGACCGTGCATTAAGATCATACATATGGATGGTGAAAAAGGGAAAGGATAGCGTACTGGAATGATACCATTGAGATAGAGGTCTCTTATTGTGTTGGAGCGACTGACTTTTTTTCGTGCTCGCGTAGACCTAGGCAATTTTATGCCAGGCGTCTGGACTCGAGATTGAAGAAACAAAAAAAGATGTTGAGTGACATGTAACCCTAACCCTAGCACTGAATTGCGACCGATGTAGACGATCAAGAATATTCAAACCATCATGATAATCATGATCAACATTCAACGTTTCCACATGTGCGTACAATGAATCGGGACGGGTATATAGAATGTACGTATGATATATGTCACATAATCAAGGGTCTGGCGATACGTTATAGTATAGCGTTGCAATCAGTGGAGCATCATGCCCAGGGAAAACTGGACATGGCCAAAACGGTTGAGATCAAGTGGAATATTGTTTAGACATATAATTTATGCTATAATATTGTGTAATCTTCAACGACACGATCGTCTACACATCGCATCGTAAAAACATTACATCGTTGTCGATTTGATGCGCACACTGCGGCCATTGCGTTGTCGATCGCACTAAAGTTTGTCAAGCGCTCGCACGACGCACGTGCACCGCATGCACTTCTGCTATGCAATTCATCGACTACTTCACATCGTGCTGCATCACATACATCGCACAACGGCTAGCTATAGTACGTACTCTTTTGTTTGCGCAGAGTTTGTGACATCATTCACCCCAAAGTTATAATTCATTGGGGCAACCCTATTTTTCCTACTTCTCCTCATAACATCATCTTCCCGCCAAGTCATCATCCTCCTACTGTCGCCAACTTCCTCAGCAGATTGTATGAATCTTCGATTTAAGTATGTTATCACTGTATGTATCATAACAAAGGTTGTATGCTCAGTAAGTGGAACTCTTCTTTATGTTGTCCAGTCTAATGACTCCGAGACTGTTCCAAGTTCGAACTTGAAGCTGGTACCTGTACCGACAACCACTACCGTCCTCGATACCATATCCTTTCATTCTACTGACACTTCTGTCCACAGTCTTATGATAGGGAGGCTAGAGAACTCGTAAGTACAGCCTTGCTACTCATATTATCAAGTCGCTGAGACTTCTTAGGAAAAAGCAGGGCGCTGGACGAAGAACAGCGCCTGCTCGCTCGTCTAACTCCTCTACTGTCTACATCATTCCTGCCATCGCCTGCTGGTCGCTTCCAAATTACCTGTGCTCGCCTGTCTCACTCCACATCGCTCCTGTTCTTTTGCTATTGCCTGCCGGTTTCCTCCCGATTGTCTCCCTCCTCGCCTGTCCACGTCGCTCCTGTTCTTTTGCTGCCGTCGAGGTTGCCTGCTTTACACTGTCGTGCTAGTTCTATCACCATCATCCTATATCGTGTTTTCTGGTCGTAGGTCGAAGCATTTGTATTAGTAGATTATAGCATATTTCACCCGAATACAACCGATTTTGTCGTACCAGTGGAACTCGATTGAAATATGCTGAAATATGATATCAATATTCTTAACATATCCTACAACATTCGAGAAGATTGCAACAGATGCGAAATATTCTATTTGTCTCCACAGCGAGTCTCCTATAGTGAAATATGGTGCTTCTGGATTCGTCATATTCCGCTTGATCTCAACCGTTTTGGCCATGTCCAGTTTTCCCTGGGCATCATGTATGGATGCACATTGCACTCTCGATGATAATCAATGGTGTCATCTGAATGATTCCCAAAAGATACACAGCAGATGAGACTAATAATAGGTGACGGAAGCCGTAAGGCATAATGCATGTAGAAGCATAGGCATCGTTACACGGGGTCCAAGAGAAAACAAGGAAAGGTATCATGAAACTCCCATGATGATTCGGATAGCATCACAATCACGGTTTTCCAAATCTCACCACCCATGTCTCCGCGACAGTATCACTTCCAGGTAGATGTCTCTTTTTCTCAAATTCTTCGTCCTTCTCCAGCCCCTTAAACATTGGCGTGTCCCCCAACCAATCAATTCTCTTCAGTCGTTTATCCTTGTCCTTCTCTTGCCTCGCCTTCGCAGCCTTCTCGATTGCTTCCCTCCGCGTCTTATCAAGAGCCACGATTGCCCACTCTGAGTCTTCGATGTGCTTGTGTAGCATTTCATGCAATCCCTCAAAGATCGCGCCGCATGTGACTACAGAGCCGGCAGGCGCACGGATGAGCATTGACCAAGGGAATGCCTTCGAGATGATGAGGATCTCGTACGTAGGCGCCACGAATGCTGGAATGTGATGAATTTGTTGCCATGTAGTTAACATGATTGCTTCCCGAGCGGGCTTGCGGATATCGTAGCGCACGTAGGTCATGTCTGATGCAAGGGTGGGGTTGAGACTGGGCCATTTGGATTTTGGTTGTGAGTGTTCGACTACGGGTGTGCAGAGAACATGGTCAGATTATAGGTGAGTAGTGGAGATTAGACGGCACATACAGTTAAATCCTTGCCATCTTGCTGGTTGATACGGCGGCTGGTTGTGGTAGGGGGGGACATATACATGAGGGTTGTATTGTCCTTGGTACCAGTTGGTAGGCCAACCATTTGGGTAGGGATTCATAATGAAGTGTGTGGTATATAATCAGAACATATGCTGGGATATATTGCGACCTTTATAGGTCCGTAAGGCGTCAATCTGAGTTGACAGAACTATAGCCGACAACTCCCGAAAGTGTAGGTTTCCGTAAGTCTTCTACAACACCTTGGTAGAGAGTCACATTGTCCGGAGATGACTTTGTGCGCCGCAATAGCTCAAATCAGGAGACGCAAATCAGAGAGGCTAAGCCAGGCTGAGCAATATCGCCAAGTAAGTTAGCGAATGCAGTGCCTGTAATCTTCTGAATCATGTGATGCTAAAGCAAATTTAAAGCACTGCAAGGGGTAAAGCGCTTAGCTTCAAGTTTCGAGTGACAGACTGACCAGTGACAGTGCACACCGCCCATGGCGGTCCCATTTAGAATTGAGAGCGAAGGCGCTCAGAGCCTGGAGGCGATGCAACTCAAGAGAACCCGATTTAGGCGCGTTGTCGACGGATGCTCGGGAGTCAGGACTCATTCAAGTACCGCCGCTGAAGGTGGAACCCGGCGGTCGTTCGACTTCGTCAACTTCAGGAACTTGCTTCGGATCTCCTAAGGATTCCGCAGCAGCTGTGCACAGTCTATGATACGTGCTCGTATAACAAATAAAGATCCCCGTTGACATGCCAGTGGCTGGGCACCCTCTCTAAGGTTGACAAAGCAAAGTTCATGTTTGTGTAAGACTGCCAACCACATGATGATAAATGTCTTTGCGCACTGTGCGGAGCCGAGTGAACTGACGACTCGATGACAAGGAAGGCTTGTGAAGATCAGCTACTTATAGATGACTTTAAGGCTTGCGTATACGCGTGGTGTGAGGCGTGTGAAGGAGTTGAAGAAGATCATTAATATAGCGCTCGTCCGTCGCAAACGTCAAAGGGGCCCAATGTCGGCTAAGCAGAAGCCTCGATGATTGATGAGTACTAGTCCCCCTCACCACAAATACTTGATATCCTAATAGGGCCTAATGGGGCTCGTTGCGTTGTCTAAATGGCAGAGCACAATTGGCTGGCAGAGAACCGATAAAGGATTATGTAAACCCTTACAGATATTATATTTCTGCAGGCAGGCGGTCAGCGCGTGATTCAACCATTAATATTCAGTGCGTCTTCCCATCTCTATCCACTTTTTGAATTTTTGCTTTATCCCCCCCACCATGTCTTTCGCCGCGATTCGTGCACCACTTCGCAGGCAGGCTTTGTCTGCATCCTTCAAAAGGCCTCAGCTGCGCACGTCTTCCTTCCGCAAGTATTCAACGGAAGCTCCTCCAGCAGCCAAGTCCAACACTGGTCTCTACGTCGGCCTTGGTGCCGTCGTTCTTGGTGGTGGTGTTGCATACTACTTGTATGATTCATCTTCGGAGACGGCGAAGGTGACTTCTAGTGCGCTGAAGTCTGCGGCTCAGTCAGCAAAGGTTGCCACAAACTTTGTCCCGACTAAGGAAGACTACCAGAAAGTTTGTTCTAACCTTTCTGTGGATGCTAGCTGGAGCTTATCTTTCGTGTTTCAGGTGTACAACCGTATCGCCGAGGTGATTGATGATGCCGACGACTACGATAGTACAGTATTTGAGCGCCTGGTTTGGTTCTTTTTCTCATGCTGCTTTCGTAGATGGCTCTTTCGGCCCTGTAGTTGTCCGTCTGGCATGGCATGCCTCTGGCACATACGACAAGGCTACTGGCACTGGCGGAAGGTCAGTTCTTCATGTAGGCCGATTAGAAGCCGCCTTATCATTAACGTAATTATACAATAAAACGCAGCAACTACGCGACCATGCGTTTCCAGCCCGAGTCACTCCATGGAGCTAACGCGGGTCTTCACGTCGCCCGTGAAGTGCTAGAGAAGATTAAGCAAGAGTTTAGCTGGATCAGCTACGGTGACTTGTGGACGCTTGCTGGTGTCGCTGCTGTGCAGGAAATGGCTGGCCCAAAGGTTCCTTGGAGGCCTGGTCGCATTGATGGCTTTGAATCCCACGTACCCCCTGATGGCCGTCTTCCTGACGCCTCCCAAGGGGCGCCGCATATCCGGGATGTATGTGTTTTTCATTTACAATCAAATGCAAGCTGACATTCAGGCCAGATTTTCTACCGTATGGGGTGAGCCCATTTATGTGGCAAAATTCTCAGGAGACTGACGCCATACCTGCAGCTTCGACGACCAAGAAATTGTTGCTCTCTGCGGTGCCCATGCTCTCGGCCGTTGCCACACCGACCGGTATAGCCTTCGCTGTATTTTCCTTTCTGTTACTGATTCAATTCTACCCAGCTCTGGTTATGATGGACCTTGGACCTTCTCTCCCACCACGTTCACCAATGACTTCTACAAACTCTTGTTCGATGAGAAGTAAGCATATGATTCCCTCTTAAAGGAAGAAGTGCTGATACATGTTGGGCAGGTGGGTGTGGAAGAAGTGGAACGGACCTAAGCAGCTTGAGGACAAGAAGACCAAATCGCTCATGATGCTCCCGTATGTTGCCTTAAGTATGCATCGTCAACATTGGCTGAAAGTCTTTCAGAACGGACTACGTTCTTACACAGGACAAGAGTTTCAAGAAGTACGCAAAGGCCTACGCTGACGACGTTGACCTGTTCTTCAAGGAGTGCGTCACTTAATAATTGGTGCATTCATATACTAACACAGTCTTAGTTTCTCTGCTGCTTACTCCAAGCTCCTCGAGTTAGGTGTCCCTACCCAGCAGTTTGTCGCCTCCGAGGCTTGGATTATGCAGACTGTTGACGAACAGACGTCCTAAGTTGTGTTGTGCATAGAGCAATTTAGCATGGAAGGTAGATTATGTTAGCCTGCTTCATCTTACTGATCACAATATCGTATATCTTGAGCTTATAAGTACATGCAGTACCTTGTACGTACTAACGCCTGGTGGATTGACTTTTAGGTGCTTTATTCGTAGATAATTGATATGATGAAGTTTCCCGTTTCTCATATGTGAGCATCGCAACAGTGGTCAAACCGTTTTGCCAACGTTTCAACCTTCTCAACGTGTGGAACCGTAACGTTCTTCCGGACATGTCCAGTCATCTGGCGGATTAAGTTTCACAGGAGTATGCGAGCTTACTCCAGGCTCTGAACAAATTCAACAGAACATCCCTGCAACATGAAGGAGTTCAACGCTCAGGGTCCTGGATCCACACCTGTTACTAAATGGTGCAAGCGCTGCACACTCAGCTCAAGAACGATACCGTATCGAATAGCGAGGGCATTTGCTTTCCGACACGATACATCAAGCTTAAGGTTAGGTCGTGCCAATTTCGTAAGTGTGGGCATGTTGAATTTGTTTGTCTGCGCTAAATTTGTGCATCGGTTAAAGTGCATGCGGCAGTGAGCTTTCCCTGACACACCCTCCGTTTCAGGCACAGCCGACCCCCTATACGTCGACAATATCCGCTCGCGATACGAGGAGGTTTGATACCCAACTTTTATCACACGTATGAAACAATTTTAGTACCGAGAAACAAAAGCTGAACATGGAGAACATGCGAGGAGAAGTGATGTATTGCGTGATGAAGATGAGGAGAACCCGTAAGACAACTGTAATGGACAGACAGTGTATTAAGATGAAGGGATTACGAGCAAAAGGGTCCGTGACTCTGTCTAGATCAAGCAAGCGCTGCGTGTTAGCCGAAGAGGCCATGAAGAGAGGGAGGATGGTATCAATACGTCGTCGTCAATAGTCGAGGAAAGCATCTGACGACCAACGCCCTTGTGTGGACACAACGTCGGGGTAAACAACCTGCAGAAGAAGCTCTGTAGCCCCTCCAATACGAAAAGCGTGCCCCGGGAGATTGCCTCAGATTGGGAAACCCCTGTGACACCCAGATCTGAAACGGTCACGTGTGGAGCCGTGACGTTCCTTTTAGTCAGTGGTAACTTGTCATCTTATTCTCAGCTAGTCACTTTCACCAAAGATCACCGTTCATGGCTGCCACTTGGGCGACCTCGAGCCCACCAACTGTGCCTCCTGCACAGGCTATGACTTATACCGTTGCCGGATGCTCGGAGCACAGCGGGAACTACGTCCCAGAAAACATACTGGTGGACACTCCACAGGACCCAACAAGTAGATGGAGCGGCGCACAACAATTACCTACAGCGAAGCAATGGATCCTGCTGAAGTTAGAAACACTCAGTGTTGTCAGTTGAGTAATTGCTACGCTTCATGATCTCGCACGCGCTGACCTACCCGCGCTTGACGAAATGAAGAGAGTATAACATTTGGAAAGGTGACGCCGACCAAACTTGTCATCGATGCGAAAACTAAGTTTGGTGGATGAAGTTTCACAGGAGTATGTGAGCTCACTCCTTCGACATCCAGGCTCTGAACAAATTCAATAGAACATCCTTGCAACATGAGGGAATTCAAGGTTTATGTAGGCCTGAATCCACACCATATGGTGCAGGCGCTGCACACACAGCTCAAGGACGACACCGTATCCGAAACATTTCCTTTGAAACATGTGAATGGCGAGGGCATTTGTTTTCCGACACGGTACATCAAGATCGTACCAGTTTCGTAAGCGGGCATGTCGAATTTGTTTGTTTGTGCTAAATCTGTACATCGGTTAGAGCGCATGGGATGAGCTTCCATATTTCAATCTGGTATGTCTCTGTTTCAGGCATAGCCGATCCTCTATACGTCGACAACATCCGCTCGCGATACGAGGAGGTTTGATACCCAACTTTTATCACACATATGTTCACTAAATAAACAATTCTAGTACCGAGAAACCATAGTGCTTCGCCACGTGCTGAAGCACTTGAGGCAGCGGAGGTTGCTAACACCATATCAAAACATCCTGGCGCGCTCAAACATTCAGGTGGAGCACCCTGTCGTGACAGCCTTGTACTCGAGCCTCGTTCTTCAAGGGGCTTGGACTGATTCCGAAACACTTCTGTCTGAAGCATCTTCAGCTGGCCTTCTAGATGCTTATATCCAATTTTGTCAACCACACTCGCAGTGGAAACGTCTTCACGGTGTGGACGCAGACGGTGACGCGCCGAGCAAGCGCGGTGGCCACGCAATGGCACTCGACCCTGAAAATGGCCTCATCTACCTCCTTGGAGGCTGGGACGGGCAGAAAAGCCTAGACGATTTCTGGGTGTACGACGTGAGTGCTGAGCGATGGCGCGTGATAAGTCATAGTACGTCTATCGAGAAGAACGGACCTATCGCTAGGTCTTGTCACAAGATGGTTTATGATACGAAATCGGGGTGCATCTATCTCCTGGGTCGACTTGGCGATGGAGATATCTTGAAGCCGGAGGATCATCAAGAACTATTAAGAAGAGCGGGTGAGATCCCGGACAGTTCTAGGTCTACTCCATACTGTTCGGAGTTTTACCGGTATCATACGCGAGGATTGGATGTTGGGAAATGGGATTTGTTGTCATTTGATACGGCGGTGAGTGGTAGAGCTGGCTTTGCATGTTTTTAAAACCGATGATGCTAGTCCTCCGGTGGCCCACCACTCATCTTCGACCACCAAATGGTGATGGATTGTGAGGCGCAAATATTGTACGTTTCCGGGGGGCGAGTTGTCGATGGCGATTGGGATTCGCCGAAGTACTCTGGCATGTATAGTTATAACGTCCGCACAAGCAAATGGAAAATCCTGCAGCGAGTGTTGTCATTATTGGCCATTTTGTCATTCTCATTGCGTCTGCAGACCCCAACCTGCGTTGTCAATGTCATCGTCTGTACAACCGCCCATCTCGCCCCGCTTTGGTAAGTCTGTCTCGTTTCACGTTTATAATATCCAGCATACTGAAGAAGGATAGGTCATTCAATGGTTCTCGACCCAATGTCGCACACTCTTTTTATTTTCGCGGGGCAACGTGATGACAAGTATCTGTCCGACATGTACGCCTACGACATCGCGAGCAACACGGTGACGGAATTGTTCAGCAATTTCAGCACAAGTGGGGGTCCCGATGCATGTTTCACTCAGCGGGCGATTATCGACGGACGGTTGAAAGAGATTTATGTGTATGCAATCGATCCCATTTCTACCCAGCTGCTCTAAACCAAGCACTTCATCTAGATTCTGTGGGCTGACCCGCGTGCAGCCCACTTGTGCGCTTACTAGCTTACGCGCCGACACCCCAAATTGGGTGTATCAGTACGTGCACCCTTCCAAACCCGGAAAGTGGACAAAAATATTGCCCGAAGTGATGCAGGAGGGCGGAGAGCCTGCTGAAGTTCCTCTTCCCCGATATGCACATCAAGTAGTGTACGATGAGGGGATGAAACGTGTATTTATGCATGGTGGAAATGCAGGGGAGGTGAATGAGCCGGTGGAGGATGTGGAGACGGAGGTAGAGGGAGGTGGTGATGACGAGCGTCCGAGGGGAGGTGCTGACGATCGTCCGAGTAGGATATCGAAGGAGATGAGGCTGGATGATTTTTGGACTATGAAGCTATTGAGGTGAGAAGCATTGCTGTAGTTCGCTCTATGGTATTAATGACGCGTGTGCTTACTCTTCAGAGCCGCACCCGAGGAAATTATTAGGCGAGCAAAATACCAGATCCGACAACAGCAGTAGGTTATGAGCCTCTTCAAAGGGATATGCTTATGGTGAATGTGTATAGGTTCCGAGAGATGTGTGAAGAACAACCCGCAGTTAAAGCCCTACGCTTTCTGCAAACGCAAGTGTCTGCAGTGGTGGACCACACAAACCCAGAGGAGACGGGTGTGTTCAGGGCACTCCTGGGGCATCTCTTCTCGACTCCAATTACCACGGATGATGGCTCCGCAGAGTCTACAAGTACACCTAAAGAAACTACTACAAGTCTTCTCGAAGAGCCACCGAAAAAACGTTCACGTCCGAACACGCCCGACGAAGCCTGGACGAGTCGACTGGATGATGATGATGAGGACGAGATGCTTGATGCGAGCACGTCAACCGTTGTGACCTCTAGCGGACAGAAGCGGCGGCACGCAGTGCTTTTGATGGAAGAAGATCCCGTGGAGACTGCGTTGCGGGACGCTTCGACAAAGCCGCTGTCACCTGAGCGGTTCAGGCAGCGTACGGAGGTGTTTGAGAGTTTATTGCAGTTTGTGGGGGAAGATGGGAAACAGCCCATGGGTTCGCTTTTAGATATGGTTGATGCAGAGGACGGGATATGAGGTTGGTGGTGTGTGATTGACACCTTTTTGTTTTGTTTTCGTGTTTTGAAGTTGTGTTTTATTCGGATTTGTAGGTTGTTTCAGATAGGTTTGGTTTAGAGGCCACATACGTTTGGCATGTTGTCAAGATTATTTGAAAGGTTGAACGTTGAACGTCGAGATCTGAGCGTTCTGGACGAATTCCACACTCGTACGATTGAGGCAAGCCTGAGCGGTCAGACCGACCAAGCATCTGTGCTCTGATTAATGAACTATCCTCTCTTGCACAATATTCAGCAATTTCCATGCAGATTCAAACAAAAGATATTGTTGCAAGATAGTAACTCGTCCCTTGGATGAAAGGTGACGTCATCGATTAGATATTGCAGCTGCGAATACATGATCTTTCCACTTCAAAGCTTCAAGTCGTCGGCTGCTATATATATGTTGACAGAGTGCGATTTTGACGCGCAGGTAGACAACTTCATCCGAGATTTAGGGCGATGCACGGGTAATGAGTTGATTTGTTTTTGCGGTACATCTATTAAGTTGCAACATGTTCTACATAAAGGCTGACTGTTCCACGAAGATACAAAAAATCATTTGTTTCTATTTTGTTCAAGCAAGCACCTTTGGGATGCCCTGTGCGTTCAGCAGTGCCTCGCTGTCACTCAAAACCCGGGGGCCGTCACCTACCCGGGTGTGAATAAGCCCCTTAACAGAGCCCACCTCCCACCGCTTAGCAACAGCCTCATTGAATCCCTCCGGTAACGCAGCCTTTACTTCCTGTCCTCCAATGACGACCTTCTCTGCTTGGGGGAAGTAGTACAGAACAAGCTGTGCTATCTCACGGACATTCGGTGTGAGCGCATAGATAACGGCGTTTGGGCCTGCATCGTATGTGTAGGCAGCCTTGGGCTGATCCGAGAGCCGGTTGTACTCGGTGATGATGGCGATAATGGCACGACTGACATCGTTCATATAGAAAATGGGAGGGTAAGTGTCAAGAGCGACAGCATGGAACTGGTTCGAGTCCCTCATGGTGATCTCCGCAAAGTCACCGAAACGCTTGTCTGCGATGGCACTCTCGATGTCTGCCATGCGGGAGGGAACGACGTATCCAATGCGGTGCTGGAGGAGTGCGGAAGTAACGACGGTACGTTGCATGCCACTGGTGCTACTAGTGCCTTTCTTGGCGTCGTTGACGACGCAGATGAGGGCTTCCATCTCGGGCCAGTGGGACTCTGGGGCGACTTGACGGGCTTTGCTGTCTAGCCCGGTTACGTCGTCGCTGCCCATATCCCAGGCGACGAAGCCACCGAAGAGGGAGCGACATGCACTACCGGATCCTCGACGGGCGATGAGGCTGAGCTCTTCAGGGGTTTGGGGGAGGGCGTAGAGTTTGGCAAGTGCATATACAAGGGCTGCAAAGCCTGAAGCGGATGAAGCAAGACCCGCTGCAGTGGGGAAATTGTTAAATGAACAAATGTGCACGTTGAAGGAGGCGATCTAGGTGTGTGTTAGTGATGTAGTGTGAGGGTCTGTGGAGAAGCCGCACCTTTGGTTGATCTGGATTTGCTGCCTCAAAGGCTGTACGCAGACGCTTCATTTCGGTGATGCATGTGTGGAGACGACCGCCGGGTTTGATTGGGTCCACCTTGCCATTGAGCCAGAGGCAGTCAGCAGCAAAGGAAGGATCAGCGCGTGCAGTGGTTGTGCTCCTGAGGTTATCCTGGCTCAGAGTAACGGAGAGAGAGGAGTTGGTGGGCAGGATGAGCGACTCATTGCGCTTTCCCCAGTATCTACAATCATATAATAGATTAGATCTTGTCTGAGCACATAAGTAGTATTGATGATCACTTTATGCAGGCGATGTTAACTGGTGCAGATGTTGTTGCTTGGTAGATGGACATGGTGGAATGAGAAGAAAAGTTGTTGCAATAGAATGGTGTCTTATAAGTTTCAATAAAAGCACATCGTACGAGCATCCATAATCCTTATTCGCGATCGAGCATATTACTTTAGCGATTAACGGTGGCTGTGCACACTGCAAAGACATGAGTGACCCCGGTCACGCCGTCCGTCGCCGGCGTAACAGTGGCGGTGTCCCCTGGTCGAGCTTTTGACTTGAATTATTGTTTCGTCCATTCCATCGACTTCGCTGACGACAACGACGAGAACGACGACGGCAGCAGCGAGCAAGATACTTGTCAAAGGCACTTTAAACTGTCTCTCTTATTTTGCTTATACTATCGTGTAATTCTGACGTCCGACGTGTAGAGGTCCCATTACAGTGCATATTTCCTGCGTGTGATATTGCGTTGGCCCAGATGCGATGTTCTACCCTTCGCAGTCGCCCGCAATCTCACACAAGCTCGCCCACCCACACCATGTTAATGTTCAAGACCAGTCCCCTTGGTCTCGAAATGTCAATCACACACATACGCATCACCCACAGCAGAGCATAGGTCCACCTCCACCATCCCCAGGTTACCCGCTCTATACAAATGGTGCTGTGAATCCTATTCAACATCACCCGCATCATCCCCTTTCACACCCCCCGCTCCCTCCCCACCAGCACCAGAATTCTTTGTCTCATTACCCTTCTCCACCCAATGGTCACATCCACCCGCAGCATATGGGCCAGGCTTCACCAGGAAGCGTTGGCAGCCAGATCATAACACCCCATTGGCAGCAGCAACTTCTGAAGTGTGAGGTACGTTGAACAGCACTCCATTTAATGCAATCTTATAATACGTCATACAAAGATGATCAGGTCCTCTCGGTCTTCACATCACCGTGCCCGCGCTAGCGCAATGGCATCACGCACGGTCATTAAATCCGCTATCCCTATCACAAATCCCAACCTTGTCAAGCCCAGTACGAGCACAAGTGTCGACATCACAGAATCCTCCTCGAAAGACCCACCCGGAACACCAGCTCTATCCTCCACCCCCGCCTTGAGTGCCGGCGAGAGCTCACCAGGCGTCGCAAATTCTGTGGTCAATCACCCTTCGTCCACTGTTGCTCCTATTGCCGAGACCCCACGGCCTACCGCCAAACCCCCACAGAACACCTGGAACTCCCTTGACATGGGTGGCATCAATATTAAAAACATCCCACCGTCTTCCGGCCTCTTCAAGTTCACTTTCCTCATCAACCTTTATCTCAACCACAATGCCCTCACCTCTATACCTGCCGGAATTGCGAAGCTCCGTCACCTTGAACTCCTCGATCTTAGTGGAAATAACCTCTCAACAGTTCCTGCTGAGCTCGGCATGCTCACCCAGCTGAAGGAATTATACTTGTTTGACAACCATCTTGTGACCCTGCCAGCTGAACTAGGCAGTCTGCACCAGTTACAGACAATCGGTGTCGAGGGGAACCCCATAGACACGTCTCTGAAGGCCATTGTGCAGAAAGACGGTACACCCGCCCTCATTTCTTACCTGCGCGACAGTTGCCCTGTCCCATCTCCTCCACCAGAACGTCTTTGGAAGTACCTCATTTTGCCTCAAGAGCGGGAGGCCCTTGCCGCGGATCCTGCTACAGAGACGCTCAGTGCTCTCTGCTACAACATTCTGTGTGAGAAGTACGCGACGGAGCGGTTGTACGGATACACACCGTCATGGGCACTCAGCTGGGATTATAGGAAGGAATTGATATTGACGGAAATAATGAATTACGATACCGACTTTTTGTGCCTGCAGGAAGTGGATATCGCACAGTACGAGGACTACTTTGTGAAGCATTTGCAGGGGCAAGGGTATGAGGGAATTTACTGGCCAAAGAGTAGGTATAAGACGATGAGTGATGCAGATCGTCGGCAGGTTGATGGGTGTGCAACGTTCTACAAGGCAGACAAGTGAGTGCCCTCTTTGTGTTGACCTGAAGTTGACATTATTTATCCATTCTATCAGGTACTGCCTCGTCGAACGTCACCTCATCGAGTTCAGCGCCGTCGCAATGCAGCGTCCCGACTTCAAGAAAACAGATGACATGTTCAACCGTGTGCTAGGCAAAGACCATATTGCCGTTATCTGCCTCTTTGAGGTGAAAGAAACGGGCACTCGCATCATTCTTGCCAATGCTCATATCCACTGGGATCCCGCCTATCGCGACGTCAAGCTCGTCCAAGTCGCGCTTCTCGTCGATGAGATCGAGAAGATCGCTGCAAACTTTGCACGGATGCCCCCGAGGCCGGATACACCCCGCGCGCCCGTCTACAGCGATGGAAGCAAGATCCCGCTGATCATTTGCGGAGACTTCAACAGCGTCCCGTCTTCGGGTGTATATGAGTTCCTTACGAACGGGAGCGTGCCACCCGACCACCCAGACTTTATGAGTCACCTGTATGGGCGGTACACCACGGATGGGCTGCGGCATCGTTTGGGGCTCAGAAGTGCGAATGCGGCAGCGGGTGAACTCCCGTTAACGAATTATACGCCAAGCTACCAAGGCGAGATCGACTATATATGGTATTCGACTGCAAATCTAGCTGTGAATGCGGTACTGGGAGAAGTGGACAGAGGGTACTTGGAAAAAGTGGTAGGGTTCCCGAACGCTCATTTCCCATCAGAGTAAGTCTCCTCTCTGTCTTTTTGGATATAGACTTGTTCCTGACATGCTTTGATAGTCACATATGCATCATCAGCGAGTTCCGCGTGAAGCCTCCACGACCGCCAGCCTTGCTACCAACGGCGTCTTGAACAAGCTAGTAAGCATCCAAATACATCATTTATCGTCTCATTTCTTGTACGCACATGCATTTGGCGGTACATTGGTTCTACATATCGGGTGCACACATCACATATTCATGATATTCTTTTTCATGTCCAAGTTTCTTTGTTTGTCGTCGTCGTACGTCGTTCTTTCAAGTTTCCGTACGATTTTTGTTTTATCCTTCTGTCTTTCTTTTTTCGTTCTATTTGTTTTTCTTTCTGGTGTTCATTATAATGTTGCGCCTCCTTCAAATTACATACGACATACAACAAACTTTGTAGCACGTGCTGTACGGTTCTTTGTGTATGAAACGGCTATTCCCTCTCTGCTCCTTGAAATATTTATGATAGGCTGTACCAAATCAGGGTGTTGAGCAAATCTAAGGATAGTCCCGACCTATACCATATACTTTCCATCCTTGAGTTCATCATCTTGAGAGTTCGTGTCTTGATTATCGACATATGACTATGTATGAAACCCGTTCGTGTATCATATTCCCGATGGCAACGCGAGCAATTTGATACAGTTGTGACATCGGCGGGCAAAAGCTAATGTCCTAGAATCATTCCCCCCAGTTCGGGGCTTATAATTAAGGTGGACAAAGCATGAACTTGTGACAACCAAAAACATGATACCTGATGCACTCGGATCCAGAGGCCTGACATTTGAACTGATTGAACTAAAAGAGAGACGATGGTACTTCGTACTGCGCCTGGAACCTCGTTATGGATCCTGCTCGATTAAATCATCATGGTACGATTCGCATGCCAAAAATTTGATGTATAATCCCCATTTGCGAATGCTGACGCTCGAGGCACGGCGAAATTCGTCTGTAAGTATATGAAAGAATAAGTATAACGTTGTAGATGCACAAACATATTCTACACAGTACAAGCGCTACTGCCTGAAAGGCCTTGCCATGGAGAAGCCATACCCGAATTTCGTTTACGGCCTCTTCCAATGCTATGTGGTGTTATCAGCGTACGACAAACGGGGAATGAACATTTGAACAGACCAGAAGGGAATGAGGGTTCCTCCGGAACGGAAGCTGAAGTAGCTTATCAGCCAAAATGGAACACGTCAAAAGTGCTTGAGTTGGAAACCAGCCAGATAGAAGTTAAGGTATCGAAATGACGATAAGAACGAATACGTACGTACTATGCAGGTCGAGAAGGCCTGAGTCTCGGCCCTCGATCAAATATCCCAGTACTTGCTTTCAGCGCTTTCCGCCGGATAAATGGGGAAACGCCGATATCAAGACTCTGGTGCGCAAGGAAGGAATCAAGGAAACCAGAGGGGGTTGTGGACCCCGTGTCAAGTGGAGAAGGATTACCACTCAATCACCAGTGTGAGAGCTCAGATAACAATCGAGTTCCAATATCAGGGTACGACAAATGACCAATCAAATTGGTACAAACCAGAAGGGAACGATAGTCCCTTGAGAATGGAAGCTGAAGAAGGTTACTTAGAGGTCAGTCGTGGACATAGATTCAGAACGAGATGGCTCACAGGCTGATGTCGGAGACTAGTTATATATTAGCCGCATGTATAATTTTGAGTTAAAAAACGACGGGGCCTAGCGAGGCCTCGACCAACACTGGACATGCCGATCTTCCCTTTTAGTGATCTTGACATCGAAAATGAGGCGTCAGGAGCGTTTTGAGGACAGCAGTGGTGGGAAGAGATACCATACATCAGATACAATTCAACACTGCCCTATACTTCCGCTAGCGAGACTCACGCTTTGGTGCCTACAATAGATCATTTGCAATATGCCTAATTCAAAACCAATGAGGGACACATAAGATTTTCTGTCGGTGGGCTAACGCCTAACGCCCACGAATATTTCTATACGAAATAGCGGTGCCATCGCATTATGCGTGACCCGCCGTTAGATAAATTGTTCTAGGGTGCCTACAATCAATTACAATACATCATTCTGAGATGCTAAAGATGCAAACCACATGTACAAGACTGCTCCGTGTCTCCACAGCAAAATCAGAGCACTGCCTCAAGCCTTGTACAATGTATCCAAGAACATCGTAGCGACCTCGCTGACCATGTCCGGGCCGACGGGGCTGGATTGTCCAAGTCCTGAAAAGAGTAGCAGGGTCAAATTATATATTCATCATGATCGTGACCATTGATGATGGCAGAAAACGGTGGAAATCATGGGACAAAAAAGCAGACGCAAGTTGTGGAGATGATTGTTAAGGCACGAAACTCGACCACAAAGAAAATTAATCAATCTTTGAGACGTACCGTAGAGCGCAACCATTGTCCCCTTCCCAGACGGTGCCAACTTAGCTTGCTGCACAGAGTCCTTGAGATCTGCGATGAAAGTATCAACGACCGGGAGCGTAAGGCGCTTTCAGATAAGCACGTGATTCAGTCCTCATGGGTGCGGAGAAAAAAGCAAGAAAACCTACTGTGCATGCGATATGTACCGCAGCTGGTCCGGTCAGCGCATTGAGATGCCAGCCTTTCTTCGACATCGCATCCCCGACCTCGTGGACGTTCACCTCAGGAGACTTGGACCCGAATGCGACGACAGAAGCGGGCGGGGAGCCAAGCACATATAGTTCAGGGATGGAATTTGTAATGGTGTTGGCAATCGTACGCGCGCATGAAACAATTTCGCGGCAGGACTTGAGATAACCACTAAGAAATGGGCTCAAGATCAGATCGAGGGAAAAAACAAATATGCGCACTCTGATCCCATGTATTGCATCGCTGCCCAGGTTCCCGCGATCAACGCACCAGGTCTAAGTACACAGAAATTCAGGCGCAAAAATAAGGGATCTAGGAATGAACATACCGGGAACCTGACAAACTTGGGCTGGCATAGACTCCACCTACAAAGAACTGAAGTTGGTAAAAACGTTTGCCAGAATGTCACGAACCTGTCCAGTAAGGTGTGATGTAGTATTGATGACGTCGTAATGCAGCATCGCGGTACATGATCACAGAAGACCCCTATAGGATCTGGTAAGCATTTACGAGGCGCACATGGGCGAAGTCTGACCTTGGGTGCAAACCCATACTATTATGCCATTAGAATCTTCATCGATTACATGCAACTGAATTATATGATGACAACTTACCTTATGAGTATCACAACTGATACTAGTAACTCCACGGACTCTGAAGTCGAATGGACTGAGTTTATACTTTGCGCCTCCGTCTTCTCCGTCAGAAAGACCTGCTTTCTCGAGGAACGGTACAATGAAGGATCCAAGGCAACAGTCAACATGCAGACCAATATTATGCTTTGCAGCTAATTCGCCCAAAACAACTATATCGTCTTGATTTCCATCCGGGAAATTTACAGCTGATCCTACAAGCTGCGCAACAGCGTTCAATACTACCGCTATGATAGAGAAGATGCTTACAAGGATTGTGTTCCGGTTACTATTGGAAATTATCTGAGTAACACATCCTTGACGTGGCAAGGAACACTCACATGGCTCTACGAACGCGTTTAATGTTTGCCTTTCGAGTTACTGGGTCTACTGGAATCAGGTGCACTTTTACTTTCATGTACGCTGCGCCTTTGTCAAATGCGGCGTGTGCGGTTGCTGGAACAATCCTGTAATATCGATATTAGGATTAACTCACATCTTATGAGCCGCAATACCCACATCTCAGGCTCAGTAATACCCTTAACTTCTCGTGCCCAGTCTCTGTAAGTTTTGATAGCCATGACAATAGACTCGGTACCGCCTGAGGTCATGGTACCAGCTCCATCCGGGTTGTTGTACATCCGTAGGCACATTGAGACGATCTCAGCTTCCATCTTGCGGATAGCAGGAAAGACGTCCGGATGTAAAGGGTTAGAAACTGTATAACGCTCGAAAGCAGCGACAATAATTCTTGACAGATCATCGCCCCCATCTATTTAGAAGGTGAGATAGGGAATGACTGTGGTAATTGACGCACGGTAGACTGCTCCTGATAATTTCCCATGTTTCCAATCAGCACGTGTGCCCAATTCGCCATCCATTTTCTCCATCTCTGCTATTATCCACTCCATGGATTTCCCTTCGTCTGGGAGAACGAGATGCCGCGAAACATCGACTCCTTGGGGTACGAGCTTTCCCTCAATATCCAGTCTTGCCTTGTTCAATTGCTGCTGAACGTCCTTCTGCACTGAGGGTACTTTCAATGCTAGCAGTAATACTTGCTGTCTTTCGGTCAGCTTTCATAGCAGTGAAACTAAATGAAAGTCACGCACTTTGTAGGTCCATGTCCAGGAGTCTCTAAGAGAATCAGTTATGCCTCGAGCTTGGACATGCCTACAGAACTTCAGGGATTGAGTTATGACGAAATAAAAGAAAAGTGCTGTCTTTGCTGTCTCGTATGGTGTCCTGGTTCGTAGGAAATCCCTAACAATCACCGGGTCTTGCAGAAATAGCTTGACGGAAGACATTTTTGTGTTGAAATCGACGTTTCCGTGGTAATAGTAGTGTGTAGGTAGGAGAGCTGTAGAAGAGTGTGAGTTTCGCCAAGCCGCCAATTACCTCACAGTTATATTAATACGACCCTCAGCCGGCAAAACTATATTAATTTGGCAAGTGCTTCCGAACCACCACAATGAACAACATGCGGATGGTATGACATTTGCATCACGAAGCAAGGATCACTGAATAAATCCATTCAAGCTTGCGGAAGAGGAGGAGAACGACGATGGGACTGAGGTTACATGGGGTGCGTTCTGAGTTTTTGACACTCAGGGTGCCAGTCGATTGAGTGTTTTTAGAGGATCAGCAGCGTATCAACACGTTCTCCAAATTGAACACCCGTCTCAGGAGCATAGAGGAACGACTGGAGGAACTGAAGGTGTGTTAAGAAGCTAAACGTTTGTTCTAGTCTCATCATAGTTTCCAGCAAGAGAAAGAAGCATTAGATGACCTCTCTACAGAGCTCGAGCTTACTGACGAGGATGAAAGTGTGCTGTGCGTTTGAACATCGTGCTCGCACAAGAAGAAGGACTAACTTTGTTGGTCTATCAACCAGATACAAGATCGGCGAATCTTTTCTTCACCTACCCCAACCCCGCGCGATAAAACGACTTGAAAAGGATCAGGCAGCTTTATCAGCTCAAATCTTGGACCTATCAGCAGGCGCGGAACAATGCGAAAAAGAGATGAAGGAGCTGAAAGTTACACTGTATGCCAGGTTTGGCCGCGCAATCAACCTCGATGAATGATCGATATCAGCATAAAGTATCACTCAGACATCGGGATGATATCACCCTCATCGTAGCCTTCTGATTCGCGTCATGCAGGTCAGCTACATCTGTATCTCATGGGATATAACTGCAGCACCGTCGATCTGTCATAGGCATGCGTCTTCACAACAGTACACCCATCGTCACATGTACGAACTGAGTCCGAAGCGAGGATGTGATATCCCGCATACACGATTTGCTTGCAGTACCTTGGAACTGTACGAGTGCGATTAGGAATCTGAATACTGATAACATCATCAATAGCCCAACTGTCGACAAATGGGGCGACATCCATGCAAAATAAGACGGTCCGTGCTAAGGAATCTAGGTCTACCAGACGGCATTCATATCTCCGTCGTCCTTAAGCCTGAGCCAGCCTGTCGAATTCTCCCATCGAGTTCAGTCGGTAGTTGGCTTCGCAGAACTCTGTAGAGAAGCGCATCATTCAGCTGAGCTACCGGTCTAATGCTCCAGCCCTGAGGAATCGGCGTTGTCCATATGCCTTGGGCCACCATACGAGTCTGCTATAGCAACTTCCGTTATCGTTTTGCTGACAAAGCTAGGATGCCTGATAGGGGTCTCGAGATAAACCGACGGGGCCGGCTAAATCAAAATGACAAGAATGCCAGCGCTAGCCAAGCATAACGGTATTAGAATACCCGTTCGATAGTTTCAAGATCGGTAACAGCCAAAGAATACGAGGTAAGGGGTATCGCAATCTTCCCTGATTGGCTGCGCATGGTGATGCCCTGACAGGATCAATGAACGGGCGGTTTGTCTGTAGAGTTTGAAGCTTAAAGGACGATGTGCTGTTGAAACGATTGGAAGGATATCAAAGCAGGCAATTTATTCCAAGCCGTGAGGTCGGGATACAGGCACAAGAAACTGCATCGCAAACTTCGTAGCCAACCATAACGTCCAGAAACGTCACTCGCGTGGACGCCCGATAACACACCGCTTCTCGCTGATCTTGTCAGGGTCAAACATCCAGGAATTGGATATGTCGACCTGGCAGTAGGTCCGCCCGGATGATCATTGGCTCTAAGGTACTCGCTATATCCGTACCATCTCCGGGAATCCTGTTGGCGCCTTCGTACGCATGGCCGGTGACAAAAGTGTTCACCTCTCGCGGATCTCGGATCTTTGATCGACGAACCATCGCTAAATTTGAATGTAGCGAATGGTTGTGCTTGTCCTGCGCTATTTTCTTCGTGGATGGCAAGCACATCATCGGTGGTAGCACGACAAAAATATCACCAGTTTGCCGGAGAATTGGATTAGATTGCCGGGGAACTATGAGATGAGTTGTTGATTTCCCCCTTGAAGCCCACATTTGTGGCACGACGATAAGTCATCCTCAACTTCGCCAGACATCCGCTGCCATCGGAACCACCCAATGATATTAATGGTATTAAGCACGATGATATCGCAGAAGACAAGGAAGCGGGATTGGAAACAAAAGAAGGCCGATGTATCTCAGATCAGCTGGAACAGTGAAGCTACTGCACAAGGCGGATGAATAGGTCAGCGGATCCCGAATGTGTGGTCGTTGTTGCCTGTCCAATCCCCAATACAAGCCACGTCATATTCTAGATGCAGGCATTTCCACACATTGCAGGACTAGGATGAAGATGAAAAAAGGAAACAGGAAGCCCTCGTCGTTGGTAAGCATTGTAGATGGTATTGCAAGGATGTGGTCATCGCATCGGGCTGTCTGGTGCAATTGATTAGTATTCCGTAGTCTAACAGACAAAATGCCGGGACTGTCATTCCTGTTTGAATGGTACTGCCACGCTAGGCGGGGATTTTGAACTTGAAGATCACTTTCTTGTAGGATGTACATCACGATACGAACATCTGTATATTTCCTAGATTCGACTAGTGTAGTGTAAACGTGCTGAATCGCATCTCCTAACAGGCTTTTAGGTTTGCATTTTTCCCTTATGAGTGAACGTCCAGGCCTTAGGGTGAAATTCTAGATGTAGGTCTCTACTACAATGAGTAAAACGGCCGTATAATGTTCGCCTGCTTGCATTGTAGCCGTATTCTTTGCAACAAGTTTGCATGGATTTGCCAATAGTCTTTATGTGCACCTCTTCCAGGTAGCCGCACTTCCACTAGCATGGATAGCTGGAGAGGTGCACATGAAAGACCCGATAGCAACCGACCTTTAGGACCACAACGTCCAACTGCCATTCGGCGGCCACAAACAAAGTGTTTTCCGGTTTCCCCCGATGACGCACCTGTAAATTATAAATCATATCCGATTGATCTCCGAAGGATACGGGTCCGAAGTATTCCGAACGCAGGTGCAGGCGCAAACATAGAGCTTTGTTTAAACTTTAAAGTCAGGGAAGTTGGAGCCGTGCGTCATGTGAATGGCGCAGCATCGAATCCCATAGCCAACAATAGATTCTGTCAAGTTTACGATTCGTCAGTCTCCATGTTCGAAATGAGCATGGCGGTTGAGCCTCGGACATTTCATTTTTGTGTATTTCCACGAGACTTCGCTCAAGGGGCTTCTTAGAGCACATCCACGTTAGGAGGGTCTTCAGAAACCCTTTGAGCGCTGAGTGCTCAACACCCGTCTAAACCAATCCAGGGGAAGCCGAAGCACGGCTGCTGCGGAATGAGTCATTGCTAGTCTGCAGGCCTTGTGAAACACCACCGAATCCCATGGCATGTCAAAACTTTAAAGGTCTATCAACGCATATCAAGTGCATATCGAGCGTGAGATTGGCGCACATCAAGCGTGCGATCTTACCTTGTTCGTGGTCGGGCATGTCGTTACTCCTGCCAAATAGCGATATTGCTTGCAACAATGGCGGCATGGCGAGGACCATGGCGATTGATAAGAGAGAACCAGACTGTAGATGGCCTAAAAACACCGCGACAGTCGAGATAACAAACGTGATCCAGTGAGTAGACGACCGGTGGCAGAATTGGAGTCGAAGAATGTAAGAAAGGGAGAAAGAGGGATGTATAATCTTATTATAGGATGATAGCGTGTGAATAGGGTGAGTGCGGGACTTAATATGGATCGCCATTGGAGGAAGTATCGCGGTGTGCTGGCACACAAAGGAGGCCCATGTTCTAGATTCCGCCTCAATGAGCACAGGGCTACTTGTGTTACCGGACTAAAAGCGAGATTAAATTTAAATACTTAGGACGTGGCTGCATTGCAGTGGTGAGCAGCTCGAAAGGTCCTGGGCTTGGGAGAGTTCGAGGGTAAGACTTTGTAATGGAAGTCAAGTGAGTGGTTAGCGAGATCTAGTTGATATACCGAGATCTTGGAAATGGAGGGCGCGCCAGAGATTAACGACAGGAAGATAACACCTGCTGATAAGTAACGCAGCGTACACAGTCATTTATGCAAATGGTGTTTGTATCCGCATTCAACCGACGGCTACTACCAATGGATGTGCCTTTCATTTTGTGCAGGCTGGTCGACACGACGGTCTAGAACCGCAAAGCTATGCGATAAGTGTTGCGCTGATGTAGAACTCCGTAAATGGGAGGAACAATAAGCGCTGAGCGCTGCAGGACGGAAGGCCGATATCGATGGCAATTCTATTTGAGCAGGTTTCTGTGGAAAGTGTCTGCAAACAAAGCTGTGACTCGGGTATTGCCGTGCCGCAAGGATCGTCGATCCCATATACCCGGATCAAGAATTAGCAATCTGAGCCGGCTTCGCTCTCAGCCGCGGGCAACGTTCGGACGAACGAAAGGTGAGGTTTATTATAAGAATGATTCAAGTCTCGCCCGGTCGATGTTTCCTTTGTCGCTCACAATCACTACTAGGAACTTTGGATCTCTCACAAATTCCAGGACTAGGACCAACTGTAGCTAGTTGGTGAGTTTGGCTTGCCCTGAGTGCGCGTCTGTAATTCCAACTCATCCTAACCAGGGTCTCTCCGCCAAGATGGCATTCAGTATAACACGCCCAGCTTCTCCTCAACTTCCTACTTCTACTCCCATAGATGACCATCTCAGTACAGCTCTTCACGCCGCTCTTAGTCGCGTACACGACGACATGGTCCACCAAGACAGATCACATCATCACCCACCACCTGACAAGTCTCGCATAGACATAATCCTGGATTCTGATGTCCTTGCATTGAAAGGCACAACAGTAGACATCGAGCCTGCCTTACTTTCTGGACATGTCGTCCTCACTCTCTCCCAAGCGACATCCATCAAAGAAATAAATCTCCAGTTTCGTGGCAAAACCCGCGTACCGCCCTCTCTTCACGAACCGTATGCGCTTTATTTCATTTAAACCTTCTTCTCTGATTGGAAAATTCACCCAGAATTTCCCTGAACTCATCTGGCCAGACATACAGTATCTGCACATATGATTGGTCCTTCCTCGAAGGCGAGAAACGCCACTCTCATACCCTCAAAGCAGGCAAACACCTTTTCCCATTCTCGCTCGCCCTCGGCGGTTCCCTCCCCTCCTCAATACACCTCCCCTCCACGGCTTCCCAATCATTCATCTCCTATAAACTCCGCGCAACCGCCGTCCGTCCTGGCTTCGCGCACAACCTCCATGCATCCCACCCTGTTTCCCTAATACGAAGTCTCGCAACAGACTCGCTCGAGTATCAGCAGACACTTGAAATCGAGAACACATGGCCTGATAAACTCATGTACACTCTTGTCCTCCCCCATCGCGCTTGGGCTGCCGGTGATACCGTTACTGCCCTCTGCAAGTTTCTCCCTCTCGCCAAAGGTGTCCGCGTCCTCAGCGTCGTCACCAACCTCAACGAGACCGTGAAGATTCCTTCAAGGGGGAGCGAATTCACCAGAGCTGTTGTGGCTACAAAACACGAGGTTACCAACGGTAAACTTAAGCTTGTCAGCGAAAGTTGGTATGGCATCAGACAGCCCATCGGCACCGGTTCCAAATCGCATTCCCTTGGCCCTACCAATGTCAGTGTGCCCACGTCTCCTGCTCAGGAGGATAGATCACCAAGTTTTCATCTACCCGATCTATCCCTCCATCAAGTCCCCAGCATACCATCTTCGTCCTCTTCGCATTCCCACTCTCAGCCAATCTCAGGCTCCTCCTTCGCTCCTTCACATGATTCCGATTCCTCCCACGACGAACCCCCAGACGTCGCTTCAGGCGAATTCACCTCAACAGACCTCATTTCCCCGCTCTCCCTCACCCTCCCACCAACTCTTCCTCCGTCCCATTCTTTTGACCCAATCCACATCTCACACCGAATCCGCTGGTCTATCCTTATGTCAAACCTCGACGGGCATACTTCTGAACTCCGCTGCAGCCTCCCCATAACCATACTCGATGGGTGTCTCCTCACAGAAGCTCGCGCTGCTGGGCGTTGGGTCCGCCGTGTCGTTTTAGGCGATCACGTACAAGGTGAAGGCGAGAGCGCTGGCGCAGGCATCTTCGGAGAAGAAGACAACGAGGAGGAAGGTGAGATGCTCCCCAGTTACACCGCTCACGTTAGGGACCGCGTCGCCAACGCCTTCCTACCTGCCGGATCCACCATGCGCGTCGTGAACCCCTATGTGTCCACAGCACCACACATTCCCCCCACACCAGGAAGTGCCACCAACGCATCCTTCCTGCCGCGTTCAGGAACGAGCTCACCACCACATCCACACTCACACTCACACTCACACTCACACTCACACTCACATCCACATGCGCATGCACATGCACACACACTCCCGCAGAGCGTACTCGATTGGGTCAGTTGTGAACTTTTAGGTCATCCACGATCGCCGAATTCTGATCCTACGAGCCAAGTCCCAAGTCGGCTTGTTTCTCGTGCGCCTAGTCCCGAGCGGCGTATGCGGGGGGCAATAGGCCCGCCTATAGCCATCTCCGCCCCAGATTCACACAGATATCCAGTGGTATCAGACTCTGAAACGTATACCCACTCACCGCCTGCATCCCGCACGCGAGGCACGTTACTCACGGTCGCGATGAAGCCACTTCCTTCTGGGTGGTTGAGCGGGGGCTCGAGGACTGGGAGCCATTCCAATCTTGCGGGGATGACAAATGGACACGGATTGGGGATGTCGAACGTCAGTGGGTCGTATGGGGTGTCTGGGCATGGAGGTGTGAGTATAGGTGGGGGAGCCCATCTCCATTCACGATCATTTGGGAATCTGGTATCGCCACTTCAACCCCTCGAATACCCACAAGGATTGGCCTCGAATACGGGAGGACATTCACGTCCGCGCACTGCGTTTAGTGTTGGTGGAAGTGGAGCACAGACGCCTTATTTTAGTGGTATGCATTCTGCGCCACATAGCCCTCATACACCTCCTGCTGAGATCCCGGAGAGCGCGATTTGGGAGAGAGGGTTTACGGAGATGAATTCGAGCGGTGGTGGTGGGACACGTGGAGAGGAGTTAGATGGTGTGGATGGGGTCGAAGTGAGTGTGGGAGGGGTTCAAGAAGGGAATGCAAGTGGTGTTCTAGATGGTGAAAACGTACACGCGAATGCAGCACCCGACTATCGCGTGTCGTTCCAGGGATGTGTCCCCCCACTATCGAGTTTAGCGGGTTTGCCCAGTTATGAGGAGGCTGCTGGATCTGGAGTGCGGCAGGAGACGCGACGGCCTGGGTTGCGTTTGAGTTTTGATGGGAGACGGGGAAGGGCGCTGGAGGGGAGACGTTCTCCGTATGATGGTGAACATTCTCCTCGCGATGAGCAACATCCTATCCTCCAAGACGGGTCACACCATATCTTGCACGACGAGTCACTTCCAATTATGCATGACGGGCGACATTCTAGCACGCACGACAATTTCCATCCAATTCAACACGATAGGCCTCCTTCTAGTCCCCACGATGCGCGGGACGGAATACGGTTGAGGGTGCCGATTCCTCGCTGGAGGAGGGAGAGCGGTGAGGGGTCGTAACGTTTGTGAGTGCTCTTCGCACTCGCGTTGCATTGAGCATGTCATCCTGCCATCTCCTTGGGCTCGACTGGGCATTGTCCTGGCTTGGCTTAAACTCATACTTCCTCTCATTCGACCACAAGCATCGTTAAAGAATAACGGTCGACCTCCCCAACCACCTCGTCGTCTCACATACTTGATAACAAAATTATTCATCTCAACTCGCATCTTGGATCACTGATAGACAATAGACTGGATTATGTGTAAACTTATATTGTATGTAATAGGGTCTTGCGACTTAGTTTCGAGATCATAGTGTAATGGGCAACGGGCATATGAGGAATGATTAAACGTGCTGCTAGGACATCAGATTCAGACGGATGCGCTGTGCGTACGGTGGATGCCAAGTTAATGGTCGGCAGGGCCAAGTACGAGACGTACAATGAAAGTTACCAATTCCAAGCACATGCTGGAAGGACCAGAGGTGGGCTACAAGTGTCAGAGGAAAGGTTTTTTGAATGTTTTATCCTAGTAAATATCATGCATTACCGTTCTCAAATTCCATCCTGAATAAACATATTGCTGTGTCTTGCGCATAGTCCTCGACGCTGTGTGGGTTTGTTTCTGAATCGTAAGTCGTATGTCAATTAACCCACCATGTTCTGGTCCAGACTGTGGCAAGTGAGTTGAGAGACGGTGTGCGCCGAGCGGGCGAAGGCGCTTTGTGATGGAGCACGGAATTCGGTGCATCCGTGCGCGATCGTAAGAGAAGCAGTGTGGAGACTCGGAGGGTGAAGGAAGAACCCATCCACTCTCTTGTGAGCCGAATACTAGACCACCAGTAAGATGTAGGATATCGAGAGAACGCACGCTAGATACCTGGAGGCTGGAGTAGTCGCCCATGTAAAACCACTCTAAATCCTTGTTGCTGCTATGCAGAGATCAAGAATAACTTCCAAACGACACTGTCTATGTCCGCGAGGACATATTTTCGTGAAGTAGAACTGCTTCCATAACTACACTATGGCGTAGCTCTGGTTGGTTCAAACTAGCGATCTGGTAAGATTTAGAGCATAATGTTGATGGATATCCATTACACACCTGATCGGATTCGTTGGATTTGGGGTCGTCTACACAGTACTGGTAAGAGCCGCGTGGATAAGACAGTGCCATCATCACTTGCTGGGTAAGCAGGACTGCCTCACGCTGTCGAACGTAGAGGATCAGATGGACGATCTAGACCACAGCATTGAGTTGTTCGGCAGGACTGGCACATCGACTCCGTCGGTGCGGCATAGATTTTGACGGAGATCAAATTGTTCCCGTCGATGGTGCCCATCGTACCGAGGCTGAGTATTCACAGATGTTGGGAACGAGCATGGTCGCAGATGAGTGATACAGCCTGAATGGTGTTTGGCGCGGCATGGTTGGGGCTTAATATGATACAGCCGAGGTTGCGTAAGGCTTACGGTAGTAACACGTCAACACAGTTAAAAACAGCACCCGAACACTATCAGAGACAACAATACGGAGACTCACTAGTCACCTTGATAGTACATCCGAGCCAAACTCAGGGTTGTCATAATATGATAAGAATGCGAAGGACAAGTATTCGAGTCGATATACCATGGTGGTATTTGAATGATCTGATAAAGCCGCGTCACGACCACGTAGTAGTATTACTTATGGTGGTACGTCACCATCAGAAAGTTTAAGCGTTCTGTCCATCAAGTCCGCAAATTGGCAATGTATTAGGACTTTACTGATCACGTGCATAATCATGTGATGTGCTCTTCGAACTTCGAAGTCCGGATGGATGATGGATTGATCTACTACATCTGCAAAACGACTGAAATGAACGCTTAACTTACGCGCGTTACGAACACTTACGAACACTTACGACTTCAGTAGCGAAGTCATGCGATTGGTGGAGATGTTGAACATCAATATTACACACCATATCTGGCTGATAAACTGAAGCCCAGTTCGATAAGATGTGATATGCTCAGAGATGCGATGCGATAGATACGATGGATGCGATAGCAATAGATACAATTGCTACACTACATACCGATTAATCTACTGTCTATACAAACTCAGTACTGAATGCATGATAACTCTCCTTGTCCGCAAAATTATTCAGAAAGAAACGCTCATAGCTTTCCGAGCATGTCGCAGAGGTCATGCTCTGGTCCACTGCCTCACCATACTCTGGTATCAATTCGACCGCATGCGTTGCATCCGTAAGTCGCACGACAGCTCCATGTCTATGGCGGTTACCATTTGCATCATGAGTGTACACGCGTTCCACGGTCCACATCATGAGTTCAGGACGGTCTTCAGGACGAGAGATGAAACGGAAATACTGGACATAGAGAAGTGGGTTGGAAAGGTACGATGGCAGCTCCACATCAGAACCTCGTCGAATCGTCGGTTGAAAAATCAGTCGAACTTGTGCGACATAACTAGCTATATATGATATCAGTAGTGCTCAATATACAGGGAATACACATACTTATGTTGCCATCCATGCCCGGGCCATCGATAAGAATGGTATCGCAATTGCCCAAGGGGAAATCATTGCTCGGCGGGTATGCTTGTACTACTCTGCTTGGCATGATGACCCGTGGCTGGAAGGCCGAGTGCAGCTGCAGCCGAAACTTGTTCCACACCTGGAAGCGCCCATATTTGGGGTCCCAGCAGGTGTGCTCGTCGCTAGCCAGGGATGAACGACGAATAAAGTCGGTGAGTGTCACGAGTACCTCATACGAACCATTATTCTTTTCTGAACTCTAAGTCTTATAAGCGCTCTGATAAAGCGCCTGCCCATAACAATGTATTTACGGTTGAAGATATGGAAGAGGATGCACCTGTGGTTGCGTCTATTGTAGAATTACCTAACGAGTGCGAGACTGAGTCACGTGACTTATCGGAATATGCCGGACTAAACTTTATACCACGTGAACCTGATGCGATGTTCCAGAACCTGTCGGTTGCTGCGGCACGTGTTATGACATCATAGGTTATATATAGAATCGTACGATACTGTTTCCTATTATTTGATTGGTAGTTAGTTTGAACTCAGATTCAGTCTCCGACTTAATATATGTATATAGGTAGCTAGTTTGTAGTCGGTAGTTCTTTAGTTCAAACCTCTCGTCTGTACATTGTGTACCAGCCCAGACGTACCTGCTCAATTCTATCTTTGTTTTGGTTTATCTTGTTGTTTGAGTCCTAGTCTCTGCCCAGCGTTAATTCGTTATTGGGTTGTGACATTAGGTTTGAACTATAGGAGACTCCGACTCTTGCGTTACACTCTCGCACATCTCTTTCTTTGCCTGGCTATATTGGAAGTCAATCCATATTGTCACGCAAACAAAGCCGTTTACCGTTTACCCTTTGTACCTCTCGCTATTACGTGTCTCCAACAGCATATTGCCTCGGACGCACGTACTAGTAAGACGTTACACGTTTTTCATTGCCCGGCCTAAACAGCCGTGACTTTCGATTGAAACCTTTTCCTTTGCTCGCTTGAGCGTCTTCATAGTTTACACCTTTAGTAGTTAGTAGTCCTATACCAGGCCCTGCCTTACATTGCAGCCGCCAGTATACGGAGGTGTTGACGACATTAGGCATCTCGCTACAACTTGGAGTGCTGGCCCAAAACCCTGCCTGCTCCACGTTACTATAATTTCCTTTTACGAATTACCTTTCCTCTTCATACACACGTAGGCATCCACTTCGAGTAAATAGCGGAACTGTCTAGCGGTTACATATTGCATTTGACCTAAGAGGATTTAGAGGCATTCCCTAGTGAGACTCGCACTTGTAGGCTCCGGCCGGAAGAGTGATAACTTGTCCTAGGTTTGCACCCTCGAAACGGAGATTGCAGTGACCCTAGTTTTTCCCACTCGAACGGGTATAGTTTACATACTCCCGTTTTTAGTCAGTAATAGAGGAAGCGTCAGTGTGGGATATTACCAGAACCCCTTGACCCTGAGCCAGTGGTAGATCCGATCAGATATCGGGGACCGCTCAGTTTTCCTTTACGTAGACTTTTTCACATTGATCTTTATCATCATTTTCCTTATCCGGAGTAGCCCTTACGAGCAGCTACTCAAACGACGTCAGTGAATCGGGTTCCAGAATACAACTGGCACGATGTCGTCATCTACTTCTCAGATTCCATGCAAGTTCCTTCGAGATATTGGCAATTGCTGGTTCGGTACGAAATGCCGATTTAGTCATATCTTCGAGTGCAACAACTGCGGAGAGAAGGGCCATTTGGCCAAGGACTGTCAGAAGAAGGTCCCAATCCAAGACCAGAAGGTACCACCGAAGTGGTTTACCGAATGGAGGGATTCGGATGCTGGCAGAGAGTTTACGGGGAAACCTCCGAAATGGTTCGAATTCTGGTTGTCAACAGATATGGGCAAAAAGATCGCCCTAACAATCAAGAAGGAAGAAGCCAAGAGGTTGGTGGGGGCGCCCAAGTGGTTTACAAGGTGGTTGACCACGGAAGGCGAAAAGAACGAAAAAGGAGCGAAGCCAAAGACCGAGGGCTTAGATCCTAATAATAAATATTCGATCTTATCAAACTACGCGGATGTCGAAGAAGTGTTTCTTAAAACGAAATCAGAGCACTTCTATATTCCCGTTACGCTGAAAGGAAAGAATCGGCAAGCCGAGGTCAAAGCACTAGTTGATTGTGGTGCTTCGACATTATTTATAGATAAGAAGTTTGTGGAGAAGAAGGGGATTTCGTGTAGGAAGTTGGAGAGACCGATTCCCGTTAAAAATATTGATGGCTCGTTGAACGCAGCCGGATCGATGACGCACTTCGCTGAGTTAGGTCTGAAGATCGGAAACCATGTTGAAGACAAAACAGCATTCATGGTTACAGACCTCGGCAGTGACGATGTAATTATTGGCATTGATTGGTTAAGATATCACAACCCGGAGGTAGACTGGAATGCAGGGCGTTTCTCTCTCACGCGTTGTCCCGTTAAATGTATGACGAAAAAAGAAAAGAGAATACAAAATCGAGAAAATAGAAAAGACGTAAGAGGCACTTTGCCCGATCTGATTCTGACGGAGGATGACGATGATGAAGAAGACCCGAAGAGGGCACGAGTTGAAGTGGCAGAAGATGAGGAAGATCCAGTAGAATGGATAAGATATAAAGCCTCGGTTGCCACGGAGCAGAAGGTTGCAGAAGAAGCAATGAAGGTGAAGAAATCGGTTGAAGAGATGGTTCCCGATTGGCTTCACGATTACCTGGGAGTTTTCTCAGAAGAAGAATCTAAGCGCTTCCCCGAAAGAAAGAAATGGGATCATGCGATAGATCTTAAAGACGATGGCGATCTTCCGCCGAATGCGAAACCCTACCCTTTGTCACCCAAGGAGATGGACACTTTGAAAGATTGGTTGAAAGCTGAAACCGCACTGGGACGTATTAGAGAGTCACAATCCCCAGTGGCAGCACCCTTCTTCTTTGTGGCCAAGAAAGATGGCAAGTTAAGACCGGTAATGGACTATAGAAAGCTCAATGAGAAGACGGTTAAAAATGCATACCCACTACCGAGATCTCAAGATTTGATTGATGCTTTAACCGGTGCCACGATGTACTCCAAGATGGATGTACGATGGGGGTACAATAATATTCGCATGAAAGAAGGAGACGAGTGGAAGGCGGCCTTCAAAACGCCGTTTGGTCACCATGAAACAACCGTAATGTACTTCGGTTTAACGAACTCCCCTGCCACGTTCCAAACAATGATGAACGAGATATTCAGAGATCTAATTGATGGAAAGACCGTAGTAGTCTATATCGATGATATCCTCGTGTTCACAAATGGCGATAGGGAGCAACACCGGAAAGTTGTACGTGAGGTACTGAAACGACTAAAAGAGAACGACTTATATCTGAAGCCTGAAAAGTGTAGCTTCGAACAGTCGGAAGTCGAGTTCCTCGGGTTGATCGTGGAGAAGGGTGGTGTTCGGATGGACCCTGTGAAAGTAGAAGGAGTAATGAAATGGCCTGTACCTAAATGCGTTAAAGATATTCAAGCATTCATGGGTTTTGCCAACTTCTACAGAAGATTTATCTTTGGGTTCTCGGACATAGCCAGACCAATGAATGATTTATTGCGGAAAGATGTCAAATGGGACTGGACGGAGAAACAGCAAGATGCTTTTGATGAACTGAAGTCAAGATTTACATCAGCTCCGATTCTAGTTATGCCGGACGTTGAGAAAAAGATGAAAATAGAGACCGATGCTTCTGATTATGCAACTGGAGCGGTCTTATCTCAACTGATGGAAGATGATTTGTGGCATCCCGTAGCCTATTATTCGAAGTCAATGAATGATGCGGAACGAAATTACGACATCCATGACAAAGAATTATTGGCAATCATTCGAGCGTTGGAGGAGTGGAGGCACTATGTGCAGGGAAAACCTCATCATGTGGAGATCTGGACGGATCACAAAAATCTCGAGTACTTTATGACGAGCCAAAAGTTGACAAGAAGGCAAGCCAGATGGAGTTTGTTCCTGGCGGAGTACGAATTTACGCTCCAACATAAGCCTGGTGTAGTCAACGATAAGGCGGACCGTCTATCTCGGAGAGAAGACCACAGGGGGGGGATAGAAAACGACAATTCTGATCGTATTTTGTTAAAACCGGAGTTTTTTACTGTAAAAGCTGCTAAAAGAGGCCAAGTTCTAGTGCAAGGAGAAGAAAAATTGCTGAGAAAGATAAGGCAATGCACAGAAAAAGAGCCCGAAGTCGCAAAAGCGTTAGAAACGCTAAAAGCAGCACCGGTACAACTACGTAGAGGAGTCGAAGAATGGAATGTGGAGGATGGATTGGTGTTATTCCGAGGACTGGTTTACATTCCAAATGATAAAGAGATCCGCCGAGAGATATTGGAGCTGTTTCACGACTCTCCACCGGCTGGACACCCTGGACGTGCCAAGACCTTAGAATTAGTTTCCAGAAATTATTGGTGGCCTTCAATGACGAAGTATGTCCACGACTATGTAGATGGTTGCGATCGATGCAGACAAACAAAGGTGTTCCCGAGTAGACCAACCGGACCCCTGCAGCCAAATGAGATTCCTAGTGGACCTTGGCAAACGATCTCTTGTGACCTGATAGTGGACCTGCCAAAAGATAAAGGATATGACAGCATATTTGTGGTGGTTGATCGATTTTCGAAACAGTCACACTTTATTCCCACCACGAAAGAAATAACCTCAAAAGGGATTGCTGATCTTTTCCTGGAAAATGTATGGAAACATCATGGAACGCCAAAGAAAGTGATATCGGACAGAGGAACACAGTTTGTTTCCAAGTTTATGGGAGAAGTGTCAAAAAGATTAGGCACAAAATGGTCAATGTCGACCTCGTATCACCCCAGAACAGATGGACAGACAGAGCGCGTTAACCAAGAAGTCGAACAGTACTTGCGCGTGTTCACATCCTATAGACAGAATGATTGGGTAAATTGGTTGCCAATTGCGGAGTTTTCACACAATAACTCGATAACCGCTACTGGGCACACCCCTTTCAAAGTTCTTTATGGATACAACCCCGATTTCACGATACATCCAAATTCCTCGTCCCGAATTCCTGCAGCAGATGAGAGGATGCAACAAATGAAAGAGGCAAAAGATGATGCAGAAAGTACCCTCAGAATCGTGAACGAGAGAATGAAAAAGTTCTACGATAGAGGCGTTAAAGAAGCACCGCAATATAAGATTGGAGACAAGGTCTGGCTTGACGCAAAGAATATTAGGCAAAGACGCCCAAATGCGAAGCTATCAGATAAACGCCTTGGTCCTTTTGAAATAGTGGAAAAGATTGGAGAATTGAACTACAAGTTGAAATTGCCAGAAGGATACGGCATTCACCCAGTTTTCCATGTAGAATTGCTTTCACCGCATTATGTCTCAAAGTTGATACCTCATGCCGAAAATGCACGCCCGCCACCGGAAATCGTCGAAAAGAGAGAAGAGTACGAGGTGGAAGAATTATTGGACAGTCGTATTTATAGAGGAAAGTTGCAGTATTTGGTCAAATGGGAAGGATATCCAAGAGATGAAGCGACCTGGGAGACGGAAGATAACGTAAAGAACGCCCCGGAAGCTATCGCATATTTTTATGAAAAACACCCAAAAGCACCAAAATCGCAAAGAATCAAGGGATCGTTATTTAAATCAGAAGAATTCAAGGATTGGAGAGCACGCAATATTCGCCCTAGTTTCATTCGCGATGACGCTCATCCTAGAGAGGGGGTAATGTCACGAGTACCTCATACGAACCATTATTCTTTTCTGAACTCTAAGTCTTATAAGCGCTCTGATAAAGCGCCTGCCCATAACAATGTATTTACGGTTGAAGATATGGAAGAGGATGCACCTGTGGTTGCGTCTATTGTAGAATTACCTAACGAGTGCGAGACTGAGTCACGTGACTTATCGGAATATGCCGGACTAAACTTTATACCACGTGAACCTGATGCGATGTTCCAGAACCTGTCGGTTGCTGCGGCACGTGTTATGACATCATAGGTTATATATAGAATCGTACGATACTGTTTCCTATTATTTGATTGGTAGTTAGTTTGAACTCAGATTCAGTCTCCGACTTAATATATGTATATAGGTAGCTAGTTTGTAGTCGGTAGTTCTTTAGTTCAAACCTCTCGTCTGTACATTGTGTACCAGCCCAGACGTACCTGCTCAATTCTATCTTTGTTTTGGTTTATCTTGTTGTTTGAGTCCTAGTCTCTGCCCAGCGTTAATTCGTTATTGGGTTGTGACAGTGAGCGTGTGATCAAAGTCAGGGAGAGTGTATTTCGTGCGTATTTCAGCCGGTGACAGTGATTTATAGTCTGGGGTAACATTCAGTTGGAAAGCTGTGAGCGCGTCTCCAGAAAGAATGCCCTTGAGAAAATGGTTACGGACTGGTCTGGGACCATGAACCGACTTCACCTCGTCAGGGAGTATGCGGGAAACCCAAGAAAGTGCAGGATTAGCGATTGTGACATCCTCATCTTCAGCGTGTATGGCATTGACCAGTGATGCTCCCCGAGAAGTCAACAACGCATATAAATCAAATATTTCCATCGACTCCTGACAATTAAGAATACAAACGCACTGCTCCGTGAAATCTTTGCTTTGTCGAGCCGTCCGAGGGAAAAGGTCCTTACAGTGTGTTATGAGCAATCGCTCCGTCGTATCAGCTGAGAATTGCATCAATGTGCCCAACCTCCTGATCGTACCCTCGAAACTTTGCATTAGCTCGAGTTTTGGAATAAAGAAATCTTCTTTCACGCCTTTCTTCCCCTTCCTCGCTTCTGCAGCGACGATAGCGTCCTTGAAGGAGTGAAAATCTGAAAGTGCCTGCGTCATGGCTTGGAGCGATTGGGGTGAATGAACTGGGTGTTGTGCAAGATATGTGAAGTCTACAAGGCCGCGGATTGCGCGAATAAATCTGGGTGAAACAGCACCTGCGATTGATGCAACGATAGTGCGTTGTATATCTCTATATTCACGGCCCGTCATTTGCTTGACATGCGTGATCCCTTTGGCGAAGTGGCGCGTGCCAACCCGCTTATGCTGAGCAATGTAACGGGTATCAAGCTCATAAGCTCCTACAGTCTCCTTCACCCATTTGAGCGGGTGATCAGCGAAAAATTTGAAGCAGGTATGTAGAATTTCGCCAGCGAGGAAGACGGATGGGCATGCATATATCCAATCATGCCAGTAAGGCATGTGAACTCCAGACAGATTGAGAACTTTGGCCGCTTTCTGGAACTTGTCAAGGTCCCAGGGATCAACTGTCTTGGCAATACCGACGAGGAGTTCCAATGTATGCTTCCCGGTACGAGGGGGGTGGAGGATCCCATCACCAAAATGCTCTTGCGTCGCCATAGTCAGAGGAGATGCGTTTTTAGCAACTGCAGCGATCATGGTGGCCTCTGGCAGGTCGCATACATGAGCTACAAGGGGCGTGAAAACATAACGGATAAATCTAAAAGGGTCAGGCATGAAACATCCCTCTGCTGCCGCGGCCTTGAGGTTAGCACAGACGAGGTCCATGCATTTATGCCATAGCTGTGCCTGAAGAATACTCTGATAATCTGGATGCACACGGAACTTTACGATTGGCATGTAGGCAATGCAGCGCCAAGCTCGTAATGTTGCTTTAGAACGAACCTCCGAATCGATATTACCGATGGTGATGAAAATCGGGTGCATCTCCAGTCCTCCAGTAAGTCACATGACAGGAGTTTTATCGGATCCCAAGATGATGGGAACCTGGGTTGCGCCAATAGGCAGGTAGTCCTAGAAAATCACAAGTCTTTCTGTGACTCGGTGAGGAACGTATTAATATAGTGAACAGACCTGGATTTTCCATGCCATATCAGCGCTCATGTAATCTCCATATTCACGCTGATTACCGACACCGATGTGGTGTGGGACGAACATCATATGGTTCGCAAAGATAGGGTCACTAAAAAGTTGCTTGACTACATCCAATGCATCGCGCCAAATGAGTTCGATGGGATAAACGGTCTTGTAGCCTGAAAACTCTATTTTGGAGACTTGCCACTCCATAAAACAAGGAAGCGAGTCCATCCAGTCCAAGAGTTTATCCTTCATGGTGAAAGACGGTCTTGGGTGATCGTTAAACTTTTTAAAATCAGACTTGTGCCTACAGCTTAGACGATCCTACTTACCCATTTCAACTTCAAAAACTTAGTGATTTGTGTTTGAGTGAGGTTTTCGACCAAGAACTTCCCTAATTCCCATTCGCCTTCGTCGTGGAAAGGGTAGTAATGGTTGATCTTTCGCCGGTACGCATATGTATCGTCTTCCAACCTATCGAGCATGTTTTTACCAATGCCGAAGACATATCTGGAATCTTGATGACAAGTACCAGTGGTACTTGAAACAGGACTTTGACGGAATACAGGAGGGACGGGTAATTCTTGTGGTCGTGCTTCAGGTGGCCAGCAGGTAGATTGGGAATTGAGGTGCGTAATAAGTGACTCAATGGACAGAAACTCTCTCAATTTGCAGTTTGGACATAACCTGCAAAGGTATGTGCGCACGATCAGGCTGGCATCAGGGTTTAACAGACTACTCACATTGTAGGCTTCGACGTGTGCTTGTCAGTGATTTGCAACTGCGCAGTCTTTCAAAGTCCGCAGGATTGCGCACCTTCACTGCACCCGTCAACACCTGGTGAGCTGTCTACACAGCAAGACGATGGACTTTGCACCTTTATCTCACATTTCGTCTCCCCCTCGACCAAGCAGTCCTACTCACACCAACTCCAGCAGTGCAACCCGTGTTGAACCAGCGTTCTTTGATTTTTTTCTCAAGAAAGCAGATAACTCACCCTGTTTGATGACCTCTGACATAGGACCTGGCACTGATCATTCAGGTTCTCCTCATTCCGGTTCTCCTCATTCCGGTTCTCCTCATTCCGGTTCTCCCCCAACTCCTCTCTCCCCAGTGGATGAGGTGTCAAACTCTCCTGTAGTGAGAGAGGGCTTATTGCATAGCCCTTCCCGTCGCGGAAAGCGTGAATTCGCATCTCCGTCCTGTCGTGGGAAGCCTGGCCACACACCTGCAACGAAAGAGAGCTTATTGCGTAGCCCTTCCCCTCGTGAATCGCATCGCATGTCATCTCCTTCCTGTAGAAAGCGTCACGCTGCATATTCTTGTCATCTGTCTTCTCAATCCCCCAACTCATCCCTTCCCCCTCGTTCGTCTTCTCCTCCAGCTTCTCCCCTTTTTGGGAAGTTTACAACTGCTTCTCCGTTGGAGCTCCGTATCTCGGCTCGTGCATTAGGGCGAGAATGCCGACCAGAGTTCACGGCTGAAGACATTGCAGAGGTACATTTTAAATATCATTTTATTTGGTTTATTGTGTAATCTTACGGTAAAAGCACGAGGAATTGATGATGAAGGGCCTCGCGGAAATGAACTTATCGACTATGTACAAATTATTCAAGGCAAGGCTTGCTGGCCGTGAAGCTGCACGCCAACGCCTCGCGGTTACAGCATGGGCAATCCAAGAGGCAAAGCACTACTTAGATTTTTCTGAGGCGCTCAACGAGGATAGCAAAATGCGCCTCAAATATTCTGATGAAGAATTCCGAAGAGTTAGAGCTGCTCTCACTGGGCGTCACCGTTCAGAGATCGAGGACGACGGGAACTACCTTCAAGCTGCCTACAATGACGAGTGCAACACTCTTCGCGCCATTGCTGCCCAAGCAGACGCAATGGGAAAGATTCTGGGCCTGAACGTCAAGAACGACTTACTGTCATCTAGGGGAGAATCTTCTCATCGCCCTCAATTCACTAGCTCGGCTGATCCCAGTGATTCCCATACGTCCTCCGATTTAGATGGCGATGATCACAATGGTACCATGGATTCGGACGATGACGAAGAATCTGAAGGCCATGATGCGTAGCTCCAATCACACGGCCCTTCTTTTTGTGCCCTCTTTTTCAAATCACGGTATTTAAATTTGACTGCCAGCTCGTCGCTCGCTAATGAATATATCAGTAAATAGCCACACATTCAATTATGTTCGGATCGTGCCGTTCACATGTCGACTTTTTGAACACGCGCCATTCATATAGCTGCTTCTCAAACACCATGCCTTTCCCTGCCATTCATATATGTCAATAGTCTTACTTATCGCGCCAGGCCGTTCACATTCACTACATCACTTCGTGATCGGACCGCCATGCTTTTATGTACGTTTGGGTGTGTTTTATTACCTTTGTGTGTAATATCACCGAATTTGAAACAATCAGTGCGCTATCGATTGCCGCCTCTCTCTCGTACTAACCACTATATGGCTAACCGTCCTTCACAACGAAAGGGCAAGGCTGCCGTCCCCAAACCAGCAAGGGGGTCGGGACTAAACCCATCAGGACTTCCAGCCGCTGATCAACTCAACATTCCAGCTGAACAACTGTTAAGAACGTGCTCAAGGGTCGGATCCGAAGGGCTTGGCTTCAGCTCGTGCGCTGCGCCCCTTACCCGAGTACGTGCCCCTAACTTCCGAGGGTTGTTGAACGATGTCCGAAGGTTACCGGACGATGTCCGGAGGGCGTCGGGCGATGTCCGGAGTCCGATGTCCGATGCGTGGGAACTCCGGCGGACGTTCGGAAACAAGAGATAAGACTAATCCGGACGAAGTCCGAACTAGAAAGGAAACAGCGGAGGACTACCAGAGGTAGAGGCGGAGGTGTCAAGTCTATAGGAGTCGATCCTAAGACGAGCGGAGGTCGATGAGAGAGAAACTCAAGTCGGACAGAGGAGAGAATGAGCAGAGTCTAAGATGATATTCGAACTGAGGAAACTACAGAGATTGTACAGGGGTTTATATACTACTGAGGACATAACGGAGAACAGTAAGTGCAGTGCGAAGCTATGTAAAGCTATGAAGAAAACATATGGGACGACTATCACTAGTCTATCGGAACTTAGTAAAATGAAGACGGAAATGAATAAGGAACGGAAAATAAAGTGTACTAACTGATAAGGGAAATACCAAAGGGATAAGGCGCGGAAGTTAGACACGGGTCGGATCCGGACAATACATAGAAGTCGGCCGGATCCGGAAATCCGGAAATGATGAGTGTGATAGGTCCGGGTCCGGAACGCGGGATATGACAGTATCCCCCCTTTAGGGCCGAGCCCACGAGGCTTCTGATTTGGAAGTCCGGACCGGACTTTTATGAATGCGAGATGATGGGCGGAGCTCGTAAAAATAGCACTGAGCATATAAGTAGGCCGGGGCGCCCATGAGACGTCTAAAACTTTCCCTTTAACTCCTATTACTGCTTTTAACATGTCTAACTCCACTTCCGGCAACAAGAAGACCGCCCGGCAGGTTCTCGAAGAGAGACAGGTGGAAATGGCGGCCGAAATTGCGTGGCTTGAGGCGGACGCTCGGAGAGAGGCGGAGGAAGAGGAACGCAAGTGCAAGGAGGCGGAAGAGGAACGGAAACGGATGGAGGAGCAGAAACGGAAGGATATCGAGGAGACTCGGAAGAGGTTGGCTGAGCGCGAGCAGGAGCGTTTGGCAAAGGCTAGGATGGGTAATGCGTCGGAGGTGAGTCGGATGAGGTTTTTTGCGTTTTTCCGGAGTTTAACAATTTTTTAGTCCTCTGGTCCGGCGGATCCGGAGGTTGCGTGTGAGATGTGCGTCCTTAGGCGCAAGATTTGCACCTGGGCAGTAACGTCTAGGACGCCTAGGGTGAGCTTTTCTGTTTTGTCCGGATCCGGATGACTACTGATGATTTCCGAAAGATCCGGACTTGTGACCAGTGCCGCGCGTCCAAGGAAAAGTGCGTCGGCGGAAATCCGCCTGTCAAGGCGCCGGCCGGCAAAGGCAAAGGCAAGAAACGCGCGCGTCCAGAGGGATCTCCGAGCCCCAAGGGCAAAGGAAAAAGACGTCAGCGCAGTCCGGAGGACATCGACGACGACATAGAAATAGTCTCCAATCCCCGGACGGTTATTGGAGAGGATCAAGACTGGACGGAGTACGACGACCAGGCCTGGGTCGCAGCCGCCAACAACATAGTTGCGGAACTGGCCCGGACGAATGGGCTGATGGAGAGGGGTATTGCAGCGGCGGAGGGAAGTAGAGCTGCGATGGACCGGGTGAGTGAGACCATGCTCCGGTTCATGGAGGAGCAGAGGGAGTTTCAGACTCTCTTCATGGAGAGTCTGAGGGGCGGTTTCCGGATGCATGTAGAAGATGCTCCGGAGGAGGAAAATGGGGAGGAGGCGGAAAAAGAGGCCGGCGGATCCGGCGGAGACATGGAGATGGACTCTTAGGTCGTCGGATCCGAAGTCCGGATGTCGGACGCCTAAATAATGTACATATATGCATGTTTTTTCCTTACTCTTTGTTAGAAGTTGGTCCCGGCTTGTCCGGATATGCTGAATGGAAATCCGATAGAAGTTCCGGCGCATTTCCGAGTTCGGTTGCGAGTATCCAGGAAGTTTCTTCATCCGTCCCTTCATATCCGGCCCAACGTACTAAGTATAGTAGTTGGCAGTGACATCTCCGGCGGTCGATCTTGGAGTCCAGGATTTCGGAGATTTCGTATTCCGGTTCTCCGTCGACTAGTACCGGAGGCGGAGGAGGTTGGATGCGATTAGGGATAGTGTTCGGAGTTGCGGGTTCTAACTGAGAGACATGGAATACGGGGTGCACGGATCGCATAGCGTCCGGAAGATGGATGGTGAAGGAGTGGGTGCCGGGACGAGCGATGATGTCGAATGGTCCGAGATTCTTTTCCGAGAGCTTTTTCGATGGTCGGGTCGAGCAGAAATATTTTGCTTTAACGAAGACCTGATCTCCGACTTTGAAGTCCGGAGCGGGTTTCCGTCTAGCGTCCACGGGTCCTTGATATCTTGCTTGGGCAAGGGACATTTCTTCTCGGAGGAATTGGTGAAGCTCATCTAAATCTATAGCATAATCCCGGGCGCGGGCGGAGGAAAGATCACGTTCCGGATGTATGGAAATGTTCGGGTGATAACCCTTATTGGCGAAGAATGGTGAAACTCCGGTAGTAGCACTAGGAGCATTGTTGTAAGCAAACTCGGCCAAGGGTAACAGTTCCGACCAATTATCCTGCTGATAGTTGCAGTAGATCCGGAGGTATTGTTCTAGGGTTTGGTTAGCTCGCTCGGTTTGTCCGTCACCTTCCGGATGATATCCGGAGGTGAAATGGAGGATCATATCTAACGCTTTTCCGAGCGACCGGAAGAAGTGGGAAACGAATTCCGTACCGCGGTCGGAAGTAACATGAGACGGAACTCCGTGCTTGGAAAACACATGGAGGAGGAATAACCGGGCGAGGTCCGGAGAGGTGATGGTGTCGTAGGTCGGAATGAATATGGATTGCTTGGATAGTCGATCTATGACTACCAGGATGGCTGTGAAGCCGGAGGAATCAGGGAGTTGTTCGATGAAGTCCATGGATATAGAATTCCATGGCTTCTCGGGAATGGGAAGTTGCTTCAATAATCCGTATGGTTTGTGTCGCGGAACTTTAGCTCGGGCGCAGGTCGTGCAGGACTTAACATAGTCCTTCACATATGCGCGGATTCCGGGCCAGGTATATTCCCGACGGATAACTTCCAGGGTCCGGTTCTGACCGAAATGTCCGGATAGCGGGTGGTCGTGCGTATTCCGGAGCACTCGGAGACGGAGGTCATTGGATTCTGGAACGTATATACGGTTGTCGCAACGGAGGAAACCACTCTCGTCCACTGTCCATCTCGGGTCCGACGGATCCGGAAGATGACAGGAAGCGATAGGGTCATTAGGGAGGGCGGACAGAATGTCCTTATGAAGCTGCTCGACATCCATTAGTACAGCTGTCCGGAGCACCGGAATTGCTAGGTGTGATGCCCGGAGGGATGAAGCGAGCTGTTCTGTGGTAAATATCGGCCGGAGGTTGTGTGGATTAACTTGAGCGTAGTCCTTATCCCCCTCTTTGGGGTAGACGTCCCAACGTCTAGTTAGGCAGTCGGGCTTAGCTCCGAGTTTTCCGGGTCGGAAACGGATAATGAGGTTGAACTGGTGAAGGTATTCCGACCAGCGGGCCTGGCGGCGGGTGAGGAGTTTTGTGGTAGCGAAGTACTCAAGGTTCTTGTGATCCGTGACGACGTCTATCGGCTCGGCAGAGCCTTCAAGGTAGTGTCGCCAGGACCGGAAAGCTTCGTAGATAGCTAGAAGTTCCTTATCATGGGTGTCATAGTTGAGTTCCGGAGCCGAAAGGGTCCGGGAGTAAAAAGCAACCGGGCGGAGCTCCTGGTCCGGACATACTATAGAAAGTATTCCGGCGATAGCGTAGTCGGAAGCGTCCATCTCAACGACGATATGAACATCCGGCATCCAGTGCGTAAGCACCGGAGCGGTAGTGAAGGCTTTCTTGAGAGTTTTAAAAGATTTCCGGCAATCTTCGGAGAAATTCCAGGGAGCATCCTTGCGAGTGAGCCGCGTAAGCGGAACTACAATATCCGAGTAGTTAAAGATGAAGCGACGATAGAAATTGGCGAATCCGAGGAACGATTGAATATCCTTGACTTTCCGAGGTTCCGGCCAGTCGCAGATAGTCTGGACTTTGTCGGAGGACATTGTAAGTCCGGCCGGAGATAGGAGGTAACCGAGGTATTCTACAGAGTCGGAATGGAATTCGCACTTCTCCGGTTTAGCATATAGCCGATGCTTCCGGAGGCGTCGGAGGACTTCAAGGACGTGTTTTTTATGGGATGCAAGGTCTGCGGAATAAATGAGGATGTCGTCGAGGTACACAATAACACAGATGTCAAGCATATTGGCAAAGATGGTATTGACAAAGCGCTGGAAAGCCGCCGGAGCATTGGTGAGACCCTCCGGCATAACCAACCATTCATACGAGCCGTAGCGCATCCGGAAAGCAGTTTTCCACTCGTCTCCTTCCGCCATCCGGACTAGATGGTATGCGGACCGGAGGTCGATCTTAGTGTAAACTTTAGCGCGGCTCGGAGAATCGAGAAGGTCAGAAATGAGGGGAAGCGGGTAGCGGTCTTTCTTTGTGATTTTATTGAGTCCTCGGAAATCTACACAGAGGCGTAGGGAGCCGTCCTTCTTTTTGACGAATAGGACAGGGGCTCCGTGCGGAGAGGATGAGGAACAAAGAAGTCCGGTCGCAATATTCTCATCAAGGAATTTGCGAAGAGCTACAAGCTCAACCGGAGAAAGGGAATAGATGGTGCCAAGGGGCGGAGCCGCTCCTTCTTCCAAATCGATCTTTAGATCATAGGGACGATGGGGAGGGAGCTGTCCGGCTTTGCCCTTATCAAAGACATCCGCATACTCGTGATATTCCGAAGGGATTCCGGATAGGTTCGGAGGTTCGGAGGAGAGTGTAGCGGAGCGGAGATTGACACCGGACAGACGAACAAAAATACTGAACTGGACCGATCCCTCTAATTTACAGGCCCGGCAAAAGGCAACTGCATTGATTAGGGAAATATTAGGAACGGTTTTATCAGCGGAGGGACTCGGTGAGGTTGAGGAAGGGATTTCCGCCGGAGCCGGCAGAAAAGAGGTTGGAGGGGACGGAGGCACTCCATGAGGAATCGGACGGAAATTGATGCTGCCCTTTACCCAGTCAATCAACGGATTGTGTCGGGTGAGCCAGCTATATCCTAGAACGATGGAACAGGATGAGTCCAACGGAGTAACATAAAATGTTTCGGAGGTAACCACGCCGGTCGGAAACCGGATCAGTAAATCTACTGCCTCGGTAATAGTGGCATTAGAAGTACCATCAAACAGATGGAGCGGAAGCGGAGGAATTGCATAGGTTGGAATGTTATTTTCTCGGATTAATCTGGTTTCTATAAAACAATGAGACGATCCACAATCTACAAGAGCCAGAAACGGAGAGATATCGGGAAAAGTAGAAATTGAAACAGATGGTACTAGAGAGTTTGGATCGGAAAAGGAAATAGCATTGAGACGTAGCTCCATTGCACGGGTTGAGTCAACGCAACCCTCATCCCGCGCGGAGTCAAGAGGGTTGCGGACTAATTTTTTGTCTCTTCCGAGACCTCCGGTTTGGCTTCCGGAGTCACCGTGCTAGCACGACCTTTGGCCGCACGGGAAGTGGACTTTAGGCAGTCCCGGGCAGTATGACCAGGTCCGCCGCAGAAGAGGCAGAGCTTCTTCTCCATGCGCCTCTGGCGTTCCTCGGAGGTGAGTTTACCGTCTTTTCCGAGCTTGGATGTCAAGTCCGGAAGTTTGGCGGAGGAGGAAGCCGAAGCGTTTCCGGATTTTCCGCCGGAGTATTCTTTCCGGTCGGAAGTGGAAGCTGACTGCTTAGCAGGAGGCGTGGATGCGGAGGGTTTGGTTTCGCGGGAGACTTCTCCCTTGCGTTCCCAGTATCGAGCGTCGATAGTCTGGGCGAGAGTTTTGTATTGGGACAGAGTGGTGGGTTTTCCTTGACGACTGATTTCGTCCTTGATGCGAGCCGGAAGTCCGTTGTAGAACTGACGGCGCAAAGCTCCGTCGCCCCAACCTCGGACTTGGGAAGCTAGCCGCTGGAACTCTACAACGTACTTGTTGATGCGCTGTCCATCACGCATGTAGAGCTGTTCCAGCTGCATTTCCGCATCTCCGACTGGGTCATGAGGTCCGAAGTTAGTTTGGAGTTCTAACATGAACTCGGAGTAGTCGTCCATCCAGTCCGGACGATCCGTTAGATCATCCGAAAGGAGGTCTGGCTCAAACCATTCAAGGGCCATGCCCTTGAGGTATGATTGCGCGAAGTTGACCTTAGTTCGGCCGGTACGGAAAGATTTCGGCTTAGCTTGGAAGTTAAGCTCACATTGGACAAAGAACGCCCGGAGTTTCCGGGGCTCAGTGCCATCGAAGGTATCCGGTTCTCAGACTTTGACTTTAGGATCACCGGATCCGGAGGATTGGCGGTTGTTACGTGCCAGGTTATTGATGGCTTGGGATAGCCGGAGGAAGACCAAGTCTTGTGGACCTAGACCTTCGTTTTCATCGTCAGTCGGGTCTTCCGGAGGTTCATCATCCGGATCTCCGCCACCTCCTCCCGGCGGGTTACCGCCTAGGGCAAGTTCATCGTCGGAATCATTGTGCGGAAGATTTCCGGCGGGTGTGGGGGTGGGGGTAGACGGATGTGGGCGATTCATGAGTTGTGAGATGCTGGAGGCAGCGCCTTGCGCACTAGTGCGACGCTGTGAGAAACTGAGGAAGGCATTGACTATGGGAGTAGAGTCGTGTCGGGCGGTTACTACACCCGCTGCATTAAGAGCGGTCTGCGCCCGTGTAGGTGCCATGAAGTCAGATGTAAGTATACTCGGTAAGGTGTGAGTTTGAATATACTGTTAAGAACGTGCTCAAGGGTCGGATCCGAAGGGCTTGGCTTCAGCTCGTGCGCTGCGCCCCTTACCCGAGTACGTGCCCCTAACTTCCGAGGGTTGTTGAACGATGTCCGAAGGTTACCGGACGATGTCCGGAGGGCGTCGGGCGATGTCCGGAGTCCGATGTCCGATGCGTGGGAACTCCGGCGGACGTTCGGAAACAAGAGATAAGACTAATCCGGACGAAGTCCGAACTAGAAAGGAAACAGCGGAGGACTACCAGAGGTAGAGGCGGAGGTGTCAAGTCTATAGGAGTCGATCCTAAGACGAGCGGAGGTCGACAAGAGAGAAACTCAAGTCGGACGGAGGAGAGAATGAGCAGAGTCTAATATGATATTCGAACTGAGGAAACTACAGAGATTGTACAGGGGTTTATATACTACTGAGGACATAACGGAGAACAGTAAGTGCAGTGCGAAGCTATGTAAAGCTATGAAGAAAACATATGGGACGACTATCACTAGTCTATCGGAACTTAGTAAAATGAAGACGGAAATGAATAAGGAACGGAAAATAAAGTGTACTAACTGATAAGGGAAATACCAAAGGGATAAGGCGCGGAAGTTAGACACGGGTCGGATCCGGACAATACATAGAAGTCGGCCGGATCCGGAAATCCGGAAATGATGAGTGTGATAGGTCCGGGTCCGGAACGCGGGATATGACAACAACCTTCTGTGCCAGCATTCGGTTTCAATCCACACGAAGACAGTATGCAGTGGCAAAGTGGGGGCCCAGGTGAGTGATTTATCAATCGCGAGTATTCACAAACTAACAAGCCAAAAAAAAATAGATCAACACTCTTTCCGTGGACTCACGCACTATGACGACTCGCACGCATCTGGCTCTACGTCCTTTGGCGCGCAATTCGCACAGCCTCAACCATCACACGAAGACCATTTCACGCAGTCACAACCCCCTCACGACGACAATACTACATCCTACGACGGGTACCCTTACGACCAGGACGGATTTGGAGACACGGGGGACCGGCCGCATGGCGGCCCATCCTTCACCAACCCCCAACCCAATCTGTCGCAGCCCCAATACGACGGCACGTCCTATGATGGGTACCCTTATGACCAAGACGGATTCGGAGACACGGGGGACCAGCCGTACGACGGCCCATCCTCATCCAACTTAGGAACATCCGGGGGTGCCCACATGCACGGAACACCCTTACCACAATGGGTCGACGAAGCCCCTGATGGAGGAGCCGCTATGATAGACCGAGGGGCGGGCTTTATGCCCCCGGCTACCAATCTAGCTCTTTTACGGCGAGGGGAGATTCCTCGAGAAGAGGTTGTCCATGTAAGTGTTTCGTTTATTGTGCTACCCTAACTAACAACTACATAGACCAAGGGGCCGGCACGTACTACGAAGAAACGCAGTACAAGGGCCAACCTACCTGCAACCCCATACTTCGTCCCGCAAGCCCCCCGCAGCACCACCAAACTGCAGACACGCGCAGCGGCACACACGACGGCACCACAAACACCCGTTGTCGCCGAACCTTCAACGCCGACATTGAAGACGGTACGGGTGTCAAACGAAGACATCAGCGACGCTGTGAAGGGGGGGAAAGTTTTAATTGGGCGGGTGATGTTTACCAAACATGCGATGACGCAGAAGCGGAAAAAACGCGTCACTCAATTCGAGGACGCAATCAAAGACTCGATGCCTCGTTGTTTGGAAGCTGATGGTGAGTTTTTCTTTAAATCATTCATATAATCGTACTAATATTGTAGTTGTCATTGAAAACTTTATAACTAATGCCCATCGGAGACAAGTGTCGAACGCGTTGTCCAGTATACGCGGGAAAATCGCTCAATTTGCGCGCGACGGTGTCTTCGTGTCATACAAGCTGTTTCCCCCACAAGGGAGCACCGTCGCAGCAGCACAAAGGCATCGCATCGCAATGGTGAACAAACTCATACGGGGCATTGATCCCCTACTCTTCATGCATGCATATTCTGTGGACGAGGTTAGTGATGTTCCGGCCTGGCTTGGGCTCAAAGCCCCGGCTTAGGCTCGGCCTGGGGGGGGCTTAGGCTCACCAGATTTCAAGCCTGAGCCGTGAGCCCAAGCCGGCCCAAAGCCGGGGCTTAGGCCCATGCAAGCCGCGGCCCACATGCTGAATTGCATGTAATTGATGTCTGAGCTCCACCATGCTGTTCCCAACACCACGAACACCATGCGCAAACGCCCAGCACACATCAGCAACTGCTGACGTGGCTCAGACGAATACGGACGATGGACGAGAGCAGGAGAAGGGAAGAAGACAAGGAGGAGAACGAGAACGAGAGAGAGGAGATGGACGATTGGTAGCACTCGAGTGCTTCGATTCTGCACGCCCGGAAGAGTAAGCACTGAATACTATAACTCAGATACCTGAAGTGCATCGTCGAGGAGGCGTAGGTACTTGCGCTCGCAGTACGTGAGTCGAAGAGGGATGTATTTCGAACGGTCGACGAACCACTCGCCGACTTTGCAACCAGGTACGACATACCATCAAGAATATCAACTACAAGACAGTCTCTAGGCTCGGCGCCCTCCACAGCGATTGGACCGGACAAATTATGGACACTAGTCAGGTCCACGTCTCTGATATCATCGCTCGCTGTCGGAAATAGTGGGCTTAAATCTGAGTCGAAGCTGATAAAGGTGATGGGAGTCAGAAGCTTAGAAAGACAAAAATAGAGTCGGGAAACGTACCTCCGGTGAGTGCCACTGAACATGCCAAAGCCGCGGCTTAGGCCGCCGGCTCAGGCTTTTCGAAACTCAAGCCCAGGCCCAAGCCTTCCTCAGGCCGTGACTTAGGCCTGGGCTGGGCCCGGCTTATTTGGGCCCGGCTTGGGCCGGCCCAGGGCCTCAAGCCGAGCCGTGCACATCACTAGACGAGGTACGTCGCTCTCACACTTCTGGCGCTTCACTAACTATAAGTCTTTCAGCACGGGAATATCACCATTGACGCCAAATTTCAAAATGCGTTTATCATGGCCGGCGTCGTTTGTTTTGTGTGGCGCGAGGGCCGCGAAGCCTTTCTCGGCGCCTCGCCACTGAAGGCCATCAAATATGTGATGGCCTCAGTTGGCAGCGGTACTCACTGTGCATTGCAGGAACAGCGCTCCGCTGTTATCACCGTCGACGCTTTTGGTGGTCAACACCACGAAGAAAAATTCAAGGAGATCGTGCAAGCGTTCGATGACCTCACGGACGAAGAAAAACTCGAGTTAGAAAGTTATTTGCAGTACGTGCTGGATGTTGGACCATCGCAGGCAGGCAATGGAGAGAGCTCGTCCGATTCTGAATAATATTTTACTACGTATATAGCTTGTTCGTTGTAGTATAGTGTAATCAAGATTATCATTGGATGCTCTTGATCATATTAGTACTAGATGCTGTTGATAATCGACGCGATACGACGAGATCTTTTAACTAACCTAAAAATGAGCACTCAGGGTGCAACATAACCAAAAACGAACGTTTACGAATGCGAGACCTGAGCTAACTATTTTCAAAACGCTCGCAAGCACTCGCAAGCGACTTTTCAACGGACCCACATTTTTAGATGGGCCTATGAGAGTAGGTTCAGGTAACCCGGACCGCATAATTACCAGGATGATTGGTGGCGTCACTTTCAAGTTAAATCTAGGACTCTCAATCCGCACACCTCAGTTTTCCGCTTCAGTATGGCGACTGACTCGTTTCCCCAACGCTTACCTACGCTGGATCGGCTGGGGGTCACTGATCCTTCCAATGTCTCCTCGTCCGAGGTAGCCACCGAGTGGCTCAACGCTTTCTCAGCTGCAATAGCTCGAAGTAATACCGCCGCTGTTGTCGACCTCTTTCTCGAAGATGGCTTCTGGAAGGACGTGATCGCACTAACTTGGGATTTCAGGACATTCGAAGGAAGGAAGGACATCAAAAAGCTTTTGGATGCTCGTCTCGCTGCTACGGATCTCAACGAACTGCGTCTCTTACAGGAGCCCTTGAAAGAACCTGTGCTGCAAAAAGTTCATCATGATCTTGTTTGGTTGCGGTTTTGCTTTAGTTTCACCACCAAGCATGGCAAAGGTTCTGCGGTCGTTTATCTCGTTCCTCTTCCAGATTCAAAGTGGAAGGCCTATACTCTGTTGACCTGTCTTGAATCGTTGACCGATTTCCCTCAAAAAGTGTGCATTCACGTTCCTTCATGAGCCTTTTCTGACTCCGTGGAAGCTCGGTCCCTTCAGAAACAAAGAGGCCGATCATGGAAATTGGGGAGAGAAGCGGCGCCAAGAGGCTGAGTTTTCAAGCAATGACCCAACAGTGCTTGTCATCGGTGCAGGGCACTGTGGCCTTGAGGCCGCGGCACAATTAAAGTGCATTGGTATACCCACGCTTGTCATTGATAAGAAACCTCGGGTTGGAGATAGCGTTCGTCCCGTTATAATTTCGGTATTTGACTGTAGCTAAAGGCTCAAGGGCGGTTTCATAGTGGAGAGATCGTTACAAGACTCTTTGTCTGCATGGCACAATCTGTTTGTGCTTTTTCTTCTACGAAAGGGGATTGACTGACAAACTTACAGGGTTCAATCAAATGCCTTACATGACGTGGGTGGTTTGTCAGAACTCCTTTGATTCGATCGTGATCTGTTCTGCAGCTTTCCACCAACATGGCCAGTCTACATCCCAGCTGAAAAAGTACAATATTATCCACATAATGAATGCTCACTGATTCTAGTGATTGCAGCTGGCAGACTGGTTGGAAGCATATGCAAGGTTGCTTGAGATCGACGTTTGGACGGCCTCAACGATCACCAGTACATCTTGGAACGATAGCACGAAAACCTGGTCCGTCGAAGTCAATCGCGGGGGTAAAGGTACTAGGGTTCTGACCGTTAAGCACCTCGTTTTTGCCACTGGATCTGGCGGTCGCCCGATAGTTCCCGATATCCCCGGGAAGGTATGTAACGCTAGAGCTGATCAAAACGTGACTCATGGGCGCAGGCAAGCTTCAAAGGGTCTACCGTGCACTCGTCAGAATTCGAATCTGCGGCTAATCATATCGGTAAAAAAGTAGTCGTAGTCGGTTGTTGCAATTCTGGTTGGTCTGTCATATCTTTCGTATTGAACAAGGTCTAAATATTTCATTAGCGCATGACATTGCTCAAGACTTCTGCAGTCACGGCGCCGACATCACGATGTGTGTCCCTTCGGTAGTGTCATTTTCATATCTCACCGAATATTAGGTATCAACGATCGTCGACGTTCGTGATCTCGGTGGAGTCAATGGCAGCAATGTCACGCGGTAATTATCTCTATGGTTGTTGGGAGTTTGGCTTGACTTTCCTTGCCTAGCTATCTATAATGATGACTTCCCCACTGAGCTGGCCGATACTTATAGTACCTCGCTACCTTGGGCAGTTTCTAGGCGACTGCATCAACGTATGGTTCCTGTAGTCGCCGAGACCGCAGACAAGTATGCCAGGCAAATCAAAAGCTCAGTTCCAGATGCATTGATCATAATCACAGGGCTATTTTAGATGGACTGGCCAAAGTTGGTTTTAAGACCAATCTTGGCATATATGGAGCAGGTCTTATGGCCCTTTACCTGGAGCGCGGTGGTGGCTACTACATCGGTGTGTGTACCTCTGATGCACAACGAAGATATATCTCAACAGCCTCCAGACACCGGAGCGAGTAAATCTATTATCAACGGGGATATCAAAATCAAAAACGGTTCCGCAATCGAGTCCTTCACGGAAAACGGCCTTCTATTTGCTGATGGCACCGAGCTACAGGCAGATATCATAGTGTTTGCTACGGGGTATGCCTATATTTCACTTTGACGAGCAGGACTCATACTTGCTTACAGTTATGGCGATCCCCGTGACTTCATGCGCGAGATTTGTGGAGACGAAATCGCATCAAAAGTTACCCAGGTCTGGGGTTTAGACGAAGAAGGGCAATCTTCGGGAGTGTGGAGGTACTGCGGGCATGATGGTCTGTGGTTCGCAAACGGTATTTCGCATCGTTCTTGTCATGGGCACGTCGGTCTTATTTTGATGAACAGCTAATTTGTCTCTGGCGCGCTTCCACAGTCTCCATTTGGCCATGCGTGAGTTCCTTCCTTGTGGTATATAGAGCGTTGCTGATGATCGAAAATGTAGAAATCAAAGCAATAGAAGAAGGTGTTTTGAATAGGGCGGATATAGTTATTTGATGACATTTCGAAGATTTACCTGTAAAATGTACGAGTACTGATTGTGTGAGAGGTTGTATGTAGAATGAATTCAATAGAATTTTTCACTGGAGCCCTCGTACATGAAAAACAAGATTTTTGTCGGACCATGTCACCAATGTGTTTTTTTAGAATATACATGTACTCCTTCTGGTTTGAAGACCCTAAGTATGTGGGACATACTGGGGCATACTCCCGCTTATATATAATAGGTTGTGTTTATTGTCACCAGTAGAACCTCGCCCGCACAGGGGTTGAATCCTTGCCTTTCGCAAATTTCCGACAAATGGGTTCTGAGGCGGAACTTAGTCAGCATTTTACTGCCACTGCACAGCTGCAAGTCTCTAACGTTCTCCGAGTCTACATCAATGCATCCGCATACACTGCAAGTTAAGTGAAAATAGTTTCCTCAATATGTGACACTATGTTTTAGCATTGATGCTATGCATTTTTGAACGTAGCTCTCCGTTAAATTCGTTCCACACCCCCGTGATCTCCGGAAGTCACGAGTCAGGACACATTGCAAGTAAACTGCTGGAACTGAGCGCAGCCATGGACATATTTCTCCTACTCACACCGTGACGCACATGATTTTCTCACTCAGTTGTTACGGTGGTTCCATTGAGCTTTTATAACGCTATGATTTGCATTCTCCGGACTCCCGGGATAAAATTGGATGCGCAGATATGAAAAGACAACATCCGTCTCCGCCTGCTTAGACGTGAAGCATCGGCATTTTTGCTCTTGCGACTGATGCTATGCATTAGTAAGTCAACGTATTGAATTGATCATAAAGAAATGTAGTTTGACATTTAGCAATTTTCGCATCATGCAGCCAAGCTACACCTTATATCGCAGGTCTGTTGCATATGGGCTTGTGAACTCGTCACTGATATGCTATATGCTCCTCCTGGACGTACTTAATGTCATACCTTATCGTCCACAGTGCTGGTGGATACCAAATAAAGCCACGTAGTGATGGATTGAGCAGTGCGGAACCACATAAGAGGACCCGGACCCGGAAATGAACGGTCTTGATGCGATTCTGACAACTTGACGCTATGCTAGTATGAGACATATATATAAGTTTGTGTCTCTCAACCAAGGGGATGCATCATTTGTGCTGCTAATAGTAGACTTAGCTCTAGCCTTCCTTAGGCAGGCCATACAGAAAGAAGACCAGTTCTTCAATTTAGCGAAGATGGGCAGCTATGTGGATCAACATTGGCAAACTGTTGCAGTGCGTACCCCACTTCATTAGTCAGTCTTTGATTGCTCATTCGAATTCAGTTTGTTGAAGGTAGTCTATACTCATATTCTGATTTATTTTGCATGACTGAATTCCTTGGACAGCCGCGTCCACAGCAGCCTTGGTAAGGAGGAACAAATATAACGCAATCCTATGACAATCATAGCCCAATTTCCTCCAGCTTTTTGACTTCTGCCTTACTTTCGACTCAGAGGTCAGTATATTTCGGTGATCATAGTATACAAAACTGAAGTATTGTTAGGTTCGTTGGACATGGGGGAGAAAGTGGGGGATAATGAGGATAGCCTTCGTTATTTCTCGCTATCTTCCAATTGGAACTGTTGCTATGTACTTATATTGTGGGTACTCGTGGTATTCTATCTCCTTCGCTAATGAGTGCCTCGGATAGACGGCGTCGGGTCAACTCACGGGGAAACCGTGAGCATAGACTCTTCTGACAGTGTGAGTATATCTGACGATATCCTAGCCAAATTCTGGGACATACATGGTCGTAATTGGCAGTTGCGTATATGATGACTTCATTTAAATCATTCTGAATACTCAATTCTTTTGCCAGCCATGAATGCCTTGGGTGCCGCTGCTGCTGACGGTCAGTATCTGCTCCAAGTCAAAATATTTCTACCCGTAACGTCTTTTCAGTCATGCTCGCAGCAAGGGTGCACGCCTTTTGTGGACGTGAAAAGAGGATATTGATTGCGATATCATTCTTCAGCATAGTGACCTTAATGCTCTCCCTTGGCAATTTTCTTGTTGCTCAATATTGCACATTAATTTAGGTCACGGTTTCAGCTACGCTAATAATTTTCTATATCGCTGCAAGTAAATGCGGAAGTCTGTATCTCTCCCTTCACATGTCTTCTGCTCACCCGTAACCCAGAATCTACGTGTGACGCATCGGAGGCCAAACAATTCTTAGGTATCCTCTATATTTTACCCATGACCTATCAGCTTGGTACATATCATTTCGATAAATTTTCTCACCGACCACTAACCTACTCCAGTATTGATGGCCTTGACAGTGCACAAACGTTTCAAATTTTACCGACAGGAAAAGACCCCACTGGTTTCTACTGTATATCGGGATGGCATGATTTACATGCTATGCATTGCCCGTGAGTCTTATAGATTATCTTCAAGATCACGGCCTTGATTTTTGTAGTGGCCTCTATAGTGAATTGTGTGGGCATTATGAAGCTTCCTGTGAGTGGCTTGCCTTGGTTATATGATAAACTTCTGATCAAGCTGCCCAGTCACCATATTGCAATATTCTCTATAGGTAAATCCTATTGTGGTTGTCCCTGTCTTCAATTCTGAGTCAGATAAGCCCCCAGGTAGTCGTGTACAGCGTTTTTGCCTCACGCATAATGTTCAATCTGCGAGCAACACACGAATCGCAGGATGTCCCTATAACCGGGCCAGTCACCTCGAGCGTGGTCATTGCTCGACCGATCCAAACTTCTTCCGGTGTGGATCGTCTAGAGCTGCCGGATATTAGAAACGTTTGATTCGCGTTCCACTATGGCTGAGCATTATACAAACTTTTAACTTACTTTCAACCATGCCGGATATTATATACATAACTTTCAACTATGGTTGTAGTGCTCTCTGTGCATACATATCCCCTGCTACCCTTCCCGACATTGATACATTAACTTAGTCTTCAAGCCTATGCAAGACCCCTATGATGCACCAGCAATACACTCAAAGCTACCTCCAAAAATATCTGTGCAGTTCGATTTGCCAAACGTCGCGATATTATTTGATTGACGTTGAGCGAGTCGCACATAACCGACATCACAAAGCCCTGTCCATCCCCATGCATATAAAAACAACCAGCGATCAAGTATACAAAGTGATTAGACACATCGAAAGCACTGTGATCAAGAGTATGCGAGCATGCGCGTGTATTTCTACCTTGTCACGCCGGTGGTGCTCTTGAAGTTCATAGTGTCTGTCGTGCCGACAATCGGAGCGAGGTGGACTCGACGAAACGTTTTCAGGCCATTTTGGTGGAGGATATACCCGTTAGATTTTTTGGTACCTTTAATAGTAATCGTGAAGATAAGTAGGTTATGCGTTGATGCGGTGTAGACTGTACCACAGAAAATCTATACAGTTGTATTGTGTTCTCACAGCCAACTTGGATGTGCTTTTGTGATACGAGATGGCCCAAAAACCAAGGCAACGTCCCGCTGATGGAAAGCGGTCAATTTCCAAGTCGCAGGTTCCTCAATTCAAGTATCAAGTAAATGGTGAAACATAAAAATGCCGTGATAACGATCTCATTAACCAACAATAATCTCACAAGCTTAGAATACTCGTGCAAGCGTGAAGCTTTTTGATTTTAACGCAATCTGCCATGCAATCAGTGTCAAAGATGAGCAGAAAGGCGTGGAATTTCTGCCAAGACCACCTGCCTTCGAATAGGGTATTGTACGACCGCTCGATCGGGAAGGCGGTGGTTCACCCACAGTCCACAGGTCATTGATACGTCATGTTGCATCCACACTTCGGACTGTCCGCAGACCAAAAATCCACAAGGGCTCGAGTATAAAACAGACCATCAATGGACTCAAACCTCTACTCTCCCATTCTGTCGTCTGCACTCTCGGTGAGCACACTCATAAAAGCTAGCAAATTGCGACTTACCCGTTCCCATAGCCATCTTCTATCATGTCTGACACATCTAGACTCTGCACCGTCGAACTTCTCCAGTCTTGGAAATGCGGGGAAGCCCAACAACATTGTCCCCTTCGCTGGGCTATCTACGTCGAAACCAGCCCTGGTATAGGGAACATCTATCAGATCATCGGGAACTCCGATAACTATGCCATCGATGTCGGACGCAACCAGCCTCTCGAAAGGGACTTGTACGATCGTTTTAGTATTGGAACAGTCACCTTGGAGGAGCTCGGCGAAATGGAGGTAATCCTCGAAACAGTTGGGATCGTGCGCAATGTTCCCAGTTGGAACAACAATGATTGGATTATATCCGCCCTGGGCACTCTCTCGCAGTCAAAGCTGTCAGGCATCATGCCGAAAACTAGATTGGCTAGGAATCGAACATCTGATGGAATTTGTGGGTGGCAATCTTGCAGGTGTAGCGGGCACTCGCGTTAAGAAAATGCACGAATGGCACTGAACTTTGCACCTGAATGCGATGGGTTGCGCGGGTCGTTTAAAGCACTCGTCAATGTTGCTTATAACAATTTTCATAGTTCATTCTCCACTTGTACTTTGTATCATCATGTCGATAGTTCGTTCACTGACCTAGTGTCATGGATTAGCAATATAATACTTGTATAGTAGGGCTTTGGCACGCACAGCGAAGGTATAACATCAGTGGAGAAGCTTATTTGGTGGTCGTGCTTGAGGAGAATTTGACCTAGAATAGGAGAAGGTGGAGATATAGTTCTTATCGAAATTTTGGGACATGCACATCGCAGGGATACTGCTCTGGAATGCACCTGATCATGAATGCGATAGGTTGTGAAGGTGGTTGAAAGAACTCATCAATGATGCTGCGGGGGAAGCTAATGGCAATATCCTGCAAGTACAATGAATTAGAAACGAACGTACGACATGATGATCACGCGACAGATATTTCAACACCATCCCAGATGTTTCAGCAGACTATGCTCGGAACACCGTCAATATTGATATCTTCCCCCAGGCAAGCTCCGTACACCCCCCGGCCTGCAAGCACGCAAGCGCGATGAAGAAAGTTACTGAGCACATGAACGCATGCGTGGTGGAAGAGCAGCTCGCTACCGTGATATGAAAGAATTATGACAAGGATGGGAAGAAAAAATGGGATTTAGGCGCAAGGGCGGAAGAAGAAAATGGGGTAAAGAGTGCAGGGAAGGAACAGGAACTCGGTATGCGAGCGTGCGCATAGACTCAGACTTTTACTACTAACCTTCCAGTGTTCCTGAAATTAATTCATTGTCTATCGTGCCAACAATCTGTCATCATGGTGAAGAAGATAGCCACAAACCGAGATGTGACATACAAGCGCTGGTAGCAGCGCTACGAGCTTGGAGAGCATGTCATGTTGCATCCACTGTCAAAAGTTGATCCAGGCTCCTTACGTAAGATATAATGGACAAGCTTGTTTGTCTTTGCTTGCCCGACAGCTTGTCCTACTATTCTTTGCTCGGGAAATTCATAGGTTTGTTGCAATTATGCAGGACGGCAGAGCACCAAGGTTTGCCTTATTAACTTTTTGTATCATGCAGAGACTGACTGTTTACGAATTCTAGGATTAGGAATCGGGCGCCTGCCGCTATCCAGGTTTGTTTCGTTGACATATGTGTCTGCATTTGTTGACCCTCCATAATTACATTCATAGATCACCGCAGAGCAGCTTCTGCGAGAGGTGTGTTGTTTAAGTTTCCCGCCTTGCCGTATTCACAATTTTGTGTCCTTTAGGCTCAAGAGCGTCAAGAATCCACCTTCCGCGCTCCCAAACAACGCGTTGAGGATTTTGAAGAACTCCACGAGTACCGCGGCCGCAAGCGCAAGGAGTTTGAAGAGCGGGTCAGAAGGACAAGAGGTAGCATGTGAGTATCGCATTAAATATTGGTGATACTCTCGCTGAATATTGTATCAGCAAAGAATGGACTCAGTATGCAAACTGGGAGGTACGTTGCTCACAATCTTTGGTTGATATTGGGGTCTGATACGCATTCCTATCAGGCTAGTCAAAATGAATTTGACCGATCTCGCTCTATCTTTGAACGCGCTTTGGACGTGGACCCTCGAAGCGTGCAACTATGGCTCAGTTATACTGAAATGGAGCTCAAGTCCCGAAATGTCCAACACGCACGCAATCTATTCGATCGCGCCGTGACTCTATTGCCTCGAGTGGACCAGCTCTGGTACAAGTACGTTTACTTGGAAGAGCTTCTGCAAAATGTCCCCGGTGCCCGACAAGTCTTTGAGCGGTGGATGCAGTGGGAACCGGACGACAAAGCTTGGCAAGCATACATAAAGATGGAGGAACGGTATGACGAATCGGACAGGGCCAGTGTTATATATGAGCGATGGATAGCTGTCAGGCCGGATCCGAGGGTATGGGTGAAGTGGGCAAAGTTTGAAGAAGAGCGGGGGAAGTTAGACAAAGCGAGAGAGGTATTCCAAACCGCTCTCCAGTTTTTTGGGGACGAGGAAGAGCAAGTAGAAAAGGCTCAAGCAGTTTTCAATGCTTTTGCTAAAATGGAAACTCGGTTGAAAGAGTACGAGCGTGCTCGAGTGATATACAAGGTACGTCGTCATGCGTATACTCTGCTAGGCGTACTTGACAGTCCAGATAATAGTTCGCACTATCACGTCTTCCGCGATCAAAATCAGCCAATTTATACGCAGCTTATACCAAATTTGAGAAGCAGCACGGCACACGGTCTATTGTAGAATCTACTGTGCTTGGTAAGCGAAGAATCCAATACGAAGACGAGGTTTCGCAGGACGGGCGAAATTATGATGTCTGGTTCGACTACGTTCGGCTGGAAGAAGGTGGCCTACGAACTTTGCGAGAAGAAGGGGGCACCAAGGAAGAGGAGGATGCAGCCACGGAGCGCGTGCGAGACGTTTACGAGCGTGCTGTTGCACATGTACCTCCTGGACAAGAAAAGCGTCATTGGAGACGGTATATCTTCCTTTGGCTTGAGTATGCTTTGTTCGAGGAGATTGAAACCAAGGTCTTTTCATTTCCATACACACCACTTGTTTACTCTGACATTATTCTACAGGACTATGACCGTGCACGCCAAGTATATCGTACCGTTTTGAATCTTGTACCACACAAGCAGTTTACTTTCGCAAAACTGTGGATCATGGCTGCGAGGTTTGAGATCAGACAGTTAAATTTAACGGCAGCGCGCAAAATGCTCGGGACCGCCATTGGCATGTGCCCGAAGGAGTCTTTGTTCAAGGGTTATATTCAACTCGAGATGGATGTATGATCTTCACTTTCTTGGTTTTACGATATACTAATGTCATGTTTAGCTGCGAGAATTTGACCGCGTGCGGACATTGTACGAAAAGTATCTTGAGGTATGTCGCGAAGGTCTCTTTCTTTCCTCAGCAGTGATGAAACATCTTCTGCAGTACGATCCTACCAACTCAGCGGCGTGGATCAAATACGCTGAACTCGAGACGGCTCTTGAGGACTTCACTCGTGCAGAGGCAATCTTTGAACTCGGAGTGTCTCAAGCATCACTATCGATGCCCGAAATCCTTTGGAAGGCATATATCGACTTCGAAGTCGATGAGCAGGGTGATCGAGAGAAGACTAGGTCACTTTACGAGCGCCTGGTGGTTCTCAGCGGACACCACAAGGTGTGGATATCCTATGCCGAGTTCGAGGGGTCAAGTATTCCCTTGCCGAGAGCTATGCGAGAAGAAGAGGAAGATGAGGATGCCGAACCTCGTGTTGTCGCTGGTAATCCCGAACTATCACGACAAGTCTTTGAACGTGGTTACAAAGACTTGAAGGTCAAGGGCCTCAAAGCCGAGGTATGAGCAGCAGTTTTATAATCGAGTCGGAGCTGAACTTTCATCAGAGGGCTGCTTTACTCGAGTCATGGAAGGCGTTCGAACAAGAACATGGCAGCGAGAGCGATTTAGCTAAGGTGGAAGGCATGATGCCTATCATCGGCAGGAAGCAGCACGTCGACAAAGAGACAGGCCAAGTAGTAGAAGGTCAGCGATCCACCCCGTATATAATAGCACAGCTTCCTGATTGTTCTTACGCAGATTGGGAACTTGTGTTCGCCGACGACGAACGAGAAGCCAATCCAAGATCTTTCAAGTTCTTGCAGATGGCTCATGCCTGGAAACAGTCACAGGCCAAGAAACCTGGAGGGAGTGGTATTCTTTCTGGTTTCACTCCTGCGACATCGAGTGTGCCAGAATCTGGCCAGAATGACGATGTACGGATGGAGGACCGTAGGGAGCAGGACGATTCACATAGCGATGTTGCTAGCTCTGACGGTGAATGATGGTTGACCAGGTACCTGCTGGAACTCTATGTATTCCATAATTTCTGAATGCACTTGCTTGTCGAGATTCTAGGCTGTAAGCTTGTAGACAATGTTGGCACGTGTGGGTAAATAATGGTTCGTTGTACGCTTTGCCACTTGCCGTCGCGGAGTTCAAAGTGAAGGGGGTCTCGTCTTTGTTTTAGATATCTCCTTGGAAAATTCAGTTAAGTGGCCCAACACACAATCTGTGCACAAAAGTAATTGACAAAAGGATAAGACCCCAGATTTGAAAACACCGTCCTATGTGGGTCCACCGACCCACAAGAAGCTACGTACAGATATAGCTTTGCACTGCCAAAGCGTGTACAATGACCCCAAATGCAACTCGGTAGCATCAACAATCCGAAGCACATGCAACAATGCCTTCCAAAGGCGACCAATACGAATATCTTTTCTGTGGGTCCAAAAGAAATTCTTCGACTGATACGTGCAAGTCGGGCGACCTATATTCTGTTTTCGAACATAACGAGGTCAGCTGGGCGGAGTTAACTTGTGACAGCGGTGCTCATTGACTCGAGGCTACGTGTCGACGATCGGACAGACGGCGCTTCTTCCATCCCACGATGTCTTTTTCTGTCCGCGTCTGTTTGAAAATTTTGGTTCCCGAACAATCGAGAAATGCTTGTGCATTGTGGCATGCACTCCCGGGGAAGAACATTGCTGCGGTCGCGGTTTTCATTGGACAGTGATTGATTGTTGATGCCATTCCCGTGGATGGCCCACTCCCCTGGGGCTCGATGGCTTAAAGGTGTATAAGAATGTGGCGGCTTTTCAGTACCTTGACTTCTAGGGCCTCGTTGCAGGTGGCTTCCTCGCCCAGTTCCTCCCCCCTTTGGAGATCTATGATTACGGGCACTGGGTAACACTAATTAACAGGTTAGAATAATATTAAATTGTGCGCGCAACGGACATCCTTCCAGCCTCTTGGATATTGCCATCGGCTCAAGAATTGTATTTCTCGATCGTTCAATATAAACCGCTATTTTGGTAAAACACAAAAATAAATTATCGAGGTCCATAGTAATACAGATGCTAGCAAGATAATCGTCCAATATACATCACTATTTTTCGGAAACA